AACCAATCCGTAGACTTCGAATAATATTATATCATAGATGCTATTATTCTACTATTATTCCACTATTATTCTCGTTTAGCCTGTGACCCAAAAAACGTGTACTTTGAAAAAGCTGCAGAGTTGGACCAAATTTTGGAAGCCCATCATAATAACACCATAGGTAATCTAAATTCTTTAGATTATTTTTTTTTATTTCATAAGATTGAGTGGCCCCAATCTATACCTATCATAGTCCAATGACCATTTCCTTATAATCCAACTCTACAGAGCCGATATAGCCGTTTATAAGTTGTAAGAGATGGCCTGTTTTCCAGCCACAACCCACCTTCTGTAATATGTAATGGCTCAGTCCGGCTCAAGGCGCATATCCTAAAAAATGTAACTGAAATTTTGTTAAAAAATGTGATATACTGAAGGATTATTGTTACCGTAGCAGTGCAGATCCTGATGTCAGTGTCCGACAGACAGAAACGCGACAGATGTTATCGCAGCATGACGAGAGATCAACAACTTTCCTCGATTGTGAGTTGCCACTCGGAGTCTAAAAATTTACTGTAACCGCGCAATTGCGAATCGTTATTTCTATAAATACTACAAACTTCATTTGCATACGATGTTGCACACGTTTTCTGGCTCCTCCTCTTTCCGATCGGATTCCAATGACGTGCACTCTGGAACGCGACAAGTGCATACTAACCACCGACGTACACGTTACAAAAAAAGTTCATGCCAGTAATTTCTTTGAAAACACAACAAGTGCACATTGTACTTTATATTGGCGCTCAGCAAGTATATTTATAAAACAATTAAAAAAATTCTCTATTCGCAGTAAGGAGATTCAGACCAGTGATGTCTAGGATACAACCTAAGTTTACGCAAGAAACCTAGTGATGAATGGCCATTATCAAATTCCGACCGGCCGCCAAGTCCGTAACGTTAATCGAGTTAAGCGTGTGTGCAATTACTGTATTATAATTATCAAATACAAGACGTGTATTTGATGCGATGAAGATTTTAAATAATTACACACACACACACACATTTGTCAGAAAAACGGCAGCCCCATTGTTCTTTTGTGGTGAGATCAAGGAATGCGGATCCACGGACTACGGAGACGACGGCGGTCGTCGGCTTAGCGCGGAGGCCGGGGATAACCGTGTTGTATACATGTAAATAATATAATGTGTGTATATATGGTACGTTATACACATATACACGTGTGTCCCACGTAGCAAACGACGGTGCTAGAATGCGGCACCGACAGATATATATATATATATGTATGTACTATAGAAGTATTTTTATTTTTTCTTTACTGTCATATGTGTGTGTGTGTGTGTGTGTGTAGACGACTGGCGGGATTTCCCGACCGAAATCCCGCTCGTTATAGTAAACACGCACTTGAAATAGTTGTTTGTTGTTTTTGCGCGCGGCGAGTGGAAAAAAAATTACCGGCCAAGGTTTATTTTTAGACTGACGGCGCGCCGCACAGTAGCCAATCTGATTTTTTTTATAGTGACCGGCGTGCGCAGTGCACATAAAAACAAAGAATACCGACTATAAATTAAAGTGTATGTATATTTATAAAACGTGTAATATAAACTAAAATGCATGTTCATGGCGTCTACCGTAGGATACGAGTGCGGAGTGCACACAACATGGAAATACCGTATAATCGACATAACTTTAATAGTTTGATAATACATATTATATTGTCCGAATTGCATTTATCTTTAACCAATAATCTTACTCCTTCTTCTTCTTCATTTACTATTGAGTTACTATTCATTTACTATTGCTATGCCATCTTTGAATCCCTTAACTCAATTTCTACTCTTCCTCCTAAACAATTCTAATAGCCACTGTTTCTCTGTCTTATCTTCTTGCGCTAAAATCCAATCCCTTTAAATTACACATCTTCCCTTTAACTATTAGCAAAATCTACTGCTGCCATAACATTTCCATTCTTTTCTAAACTCCCCTGATCCAATTTCTTTCTAAGCTACGTCGGAATATTAATTTGCCTAATTACAATAAAATTACAAAATTTTACAAATTACAAAATAACACTAATTTTGCCAATAAATATAAACTCATCGTCCCCAACATTCCCCGCAAGCAATGGTTCAACAATCTTATTTTGCCCCGCAGTACGATTGTACATTTCTGTTGTTTAAGATTTGGTCATTCCCTAATACCTGCTCACGCTTTCAAATTATCTCTTAACGATTCTCCTTTCTGTACTCTTCACGCTGAATAAGCTATTTGCAACCTCGCCCATGTTTTGTTCGATTGTCCTTCTCTCTCCTTCTTCTCTTCTTTATTCAGTTTTCTACACACTTATAATATTCCTCTCACTTTAATTTCCATTATATCAACCAACAGTGTTCTTGTATCTTGTCTAATTAACAATCGTTGAGGCTGGACGTAATTTAATCACTTTCTTGTAAATATTTTTGTTTTCATTTTCTTTTGTTTATCAATAAACGTCAAGATAAGTTTTAAATACAAAATTGTATTTATAAAAAAAAAATGATATTCGTTTTGTAGTTTGATGTTGAAGGTCGTAGCCGATAATGCAAGTACATATATTTCTCCTGACTTTTCAGTTTTCCACGTTTCGCATGATTTTTGCTACTGATATAAGTTCTGTTAGATACTTAAGTCCGGTCAGTTGATTGAATAGGAGACGACATCTGTTTTCCCTTCTACTTTTCATAAATAATCATTTTTTTCCAGGCTAATCTAGAAAACAATATTGCTGAACAATTTTATTTGTAAAATTTCTTCTTATTATCTGATGTCACTTGTCTTTCTTGCATTGTGTACAGTAATATCTTACAGGTTTGTGGTATTAAGGCTATAGTTCGAAAGTTATTGCAGTTTTATTTGTCACTTTTTTTTGTGAATTGGGATATAAATAAAGTGACACCATTCTTTGGGCTTTTTACCAGTAGTACCGAGTTGTACTTGTACCTTGTACATATTTTGTGTATTGTATCGGTATATATTTCTCCAGTAATCTCAACGATTCGAAGTAAATCATAAAAAGCTATCAGTTTTTTTTATGGTATTATTGAAATATTTTTTATTTGAGCTTTTGTATGCTGTTCTATTTTCCTGAACATAGTTTGTATGTTGTCTCATTTTTATTGTTCCATAACTATTAACTTACATTTTTAACTTAAATGAGATACTTTTTATTAAAGTCAGGCTGCTCAGTGAAATCAAGCTAGTTAGATTAAAACTAACCTAAGGTCCAAGTTCCAACTCGAGGTTAAAACTTAAAACTATCAATTTAATTTTTCTCACAGGCTAAACGTTTTAAAACCGATGCTGAAGAAATTTTGTACACAATTACTACAAGTTAGAAATCATAAATAATCAAGTATACATTTAAAAAATAAAATAATAATGGCTAAGAATTCAACTTTTAATATTGTATTATGCGTGTTATGGTAAATTTTTTTATGGGCCATATAATCTTTTCTGAATTAAAATGTCTATAGTCAAACTAAAAAGTTAAGCCTAAAAAGTAGTATTAAAATAAATTAAAGTATTTGGTTTCATCCAAGTACGCAGTATTATTATAATTCATTTAGGATTCATAATTTTAATATTATTATAATTCATTTAGCAAACTTCATCTGGCTGTTTCTAACTGTGCAGATCACAATAAACATAATGTCATAAAAAAATTTATCCTACTTTTGTCAGATGTGGGTTGTCACTATTAATAGCTCGGCGTCCAAGCAAAAGTTATAATTGAGAAATGCTAATAACATAATTTCGAATTAGGATAGTAAAAAATATGGATTCATTTTTCCGTTTTTTTTTTGCAATTGCCAGTAAATATAACACTTATATCTTATATGATCAGAAAATATGTGCATATTATATTATATAAAGATTAATGACTCATGAGCCATCGATTCTTTTCGTAAAAAGCACAGCACGATGGGATATCAAATCATGAAATGTAATAAAAATTAATGGGTAAACTCTACAAAATGATTCATCAGTTAATTTATGACCATCTTAGGCAATCATGTGATTCATAAGATACCTGTACACGGGAACATAAGGAATTTATTTCATTAAATTATTATATTTTTAACTTTCTTTTAAATTATTAGTTCAATAATAATCAGCTTGGAATCTGCCTAGTGTCTTGGCTTAAAAATTTAACTTTAGTGACTTATCATCCGATATAGTTATAAGTTTTAATAGTATTGCTGATTGACTAAAGTGGGCAGGCAAATTTTAGTAGGGAACAGTAGTCGAGCAAGAGATGATGAGACGAGGTAGACTTTAAACTATTGTCTAATTAATTGCATTTGGTTTCTGATATATTGATTACAAAAATAAATAGGTACACGTGGAGAAATAAATTTGACGTAGAAACAACGTACTAACAAAAAATAACATCGTAAAACTGGTATGATACAGTTTATATCATTTTTAAAGTGGTAGTTATTCAAAAGTGTATTGAAATCCCCCTAAGTTGTTTCGTTCGAATTGATTAATAGTCTTAAAATATAAGATTAATTAAAAATTAATTTTATGAGATCAGCATTAAGGCCTTAAAGTGACCTATGCTACGAAAAAGTTATTTCTAAGCAAATGTTTTAAAACAACAAAAAAACAATGTCTTTAACATGTTTAAAATATAATTTAACATGTTTTTTTTTTGCAACTCTGGTCGCCAGATGAACTTAATTTTGCTCACGGCACTGTTGGTAATATACGCCGATGCGTACATACGCGGAGTCACAACCCGCGACCATTCGGTGAATGTCAAGGACTCTTTGATCACAGATGCAGTGTGCGGTATTTATTTTTTTTTCAGTAGGTACGCGCGCGCGTGTAAAAAAACCGTTCCGATTTTTCCGGAACTTGGCGTACAGGCGCCACTACCAATGCCGAAGCGTGCGCGTGCGCAATGGTATCGGCGCGACGGTCGCTTGTGCCGCCGACCAAGACACCGGCCAGCGGCTTCGTCTTATTACCGTATTCGGCACTCGATGACGGCCAGTGTGTTTCAAGACGCGCACGATAAGACACGTATTGCGATCAACCAACTTCAACAGCGATAATTATCTCATTTCACCCTTTCAACTGCACTATGAGACCCTACGTTTTATTGTGGCTGTCGGCCGCTTTCTTAGCGACCGGGATCTCCGGCTCGGCAATTCCGATGTGGGAGTTCCTCAGCAGAGGAGAAAAGGTACGTGATCAACTAAAATTATGCTATATTGGCAATTTTTTTTTTGACAACTTGATAAACGCAATTTTGAAAGTATTTATAATAATAAAAGTACTATTAATTGAAATTCGACAATTTAATGAGCCAACATTTGTTGACTTTCAAAGGTATCTCAGCAGTCGTCAAGATAGTTAGGTAATATCCGGCTAGTCCCATTACATACGACAATCCTCATCGCTCACAATATTGGCGGGAAACGCACAATACAAATGTATAACAACCGCATAGAATTTGTAGTACACGTAAATACGAGCCACATTGATGATTCTTACATCGGAGTTTCGTTAGGCTATGTATGTATGTATGTATGTATTCCGGTGAAACGTTATACCTACCTACCTTCCGTCACGTTTGACATCAATATTGGGGTAACTGTATTTTATTCTTGTTGATAACGTAGCATCTTAACCTAACCAATTACCGTGCAAACTTCTTTTCCAACGCTTGGGAACTCCAATTGTAATAAATAATAAAGTAAAACAACGGTATTCTTATTCTACAAATCGATTAAATTATTCAAATTTAGTAGAGCAAATCCAGCATATATTATATCTGTGCTCGAACACGTTCATAGATTTACCGCCCGTTATAATATATTAGTCTTCGTAACTATTGAACGCAAAATAGTTTTATTTAATTTACTCGCAAATTTTTTAAATTATACGATTGTAATAACGTATATACGTTTTCCTCTTTTTACACGTTAAAAAATTCTTGAATTAACGAATAAATTGGTTATTTCATATTTTGTTCAATTGACGTACCTAGTTCTCCACATAATAATCGGTCACTACCATAAACAATCCTCGTATCCCTATTGTACACGAAGGTCAATAGGCTCATAAGATTCTGGTAAATTGACAGATTAAATAAATAAAAATCCTATAGTGGGTGTAGAGAACACAGAAAACTCGATTACGTTATTAAGTTTATTATCGTGATTTGATATTATTGATGGCGTCGTGTACTTGTTTTAAATTACGACTTACCGGAAGATACTGTCCTATCACGGCGCCGTTCAAACTGTTTAAAAATATTATGATACACACCTTTTATATTTAGTTTAGTGTACTTTAATCTCTTACCACGGTCAACATGATTTTACATATCATAATAATTATTCCAACCGACAATGTGATTGCTTTTCTTAAAAACGTCACATCAGAATCTGATGAATTTAACTAAACTATATTGTGTGGTCGATGTTCACATGAATAGGAAGTCGAAAGTCGGATAATCATTGACGATAACCGTTATTCTCACACCGAATTAACTTGTTTTTTTAATATAAAATGTTTTCATTGCACACTCAATGGGCTTAATATATATTTTCCATGAAAAATAAGCGAAAACGCTATCAGCTCGACATTCTCACTAAACTACAATCTACAGGTACGAATGTACGATTGACCCATGCATTTATCTTGTTGATTAAGTGTTTAAGAGATTACGTTTGCAAAACGATTCAGGTTCTTATCGTAACTGTACAAAATATTAAATGCCAAATGGCAAATTTAACGCTGTGTGATTTAGATTTTAGCCGGTAGATAACTGTGTTAAATTTTGTTTTAATTGAAAACGGGTTGTTAACAATAATTGAGCGTCTATAAGTGATAAATAGTAGTTCACGCTTAAATGTGTTACATCGACCGTGTTGTACGTTCTCGTATTTAGTGCTTAATAGTTAATTGGCACGTGCGATACGTGCAACACACGAGTTAAAAATTTCATCGCGTCATTTAGGAGTTTTTTTTTAATCATTGAAACAATTCAACCTGAGTAGAAACATTTATTCTGAAATCGAATTGAGTTTACTAATTAGTAATTATCTACAATTATATCGCCGCCAGGAGATCTATATATTCTTATTTTATCGCCGGCTTAATTATGACCTTTTATTCTCTAGACTCTAGAGTGAAGTATTTTGTCGGGTAATCATGGGAATTAAATAGGTTTCACTTCGCACCAATAAATGTTTGGCCATTTTCATAGTAAGCTGTTTTTTGTTCTCTACGGGCGACAAGCCATATATATATTATACGTTAATGGCTCCAGCTGCTGTCCTCCGTTTTTTTTTTGAAAATACATTATTTTATTTTATTGGTACAGTTGACAAGGGGTTTGCCTTCGCTTGCCTCGTGACATTTTTAGTGGTTACGTCAAAAAAATGTAAAAACCTGGCGCGTTTAATGGCAAGTTATGCGTAGTTAACGTCATTTAAATCGCTGATGATTTAAATCATCGGCTGATCGTCGCCGCCGCTGCAGACGATAAGCTCCGTAACATTAATAATATGTCTGTGTAAACAGTGTATGAATAGCTGTTATTTAGTAGCAGGACCTATTACTATAACATAATATTTCTCTTACAAAAGGCTAATTATTATTACACGAACGACCGCGACTTTCTCCGGGCAGCCCTTTATGCTGCGTGCGTGTATGACCGGCGGGTGCCTTATGCATAGACAAGTATGCTATACGCGTGGTCTTATGTGAACCTGCAGCCTAGGTTTAATGCAATATTTTGCTGAAAAAAAAAATTAGTTGAAAATCGCGCCGCCGTTGACAATACACCCGGATCTACGGCTGTCGTTCATATTTATTATCATTATTTTATTAAAATAAAATACGATGGTAATTCGATTTCCGTTCTATGCCCGGCTTGTTATTTTCGATAGCACAATGACGGGCCAACAACAATGGATTAAATTGTTTATATTATTATAAACAAAGAACTATGCTAATACACCCCAAAAATATGTCACTATCTAGCAATATCCAGTATCCACGTTAAGCGAATTTTGTAATGTTATTGTGAAGGTTTTCATTTATTATTCGGTAGTTGTTTGTTTGTCTCAATCTAAATGATTTGTTTACGGGTTCTAAATGTTTACAAGGGCGCCCGCAGGATACCAGCTATCCAACTAGAGACAAGATTAATTAGTTTCGATTTTCAATAATTCATTAACATAGTCTCGGCGTCGAACAACATACATTATTTAATTGCATACAACTAGTGTTCGAAAATTTTATGAAATATAAAATTTTAAAATATTTCAATTTTCATTATTTTGTTTTTTTTTCGGTCTTGTAAAGTAATTATATAAAACAAATTAAATATTTCACCGATTTACATTTTTTTTTCTCATTTTTTATTTATTATTTAAAACTTTTTTGTAATATTTATTATAATCAGTCAACATTTTTTACTGTATTTCAGTTGCTATAATTGCACACTTTTTTTTAATAGTTTTATCATTTTTGTCTCTTCTAAAATGGTGTATTTCACTATCTAGTGAAATATTTCAGACTTCAAACAACATCACCAAAAATTACCAACTGACAACTTAACTATGAATTATGTATGTGTTTTACAGAATTGTTTGCCTTCAATCACAGTAATTGATGACGCAGAAGTGTATAATATTAATATTACTACCTAATAATGCGCTGCCTTTTCATTTTGACGAAAAACTAGTTTTTTTAGTGACGTAAACTGAACAGATGCATCCAGGTTCATTAGCTGCATGTACTTACATTGTTCTTGACATTACGATCAAGTTGAATAGTCTTCAGATGGTTTTTGATTTTTTTGCCAATTTAAAGAAACCAAACTGGTCCACATCACACTCGTTGTCGCCTACGCGATAATTTCCTCTTTTGTTTCAAGTTGATTTTAAAATTTACAAGTGAATGAACTTAGTATTTACACAATTCGCCCCTTAATTAAAATGTGAAGTTTTATTTATTATACATACTAAGCATACTGCATACCGTTATGGAGAATACGTTCTAAAACCAAAACAAGAAAATGAGATATTACCTAATCAATTAACTACTATATGGTAAATTGTAAATTGTTTTAGGTTTTGTTAATTTAACTTTAGAAATCTAAAATGATTTATTTACTTGACTAGCATGCATTTTTTTAACTTCTTATCTCTGAAAAGCGGGTTTAAAAGGGTGCCTATTTGTACAGCTAGATTTTGTCACAGACCGTTTGATTGATGTATGCATATTTTTAATTATTCTACTTGGTAGTTGAATTCGATTATAGGATAAAGAATTAGTTATATATTTCTTTAAGATATTTCACTTCCGATTTTTGCAAATTGAGACGAGACTTCAGAAATGCACAAGATAATAGTTTTAAAACCTATTATTACTGTACTAGTAATAAATTATGAAAGATATTTATATCCATGGTTCATTATTACTGTAAGTCATCCGAACACGTAATTGATATTATAGAAGATCGTTAACAAAGAAAATTCGAAAAAACTAAACCACGAATGTTTTAACAGTTTTATAAATATAGTATCTTCGATTCTCAGAAAACGGCGACTTGTATAATATATAAAAAAAGACAGTTACCAAACTAAGGATTAGACTTAAGTCCTTATACAATTTAATCTTTTTTTTTTCAGATGAGCCACTTGTTTAACATGTTTGTAAAACAAGTAGCCGATTTTTGTGATTCATCTTCGATGCCGGGTAAGTCATTTTTTTTTTTATGTATTTATTAAAATACTCGTTTGTTATTTATAAGTCTATGCCGATGTGTGTAACCGAATAACCTACTGAGATGAGACAAGAAGGAATAAATAATAATAAACTCGCTCTATGCGGTTTGTGCCGCGCCGGTTGCTCAACTGTTGGGAACCTAACCTAACGGATCATCTCGTTGTACACAGATTTTTGTCCGATTGTAGTATAATGCATACGAGCGTGTTTATATGTGTGTTGACCCAAAAACGGTTTCTCGACGGTTTTCACCGTCTAAGCATATTATAAGAGTAATAACTCATTATCGTTTAGTGTCGAGCGTTAGTAGTAAGTTACTTGCTAGTAACCTCAAAACGATAATCCAAACAGCCTATACACGAAATAGGTTTATAAAAAAATGCATTTTAATACTAAAAGGTTTCAACGACAAATACACGTTTCCTTGATGGACTTTCAAGGTAATCTCAGCGACAGTGCGGCGTTCAATAGGATATGTTCTTGAATAAGATGTCTTAACAGTAAACACGCACTTTGGTGTTCGTCGTGACTTTTATATAGCTTTAATATATTATATTATATATTTAACTTTTCTATCGATCATTCGTTAAAGTCTTCTGATGGGTTCATCGGCGTTAAATTAATTTGCATGTCACCGCACGAAGGTTATTGCCTCTCCTCATTGCGGGTCACGGTTAGAAGCTGAACGTTGAGAAAATAATACCATATTCATTTCCTTTTCGGCCGCCACTCTTGTACTTATCGCAATTACTACTTTATTCGTTTTTCCCCAATCATCGCGCTAATTGGTTTTAAAATATCAAATGTGTTTTTTTTAACGTTTAGGCGAGCTTCCTGGTCGACCATAGCTTTTTTTTTTTTGACGCAACAACAAAGCTATACAAAATGTTGACATTTCCTATTCATTAATCACATTCGGAGTATATTATTATTATGTGTGTGTGTGTGTGTGTGTGTGTGTGTGTGTGTGTGTGTGTGACTATAATAGAGTTTAAGAAATTGACCCATGAGAAATTGCTTTCTCTGGTCGGCTCAACAAGTGATATAGGTACTGATATCCGCTCAGCTTCGTTTTAATGGAAAAGGTTGTATTCAAATATTGACTTTTGCTGACCAATGGGTATCTTACTTTTGATGTTTATACGCACATAACCGTGTTACGGCACAGTACATAATTTAAGCATTTCTCACTTCGAAATTATTATAATACACTTGCGACATGTCTTCAATAACAACAACGCACGCGATTTCTTAAAAACTGTGGCAAATATCGAACTGGCGCGTCTATAGGTACTGCTTTATGTAACGCTGAAATTTAGAAACATTAAATTATCTAGATTATTGTGTACATCGTGAAATTCATGTTATCCCTTTTATGTTTCCACAGACTGCAATAAAGTATTGCTTCTTTACGGTTTGACTAATTTAGCAAAAATGGAAGATGACAGCTTAGACCAAATGGACCCTTATCAAAGAGGCTCTACCATGATGAGTATGTATTTCGTTGGTTATATTTTTAATTATTAGGTTAATAATCATAGGACTCAACATCATAAATCTGAAATGACGTGTTTGGCATACGTATAGCTCACACACAAACGCTTAGGTACTCAAAAACATACATACCACGATTAAATATATTAAAAACAAATGTTTTGTTTTTTTTTAGTTTGGGATTCTATGATGAAAGGAGGATACTCTCCATCAGAAACGACCAATAACAAACACCAACACGAAAACACTGATCCATTAGGTAAGCACACCAATAAATAATATACATATTATTTATTATTATGTGATCATAAATGTATAATATCAACTGTTCTAACATTATGTTTCATTTTAGAAACAAGCGGGGAAAACGATTTAGGATCAGCATCAAACAATGTGGAAGAAATAGCAACACCGCCCGGCGGTTATGTTATCGGACCGATGGTGGTCAGAGTGATGCCCGATGGCCGTCCAGTTCCAGGCGATTCTCAACGACCTTTGCCTAAAGACGAGGATGCAGAAGAATTCTTAGCCATGCGATCCAAACCTATGCCGTCCATGGTCGATGTATTAGGTCAACGCAACCAACAACGGAAGACGCAAGAAAGACCGGCCGCAAGACCATATAGGTATACCTTAAAGCCCATCAACTGATACTTCTAAACACTGCCTTTTCTCAACAACTTGGTACAGTTTCAGACGTCATATTTATTTATTTATTTTTATAAATGCGTATTTTTTTTTATATAGATATATATTTATTTTTTTTATGTATTATGGAGAAACATTTTTTATCTTGGAAAATTCTATTATATCTTTCATTGTAACTATTTGTTTAATTGTTTTCTTTAGGTTTAAATGTGTCAGGGTCCTAAATAATTGTGAACACAATTTTTTTAAACTTTTTATTTTTTAGAGTGAGATACTATTATTTATTTATAAATTTATAATTATTTTAACTTATTTGTAAATAGTACTGTTAGGTACCATGTGTTGTGATATTTATGTTAAAAATTAAGTAAACATTTTTATAAAAAAAAAATATGTTGTATTCTAAGTTTAAATTATTGATCGTTTGATATTCATTGTCATTTGATTATATACTGAAACAATGTCTATACTCTATACTATAGGTATTGTTTATAGTCTATAGACAATAGAGACAATTGTTATATATTTTTGTGTAGTGTTATAAATTGTAAATAATATTATTATTTTAACATTAGCTATTTAGTTAAATATTATTACAGTGTTATTAATTGTCCGATTAATACGTTATCTATTGATTTTATCGTTAATTTGAGACCTAGTCAATTTAGACTAATTAAGTTAAATAAGTTAAGAATTTAAACAGGCCATACAAATACATTTCAGTATTAAGGGGAACAGAAAGCACCGAATTTTAAAGACTAAAAAAACCCTTCTGGTGTATCTACCACTCATTTCAAACACTTCGTTTTTATTTTTAAGTTTAACATAGATGGAAATTAAAAGGCCGATTTTTTTATTTTTGTTTTCTTCAAATTATTCTTTTATTGAATTTAATTAGCCAGTTAAATTTTAAAAGTTGATAGATCATAGAACTCTAGAAAAAGAACTTAGTTGGTTCTAGCTTGTATTTTTTAAATATGTTTAAAGCCAAGTACATTACATCATACCATTATTCAATAATAATGGTGATGTCTTCATTATAATTCGATCGCAAAAAAATAATTTGTATTATCTTACTCATTATTATCTGTTCCATCTGCATATCGCATGTTCTATGGCATGCCACGCATTATAATGCGACCACAAAGTTTATGTAGAGGCTAGAGCCATTGCTAACTAATACATCATCGCATAACAAACATGTTGCTGATCCTTTGGAGTCATGTCTTTTAAAATATCTACAAACATTGCTTGGCGCCATTATTAAGTTAGATGATGTCTTATCTAGACTCGGTACGATAGTCTACTGGAACTTCCAATTTGTAAAGTGGGTTTATGCGTACGACGTATGCAACACAACAGATATTGTAACACCTCAACACTTATTACAATAACTTGCGATAATTTGTTCTAATAACATCACGCAATTGTTCACGTATTGTGTACAATTATTAATATACAGATAAACCATTGACAATCCACAGTTACTTAGATTATTTCTTATTAATCTTATTCAATATGTAAAAAACTACAAAAATATAGCTTAAAATTATTAACCAGTTAATTACCAGAACATATAATTAAGAGTTAAGAGTATGCTATTATTAATAAAGGCTATAAAAAAAAAAAACTATACTATCGTCATAAATTGCAAGATTATCGATCAGAAATAATTACTATTCAAGAGCCCGCAGGCAAAAGCGTGTTCCATGTTTTATAATTTTAGCCATTAGGCTTTAAGTAGACTTAAACTTAGAACTTTTTTTATTAAACTTTCACCATAACTTGGAGAAAAATAACTTTAATAACTAGAAAACCTTAATACTTTTATCAGTTAATCGTTTTCAATTGTAATACAGAATATTTACTTTGTATTGAATATGAAACTTAAAGTTCATTAGAAACATAAAACTTAGGGTAATTTAGTTGAAGGGATCTGATAATAATAGTATTTCATAGAGGATTAAAAGTCAACTAATTTTAACGATGTGATCATCTTGTAAGCACTGCTGAATTAGTAACTACAAATTGGCTTTATGAAGTTAAAAATCGGTAATTCGAATTTTTATTGAAAAGTAATGTGAAATATGTCTTAACTCATAACCTTTTACCACCAGATGGCAGCATAGCACGGCCATACCCATATCATCAACTATAGTTTTTATTAAACCTTTTTGTTTCTCTAATTATGGTTAATATGACTTACACCACTATGCATAACACATATTGCTTATGTATTATGTGAAGAATAATTTCATCAGTAAATTAGGCAGTAGAACAAACATAAAACGTAGATCAATTTTTCAATAAGATGATGTTTAATTTTTTTTAGATTAGAGATCAAACATGATAAAAAAAAAAAAAAAATAGATACAGGAAATGTAATAAAAAAATCTAAAACTTAAGAAGTCTTTTAGTAGGAAGTATGATATAGTTTTATGATATAAAAAAAATGGAGTATATGCCATAAAACATAAATACAAAAAAACTCAATTAGCGGGTTTTTTTTCTTCGTCTGGTGTTTGAAGACGGTGGCCCCTGTACTACCACTGGATTTTCATCTTGTCGTGTTGTGTACATATCAGAGAAAGAATAATCTCGTTCTTCATCTTGTGGTAATGGTTTTAAAGCCTCTTCTAAGGTCTCTTCATTTTCCGAACTATCCATAGTCTCGTCCCATAAAATACCATTTCCATCAGTTTGTTCGATTGTTAAAGTAGGGTTCACGTTTGTATGCAAGTGCATACTGTGATTTATGAAGTGACCAACTGGAAACCCCTATATTGTAAAAATAGGTAATCTTAACAAAATGTAGTTTTATTTTTTTATTTTATTTGACTTACATTGTTTTGAAGAACTTTAAAAATCATTGTCATCATCATATCTGTACACTTTTTTCCGGTTGACATCAATGTTTGAAGCCCACCGCGTTTGAAGTGATTAATTTGTTTATCAATATCCTAAAATAGTAAGTTCAAAAAATATTTTAACATTTTTATTTCATTAATTTAATTATATAATATAAGGTAACTTTTTTTTTTTTTTACCTTTTCATGACGTTTTATGAAAGGGCTTATAATATTTTTATAAACATAAGTAAGTGAGCTGTCTGAAGTTGGGTAAGTCATATAAAGTAAAAACAACTTCACCTCATTGTAAAATGGCAGCCTAAAATACAGTTTTACAGATTAATTTTATTGTTTTCTATAAAAAAAAAAGTCAAGATTACTGATTAATACAACATTTAACATTAAAAACGACCATTAATATAAAACATTTTTTAAAAACATTATTACAAAACCAATACATTCTGTGCTATCGCATCAAATCCTTAAATAAAATATCAACTTATTGGTATTTTGGGAACTATCGGTTGACTAAAAATTTAACTTTGTATATGGTTTTTATTATTATTTAAATCATTTTTGGTCATGTTTGATAGATATAATATAGATGTACAATTATTGTTTTAATAATGTTCTCTTCAAAGAAAATCTGGTAATAACACTGAATATTTGATCAAAACCATTAATAACACTAACACATAATATGCTAATCAGGTCTAAAGGCCAACTTTGATTTTTTAATACTTTTTACTCAACTTTTGATTACAGTAGAAATTCCATCTTAACACTAATAAAATAAACTATAATTTATATGTTTGAATAAAATAAAAACGCTTTGCTGCTTATATCAATTAGCCATATGCCCATATGAATTAGTATATAAATTTACAAATATTAATTTGTAAATTATACTCACGCTGTATCCAAGAAGCATAAACAATAACATATTATATAACAATAGTATTTATTTTTTTCTAAAATAAATAAATAATTGTTACAATTTAATATACTTACCAGGGTCCAATGAAAATATCTGTTACTGTTTCAGCTGATGTGAACATTGAAAAAGTGACCCAATACATTAACCAAATTCCCTAAACATTTAAAATAAATTAGTATTCATATAACAGCAATAACACTACAACAAGTTAATAACAGAAATCAAAATACATCTATTTGTATAGTATTTTGGCTGGTTTACTTTAACACCTTAAATTTGTTTATAAATTGCCTCTTAAGTTTTAAACCACTTACAAAATAAAAATTAGAAGTTCCTAATTTTCTTTTGTGTATAAAAAGAAAACACAAAATTTAACATTAATTCTGAGACCAAAACCGAGTTTAACAAAGAAAATAGAATTGAACAATTTGAAAAATATTTAATAATGTTATATATATATATATATATATATATATATATATATATATTATTCTTTAATAAGATAAAAACAATTGTTCTTTCAATCCATTAATGCTATGTCTATTTATTATTAAAATCTTCTCTAAATGTATATATATATATATATATATATATAAACAATAATTTTACCTATATTTATTTGTTTAGTCCAAATACTAACATATATATATATATATATATAACAAATAAATGTAGGTAAAATTATTGTTTTATAAATTGTATGGATAATTATTATGAGTAATACCGGCCATACACTACGGTCTACCTGCGCAGGTAGATCGGAACGTGTATGGTTGGCTTAAGTACTTACATAATTGGTTGATCGCTTTGTTTTTAGTACTTTGTATGACATATATCCAGGATAAAGTATTCCAAATACCATACTAAAATTATATTATACATTTTCTTAATAAGTCAGTAATCATTTATTTAAATATAAGTATCATAGGAGAATTCATGTATCATGTAGTAGATAATATATTGAACTTGATCTAGGATTTATCCGATTTTAATCTTACAGCCTACAGAGATTTTTTTTTAACTTGCGATTTTAGGGAGAAAATGTGAGTTAGACAACAATGTATAAAATGAACTTGTATATACTTGACTGTGTACATACATTGATGCAACTTGATGTATCTGTATGAAGTGTGGATACTCTATAACAATAAAAACTTTATTTTCAGAATGACTCTTTATAATCCTCCTCCATGGAGTAATGATAAAGGTATGTAACATTATAAACTGATTTTTCTGAGTATAACAATACAACTATTATCGCGACTAGCATACACTCAGCTATACTCAAATATACGAATACATAAAATGGTGGTATCTAATGTCTACGACATAAGCGTCTCTTTGTTGTCATTTTGCTTTGTTCAATATGATACATCGAGTTATAACTTAGTACTTACATAAGAGGTCTGCAGAGAAAATCGGGCAACATATTTGAAGATCTTATTATTTACGGAATAATTGAAGTTAAATCACGAAACAAAATAATATAATTTAATATGAAAACCAGGTTGTCACCTGAGTTTTGATCCTTCGATATATCAACTACATATGCTGTTCGACAAAACGAAAAAAAAACTACAATATTGTGTAAAAGTATAGGTAGGAAACGGTTCACAGATTAAAACAACGGATTAACGTACTGTTTCAAAACAAAAAGAAATTTTACAAATGAAAACGGCCAATGGTAGTCGTTATGGTAATCACCCAAGTTTGTCTTATCAGTATCATTAGATACGGTGAGCACTGAGCAGCTTAATGCCAGTGATATTTGATAACGAGTAACGACAACAATGCAAAAAAATAAAAAATAATATTAATTACCCATTTGATTACGAATGCAAATTTCAACTTGAATAAATAATAGCGTCAATCAAATTGGGCGATTTCGGTCTAGTATAATAATTATTAATGAAATTGTACTAAAGTAAAATTAATGTAGTGAACTCTACACCGTTAATATTAATTGGTTTAACACACCCATTCTATAGAATAATTATATAGGGACCTATCGATGAGAACTACTATATAATAGATTAAAAAACAATAGATCCAAGCAGTTCTTTCTCTACTATTTCGGAAAAGGAAGCATGGAAATTATCTCGCGATGGTTTCCAAATTAAAAATACACACTAGAGTTCCTGGTATTATTATTCGAAGCAATCGGTGCTACAAAACTTATACAAACAACAGTCTATTTATGGTAAGTATTAAAGCACATCATATAGTGTATTTAACTACTTATTACAATTATAATATTCCATGATTCTCATACTGCAATTATAAGTATCAATTATAAAGTAATTATTTTGGATAAGGAATTGAAGATAAACAAGGTTGCACTTTGTTATTTTTCTTTTCATTATTCAACAGCCTTTTTATATTGCTCAATTTATTTTTAAATAAACAAACTACGAAGGCATTAATTGAAAAAATTATAATTTTTCATTCAAGAGTTTTTTTGTACTTTATACAAAGTTGTTAAAATGTTAAACATTAAATTGATCTCTTTGGTAAGCCTCACTTTTATTTGAAACTGTAAATAATTCAAGATGTCCTTTCTAAAATATGTGTTTTTACTTTTTTTTTAGAAATCCGGAATCGGAAAGCCTTCTATTTATCACGCTCTAATAATAACATTTTTAGAATATTTTTCATGGGGTCTACTCACTTTGCCGACAGTATCGGTGAGTATATTAAACTATTTACTTATAATTCAAAGTGTAAATGTAATTTATTGCACACTTTTTTTGTCTTGTATAATTTGTGTGCAAATTTTATTGCAATCAAATTTTTTTTTTTGTTTTTAGAAATTAAACAATACATTTCAAGATCATGCATTGCTTATGAATGGAATTATCTGGGGTGTAAAGGTAAACCAAAAAAAAAAGAATAAATAAAAAAAGTATAATTTTTATAAAGTACTAGTATAAACAGTTAAAGAGTTATCTATTTCTTGTCATAGGGCTTGCTATCGTTTATGAGTGCTCCATTAATTGGTGCGTTGTCTGATGTTTGGGGAAGAAAATTTTTCCTGTTTTTGACTGTATTTTTTACATGTATTCCAATACCATTTATGGTCTTGGATTCTGGGTAATTTTTTACATTTATATTTAATCGCAAAGAAAACATATTTTATTAATTATTATTTTTAACGTTTAGGTGGTTTTTCGCTTTAACTAGTATTTCTGGCTTATTCTCAGTAACATTTTCAATTGTATTTGCTTATATAGCAGATATAAGCGATGAAAAAGAAAGAAGCCACTATTATGGATTGGTAAAATTTTTAAAAATCTACAAATTATTAAATAATTAAACATATTATATTGTCATTGTTTTATATAGATAACTGGTACATTTGGAGCCAGTATGGTTTTCGGTCCTGCTCTTGGTTCATACATCATGGAGAATTATGGTTCCAACTATGTCGTTTTAATTTCCTCGCTTATTGCCTTGTTAAATGTTTTATTTATAATTGTCGCTGTTCCTGAAAGCTTACCATATAAACTTAGAATGTCCACTAATTGTATATCCTGGGAACAAGCCGATCCCTTTGTTGTAAGTCTTAAAAACTCAATAATATTAGCAGTAATAAATATATTCAAATTGAACAATTTATAACTATTATTTATAATTTTTTTAGGCTCTAAAAATGGTCGGTCGAGATCGTACTGTACTGATTCTTTGCTTAACAGTATTTTTATCATATCTTCCGGAAGCTGGAGAATACTCATCATTATTTGTTTATTTGCGACTTGTACGTTATTATTTTATCGATAATTAGATTAGTAATTATAATTAGTATTTAGTGATGGAGAAAAAGTAGGATTTGCCGAAGTTAGAAAATCCAGATTCTACAATCCTAAATCTTTTTCAATCCTAATTTTTTTTTTTGTATATTTGGTTGTTAGATAAAATATAATTAGATTTATAAATAACTAAGGGATTAAACACATATTTCTGTAATAAAATTAAAATTTTATAAATTAAGGGGAACTGAAAGCACTAAATTTTATACAATTAAAGACTAAAACAAGAAGTCACTTTCTAAAGTGTCTACCATTGATTTCAAAAATTTTGTTTTTATTTTTAAGTTTATTGTCTTCTTTATAGGAGCTAAAAATCCGATTTTTTATTTTTGTTTTTAAAATTTTATTATAACCATTTATATTTTTACTTCTTTCTAATAAGTTTTTACTATAGTTTTCTAATAAAATCTAACTTATTTCCCAATAGCTAAATTATGAATCAGTCTATTAGCCCCCATAGAAAAAACAGTAAGAAAAACAATAAAATTGTAATCTGTCCATAAGGTATGCCTGAAAGTAACTTCTCCGAAAGTGATTTTTTATCAAACTTTCGCCATAACTCGGAAAAAAAATAGATTAAAAGTTTTATTAATAGAAAATTTTAATATTTTTTTCGGCCTATTTAAAATGGCTATTAATAGGGATTTTTTAAAACAAATATTACCTATTCTTTGCTAATAAATAGCCATTTCCGTTCCCAAAGTAATTTTTATAATATTATTACTGAAAATTCTATTTTTAAATTAAAAACTCAGATTATCGATGTTTAGAATTTGGATTTACTTCGCATCACTATTAACAATTAATTTTCTGGTGTTTTTATGGCTTTTTTTTCTAGGTAATGGGTTTTAGTATGTTGAAGGTATCCGTGCTTATTGCAGTGATAGGGTTGCTTTCGGCAGCCATTCAATCTATACTCGGGTTAATCATGCAAATGTTGGGTGCTAAATATACGATAATGATTGGCTTAGTATTTGAAATTATGCAACTTATGTGGTTTGGATTTGGTTCTGAAACATGGTATGTCCTAAACATTTTTTTTTTTTTTGCTTATAGCATTAATGTTTGGTAGTAGGTCCCAAGGCCTAGTTCGGATGCCTGCTTGGCAGAATGGGCTGGTTACCCATATGTTTCTGCCAAGTTTTTTGTGGGAGGATGGCGGCCTCTCTCTAGACAGTTGCCTGCCCAGGGAGAGATGCCGCCCATGGCCAAGTTTGAACCGGCGATGGTGCGTGCATGGAACCTGCCGCCTTAGTCTACTTCTCCCGTCCCATCTTAAATATTAAAGACTTGTGTTAGTTTGTGATAACATATGATATTTGTTTATAATTGTTCTATGTTAGGGTTATGTGGTCAGCTTGTGTCTTGGCCGCAATTTCAAGTATCACGTACCCAGCTATTAGTTCTTTTATTTCTATCCATTCTACTGCAGATAAACAAGGTATAATAAAATAGTTTGAACGAGTAGAAGATTTTTATATTTCAGTTGTATATTTAATTTTTAGGAGTCGTACAAGGGGTAGTAACAGGAGTGCGTGGTCTTTGCGGTGGTTTAGGACCAGCAATATTTGGGTTTACATTCTATTTATTCAATGTCAATCTCAATGAAGGCATGCAAATGGCGCATACTCCAGTTCAGACTTTAAACAACTCAATTATTGTTGAACATTTAAAATATAACTTTCACAACGATCCATCTACATCGGTAAGCATAATTTGTAAAACATAAAAAAATAATAAATGTACATATATTGTAGTATTATACTAACTGCCCATGTACTTGGGCAGTTAGCCCAATGGATATACTTGGCTTTGCCCGGATTAAAAAATAGATATTAAAACAAATTTGGGTAACAATTCTGCACACACATACATGATAACAGCAGCGAGGTATGGTACAGTTTAAAATGTGCGGAAATGCATATTCCATGGCAACTCTGCTTTTTGCATCAAGAATTAAAAACTTATCTGACGTTCGTTATTTAATTTTTTTTTTTTTTACATTTAACGACTATAAACTATGCTTAAAATCTGCTTTGCGGTATAATCTATAAGTAAAAAAAAACCTCATGTCTATCAGATAAGCAGTACCAGAGCCAACCCGTGACAAAGATTCTCATCTCAAATTTATGTATGAAAATCTGTGTAAATATATTTTATTGTGTTTTCTTTTTTTTTAGTTAATTCCAGGACCACCATTTGTGTTTGGGTCACTTCTCGTAATGTGTGCTTTATTGGTATCGGTGTTTATTCCAGAAGCTCCATGCGGTAATGAATTGCGTTCAAAGCAAACTGGTAAATTTTGGTTTTACTTAATTTAATTCACATTCAAAATATTCTTCTTCTAATTACAATAATGTTATAGGTTCTTCGTTGCCAATGCAATGTCAAATTGGTAGATCTAACGTTCAGTCTTATTTATAAACATCTAGTCAAAATTAGATAATCAACTTAGGTTATTCATAAAAATAAAAACAGTCATCATTATATTATTCTGGTACTGAAGTTATTTGTAGTTACATAATGTTTATTTTAACCAATTAACTATGGCTTATGTAATAAAGTAATTGTAGAAATTCTAAATTTAACTTTATGCGGTAAAATCTATTTCACTTAATTAGTCTACATTAACGAAAAGTGTATAAGTATCAAAAATAAGATATTAATATAATTATCATCATATACAACACTATGAAATGCCATATTACAATAATTTATACATTTTAATAAGTTTAAAACAAAATGCTTGACAGTAATCTAATACAATTTTTTTTGCTATGTTCACTTTGAGCATTTCTTTATGAAATTTAATTAGTTTTTGCCAATAAGGTGTATGTTGAATAGTGGCTCTATTATTATTTGATATCTCGCATCATGTTTTATGTACAAAAATCGCATTTATATCTAGTTTTTTTTTACTATTTTAACAGTACATTTTTTTGTTTGGTTTTTTGTAGTTGAATTTAAGGTTAATTACTATTAAGACTCAAAAAAACCAAACCATTATATTTTGTTTTGTTTTTATTTCTTATTTGTACATTAAACTAATATTGCTCTCATGCACTTCCAGGGTGTTACACGAGAAGTAGGTCATCCAGTATCTTTGTAATTCTTTTAAATATGTTGATGAAAAGAAAAACAAATTTCTATGAAACATTTTATTTTCGGATCCTTTTATCACCAAATAAAATCCTGGCTACTTGCTTGATAAATTGAAGTACTGTGATAATGTGCTGACAATCAAAAATCTATTTTCTTGTTTTTTTATGCACATGAAATAAAACGTAACGCTAGTGCCATGGAAAACCCTAATGCCCATACTTTATTTAAATAAGTGTCCCTGAATCATCAATGAGACTAAGAAAAAGGACTTGGTCTTCATGGTGAAATACTTAAATGAGTAGTATAAGGATTTTTATCACAACGCTTATAATTCATTTTATGATGTTAATAAAATATAATATTTAGTACATTAATTGTCTTTTAAACAATTAAATGCAATCTGTAAAATGTCTATTTGGGACTTATGTGCTTTCTCACGGAAGCTCCTCAATTATATTCCTACTATGTATTATTTATTAGCTATTATATGATTTGTTAATTATTTTTTTATAGTTATGTTAATATTATTTGAGAAAAAATAATGTTTGGCACCCTCTATTAACTTAAGACAGGAATTAGGCACTAGTGTAATATGATAATATAAATTTGGAAGTAATTTTAATATACATTTACAGTAGATAATATCGAAAAAAGTATTTAGACAAAATTAAATGATTTAATTTTAATTTTAATTTATTGAAAATTCTTGTTGTTTATTTAAGTATAAATTATAATTTTGAAATCAGATTCATGCTAATACTAGAAGCACACTATGTACTAAAAATAGTATGTATAATTTTAATAAAAAATAACTTATAGGCCAGAGATAAAACTAAAAATAAATTATGAAGCTGCTGACTTGTTATAGTGTGTACTAAGAGGAAGGTTTCAAAAAGACATTTGTTGTGCTTAGATTTAGCCCACAAAGTTTTTTCTCCTTTTTTTGTGTGTCAAATGTTCTAATTTTATATTATTTTCATTGGTTAATATAACGATTTATGGTTATGTTATTATTTGTTCTTTTGTAATTGAACTACTGACGTTCAGAATTGAAAATAGATATGCCTTTATAGTTATAATCATTTGACATTTATCGATTTCTGCAAATGTTATTAAGTACTGCTATTTTGTACTTAATATTTTTTAAATTATATTATTTTTGAAACTTATAAAGGGGCTTTATATTTTTATCTATTAAAAATTGTCCGTCATATACTTAAAATGATATAAAAAAACTGTTACAATAAACATCATAATATGAAATTATTGTTCTGAGAAAGAAAACCCAAAAATGAATAATTTTCAATACCAAATTTGTCAGAAATAATTACATAATCCATTGTTAGTATAGTAAACTGGCTCCAACTACTTATTTGTGAAAAAATTGAGATTTTAACATGTTGTATAATATGATATGTTTATTTTTCAATAGTGATGTTCACAAAACGTCCTTCCGGGCCTCTATCCCTGGACAGGACTAGCCGCTCGCTCTTGTACCCCGAAACTAAAAAAAAAAATTGTAAAACGTTATTAAAACTGTCCGGTTTGAAAGTATCGAAGAGTTTTGAATTATAGCGGAAAACAACGAACGAAAAAAAATACACTAAAACTATAGTTTGCTAAACAAAACTTTTAATCGTAATATCTGACATAGCCAAAATCTGAGCACCATAGTTTTCAGCGTAAAAAAAAATATATTTGAAAAAAGGCGACTGGGAACTAAACTTTTTCCGCCTTTTTCGTTATCAGAGAATAGCGGAGACCAATAATTGGTTAGTATCATGATAACTGAATAATATTCCTTAGAAAAGAAAACAAATTTGTTCGTTTCGTCCAGTGGCCACCAGCAAAACTTGTACGACTGATAAGCTAATAAAAACATACCTTGTTATATCATTGTGGTACTAATTTATATTCTTGAGTCGATGGGTGGTTAAAACATTACCATTCACCGTGAAATAAGAAACGTATACGTGGTTTGTTTAGCTACATTTATGTATATTTTAAACAGTCACGCGAAATGCGATTATAATTATTGTTTAATTAATGTAACTAAGAGTATAAGAATCCATGGAGATCTTAGAATATAAATTGTTTTTTCCATGACGCACCATACAATTTGTAGAAGGTTATGTTACCAACGTACCTCTTAGCTAGACAACAGCAGTATGCTACTATAAAGTAGTTTTTTTTTTTAAAGCTAGGCTAGCCTCTAATTTACAGTGAGATATTAAGTATTAGCTATATCATGAGTCACGGTGATCGATGTTGAGTACTGTTGCTGCGAAGTCACTTATGTTGATAACTTTTTTAAATAAGTTTATTGAATAATTTTAAGGTAGAATACGTCGCTTCTTTTGCGATTATACATTACAACCAATATTGTTAACTTGAATTCGTCAGTTTTTGACAACTTTAAAAACAATCAAATAATTGTTTTAAAAGCAACAACAATGCTTATCACATTCAAAAATTTGCAACAGCAAACGTTCAAACTCGAAATCGACCCCGGAAAAACGGTAATAAATGTGTTTTAACTAAAACTTTGTTTACATTATTTACTTTTATGAATTTTTAACTAAGTAAATTTCAAATTTTTTTTCGATTTTTTATAATAAAGAAATTAATATTTAAAAATCCTAAACCGCTAACATAACGGTAGACTTAGCGCTGAAGATGACAACATTGTTGCTGAAATACGTATATGCATTGTGTATTATTTTTATGGTTAAGGGTTTTAAATATTATCTTCTTTATTATATAATATAGCTATAAGTTGCTAAGATTTTTCTTGATTTTTATACTTTATAACTTTTAATAACTCTTAAGTACTATTTCTTATACATTCACATTTTAACTATTCAAACTTGATATTATTGATAAATGTATTTACTCCTAATATTACATTTTACTATTTGTGATTTAATATTTGTCTTAAATTTTTAATTGACCACTGACCGTGTTCAATTGTTTATTAGGTATAAAGCTTTTTACTTTTTCGTATATTTTTAATTTTTCTGTTAACCTTCATGTGCTCGCGCGGACGGCAAATTGGCCGTTCTTATAAATTTTTGCAAATATTATTGTCCAAAGTACCAAGGAAGCGGTGAGAATGGGTATGTATTCTCTAGTTATACATCTCTCCGATAGAATATGATCGAATTTGGTCAAACCAGTCCACCCCAGCAGTTCAGTAGAGCCACAAACTCAGTAGTGTCAGTATGACGGCCAACTTGCCGTCTACGCGAGCGAAAACGAGAATTTTTGCCTGTATTTTTTATACTTACGATCTGGATTTATATTATGAAAAAGGAGGCATATAGGAAAGGCAAGTGTCAATAGAAATTACAAGAACCTTTTACCACTCCCTTGGTGCTCTGAAGAAAATTTTTCTCGAAAATTTAAAAGGACGGCCAATTTGCCGTCCATGCGAGCGGATGAAGGATATTTCTATTATTTTTTAAATAAACATTTTTGGTCAACATTTTTTATGTTCCAATGTTGTCTTAGAGGTAATTGACTCTAAATATTTCGAAACATTCACCTTAAATAAAGAATAACTCATGAAAATGATAAAAAAATAAGGACGGCCAAATTGCCGTCCTCGCGAGCGGCAGTGTAACTTTAGGAGGCGCGAGCGCATGAAGGTTAACAACTTATAATTAATAAATTACGTGTTAATTAAAACATATATTAGGGTGGTTTTTATTTGCACGATGTCCGAATTTCTGTTATGCAGCTCCCAATTCTCACAAACAAAACATTTCAAGCCCACTTTGAACTTCCGATCCTAACCATTTGCTAAAATGAAGAGAAGTTTTCCTTTTTCAATACCAATAATTTAATTTTACATGAAATTTGTCAAGGACCAGTGCAACTTTTTAGTGAAAAAAATGTATGGCTCATTTTAAGTCATTTTTACACTGTACAATCACAATTTTGACAGCCTAGTTTAATGGTTACAACTTTGAAATAGGTCCTTTTCATTTTTATCATAGAGTCTTGACTTAACATTAATTGAAAGGACCGAATCAACAACAATTTCCATTTCCATTTCCATTTTTTTAATTAAATAGGTGGTCATAACAAAATTTGCTGTTCCACTCAACATTATTGGAGGGGAAAAATGTGTGTTGTTGTAATAAAAATAATAGTCTGATTTTGCTATAATTCAGTTATAGTACATAAATGATTTCAATGACCCATACAATTTTTTTTACTTAAAAACATCACTTATTTTCAACAATTTATTATAAAATGACATTTTTTTTTAATAATTAGCTCTTGCAGTAGAATAATAACTACATCAAAATATGTTACATATTATTTTTTTTAGTTCAGCACTCCTAAATAATTTTGTAAATTTAAATCAATCACCTGTATTCTCATACTAAGGTTTTTAGTTTTTTCTTTTACCAAATTTTTTTGCATTGTATTCTTCAGCGATCAAAATACAAACTAAAATAATTTTTAACCCTTTGAGTAAAAGTTAAGGAATAAAGTTCTTATCCATCAGTCTTTTTATATGGCTTTTTGTTTATGTCTAACATTGGTGTAATATAACTTTTTTAATTTATACAAAAATTAAAAACAACAAGGTTTTTTTTTGCTCGAAAAATAGGTTTTAATTGACAATATTAAGATTGGTTTTTAATAAATACAATATTAATTAATTTAATATATTAGGTTTTATTCAGGTTATGGCTATTTGAAAAAAAAAATATATATAAAATAAAATTGCTAAAATTGTTTAGTCTCCTAAACAAAAAATGTCGCTTGGACCCTTTTGTACTGTAGTCTGTCACCATTAATATATATTTCATTGTTGTTTGTAAAACTAAAATCATACAATTTATGAATTTTATCATTTTAGGTTAGAGACTTGAAGGAAAAATTACAATCGGAAAAAGGTGGCGAGTATTTGGCAGAAAATCAAAAACTTATTTATGCAGGTATATTTTGCTTGTCTAACCATGAAAATGATTCAACAATTATTTAGTACTGAAATTATCTTATTTTGTATTAATTATTAAATCATGTCATACATTATTATTCTTACTTATTTAAATATTTTCGGTTGTATAGGAAAAATACTCAGTGATGACTCTAAAATAAGCGATTGTCACATTGATTCAAAAAAATTTGTTGTCGTTATGGTATCCAAAGCTGCTGGAACCACTACCAGTACTGATAAGCCATTGACAACTGCTCCAACGACATCAACATTGGAGAAACCAAAAGAGAGGTACTTTTTCACTATGTCACATTTAATTGTATTAAATGATAATCAACAATTGCAAACATTAAGTAGTCTAATTAATGTTAATTATTCTGCCTAACCATTTTTATTCAAATATTAAAACATTTGTTAACTATTTTAGCTTCAATGTGAAGCTTAGAAAGTATTGTTTTTACAACTATGTATTTTTATTTTAATGTCTGTATACACAACCTCTTTTTAACCGCTGAATCAATTACTTCATGTAGCAACTTTAAAAATTAAAAAAAAAATCAGCTTTTCCACTTCAAAAATACCTCTAAAATTTAAAGTTTTAGGACTTAAGGTCTAAAAACTAGGCTGAAAATAGGTCTAGTATTGGGTCTCTATCATATGCAATTTTATCAAGATCTGAAGTCAAACTTTTGTTTTTATTAAGGAAAAATCAAAAAAAAAATTACCCCTTGACCATAGTCAATTTCTAGGTTGCTAAGTGTGAGTGAATCAACAGTCAACAAGTATTTGAAAATATTTTCATTGTATTGTTGATTATAATGTATGGGTAACTATGGCAATAAATTATTATAGACATACAATGAACCATAATTCTATGCAGCCTAATACTAAAAATACATCTTTAAGCACATTATTCAATTATTGTCATTTTATCGATATTCTTCTTGCTACTATCTACAGATTCGCATCAAAACGTTTAAATAATTATTGAATACCAGTGAATTCCCCTATCCCAATAAGCTTTGTCCCCTCTATGCCCCAACCCCACTTTACTGGCTTATGAATTAAATATATTAATGTTTTGAATATTTCTTTTATTAAGGCATTTACAATTTTAATTTTAGCACTCCGGCCAAATCAGAAAGTAAACCTGATGACCAACAAACCTCATACGCCACAGCTCCACCTACTGCACCAGTAACGGAATCAGCTTCAGGGGATGAATATGAAAAAATTGTTCAAAACATCATGGATATGGGTTATGAAAGGACACAGGTAAAATTACACAGTTTTGTAAATTGTAGTACACACTACAAAACGTTGAAATAAATAATATATCTGAAAAAAAAAATTGTATTAATACATTTTTAGGTTGAAGTTGCACTAAGAGCCAGTTTTAATAACCCTGATAGAGCTGTGGAGTACCTTATTACTGGAATTCCTGAAGACTTGCAAGCTGATCCGGCTATTAACCAGTCTATGAGCAATCTGCTTAATGAAGGTAAAATAAACTAATCTATGTTATTTCCTCATTGTTGTAAACATAGTATAAATTTCATAATTATTAAAACTAAAATTAAGAGATTGTTTTCTTAATTTTGATAAAACTGTCTAGAGAATGAAAGCAGTAGAATTTTTTAAGCAAAACACTCTAACACACAAAAAAAATTGTTTGTCAATCTTATTACCGACCGACCTAGTAAACCTGAAAGAAATACAAAGACAAATTTGAATTTGCCATAAAGAGTACTTGTGATTTCACTTCAGTTAGTTTCTAATTTTAACGCTTTTCAAATTTAGTTTTAAAAGTTAATTGCAGTCTTTAATTTCTTATTCATCAGTGAAGCAATCTATTTTTGTGAATTTGTTTGTTAAATAAAAAAATGAACACACTCATGTTATTGATAAACGTGAACAATTATTTTTCTTTCATTTAACATTTATCTGCATTATTAATATTTTATTTATTTTTTAATTTACAACTATAAAAATCAAGTAAATGACCCCTAACACAGTAAATAGTATAAAATAAACAAAATTAATTAATATACCAGATGAGAGCAATGAAGAAAAAAACTAACATTTTGTTTGAAATGAAAACCAGAACGTATTGGTTTTTTTTCGCATTGAACTTGTACATGATGGAAGTTATTTTTCAAGTTAAAATTTCAAACATTAGTTTATCGTATTTAATAATAAAAAAAAGGAATCAAAAAAATAATAAGACCAACCTCAAACTTCATGAGAAATTTAAATCTGTTTTCGCATTTACCATCACCTCTTTATATTGTCTGTAGGTTAGACAAAATTTGAGTCTTTAGTGGTTAAATAATGTAAAGTCATAGTCATGTACATCATGATCATTTTCCGGTTACATAAACATGTGGTGCAATGAAAATCACACGCTTATGTCTATATACTTATCGTACAGCTTGCCAGCATGCGAGGTACTACCCTAGTTTCCGTTAGCTAAATAAATTTAGCTATTGCTTAAAAATATAACTCTTTAAGAATATTTTAAAGAACAACTAAGTTAATGATTTTTTAGATACTGGCAGTTCGACTGGTAGTAGCCAGGGAAGTATACCGACACCTCCAAATGACCCATTGGCATTTCTGCGCAACCAGCCAACATTCCAACAAATGCGTACGGTTGTTCAACAAAATCCTGAATTATTAAATTCAGTATTACAACAAATTGGTCAAACTAATCCAGCTCTATTACAAATGATATCAAATAACCAAGAAGCGTTTGTGCGTATGTTGAACGAACCGGCCGAAGGGGCGTCTGCCAGTTCTTCTGCCCCTGCAGCAGCTGCTAGAAGCCCAACAGGCGGTTATGAAGTCGCAATTTCCACACAAGATAAAGAAGCCATTGATAGAGTATGTATTGTTGTTCAATATTATTTTTTAAGTTAAATTTAATCTAATTTTTTTTTTATATTTATATATTATATATAGTTAAAAGCCTTAGGCTTTCCAGAACATCAAGTGGTGCAGGCATATTTTGCTTGTGAAAAAAATGAAAACATGGCCGCTAATTTACTATTGACTCAAGAACCCGATGATTAATCACTTAAGACTCCAAGGCTGAAAGAAATCTGCATATATTGTAACAGCTAAAGAAATATGTTAACCTTATTTCTAATAAATTGTTTTGAAATATTGCTTTAAGAAAGAAAAATATTTATAATATTTTAGAGATTGGAAAAGATCTTTTCCTTTTGAAGTGTTTTTTATTCTGTTTTCTCTCAAGACAGAAATTAAATTTAACTTTTCTTATAATTATAAATGTTTTTTTTTTCATATATAATCACATAAATTATCATATATGTTGGAAGAGTGTTTAATATTTACAATCCAATATTATAAATAAAATGAACATGTTACAGAATATTTATTTTGTTTCTTTTTATTCCAGCAATTTTAAGCAGTAAAAGTAGAATTACCTGTGTGTAGCACATTAGTAAATATAATTATATTGAACCTAATTGTATTTTATTATAGATATTATGTGATTAGCCTTTATTAGATTCGTTTATAAAAATTTAACTTCCTCAAAACTATAACCATAGAACCAAAAAACTCGAAAGAATTAAAATATTTTACTCACCATTGTATTTAATTTTTTTGTTAAAACATCTTTGTCTATTTTTTGAGTTTCAACAAGACGAAGAGGTCACAGATCCTCATACCGTATCTATACATTTGCACGAATGCCAGAGCAAATGTGTAATCTGTTCTCATCCTTGCTTCGCTTGTTTTTGAGAATGGTTGAATCACAAGTGTGAATGTGTAAAAGCGGTATCAGGAATTATTATAAATGAAAGTGGTATCTTTACTTTCAGGAAAACGTTTTGGTGAAAAACTTAGGTGGTCTGTATCATTAAATATAAACCATTTTTACCCAATAAATGTCTTAATGATTGTGTTATTTGGTTTTTTAAAAGTTGATAAAAAATGTGACTACAGATGCATTACCTAAAATTGAGAATTCTCTACTGGCCTTTTTGACTGTTAAATTGGAAAATTTACATGTTTTAAAAATAAGAGAAAACCTGCAAGTTTCTTCTTTTATTTTGGAAAAATAAAGTGTCTTATGTTAATGTTTTAACTATTTATGTTGATTAAAAACATATATTAATAATTGCAATAAGTAAATAGTTTCTTTGCTAGTCTTCCTAGTTCCTTCATAAAACAAATTTTTACTTCAGATGTTGTCTCCGGTTTATTGTTGTCTGCAAACAATAAATGAAATCTATTTTATTATTAATTATTTACTGGACTAAATCATTTTAATAAAAAACTGAAAACGTAGCAAAAAGAAGTAAGGTTTTATTTTCATAAAATAACTAATTCAATACATTTATATTTTGTTTTTGATCCAAATAAAAAGATTATAAAAAACCTTAAAGACAAATTGACTACACACAGATTATAAAATCGAGCATTATATATTGTTGAAAAACATTGTTACTTACGAAATAATTTTTACAATGATCACTTATTTTTTAGTAGCTGTACAATTTTACACAATATGTCAAATTTGGAAAATATTTACAAAGAAATATATTATTATAACAGGTATTAAAGTGCCTTTTCAACAGTAAATAACAAAATTACAAAACAACAATAATTTTAATTGTTTGGTGTTAAATATATAAATAATATTTTTTAATTATTAATGGTATTAAATTATAATGTGCAAAACAAAAACCCATCCTATTAAATGTATTTAAAAAAAGTATATATACAATTATATTTTGGTATCATAGGTCATATAATGTATGCCAACCAATGACAGTATTCCAGTCTTTTATACTTTTCTTTTAACGAAATTGACTTCCTTAGTTACTTTTTGTACAGAACATAACATTTTTTTTTGTTTACATAAAATAAACGGGTTAGGGAACAATGTTAATGGTAGCAGGAAATAGAGCACGACGATCAAAGAGAATGATGGGAGAGGGTTCGTTTTCATCATCCTCGTCATCATTGTCTTCTTCAGTTACAGCATTCAAGGCGACAACATTGTCATCATACTTTTGATTGTCCTCTTCGCCTTCAACACTCTGATCATTTTCTTCTTCGTCGTCATCATCAACTTCATTTTGTTCTGCCTCTTCATCATCATCGTCGTCCTCGTCATCTGCGGCATTTTCTTGATTTTGTTCAATGTCGTTTTCTACGTCTTCTTCTTCTTCTTCTGTTTGATCTTCTAATACTTCTTCATCCATTTCTTGACACAAATCTTTGCCATCACACAACTTACTACCAGCACCGTGAGTAGCAACGTGTTTTTCTCCAAATGAACGAGTATTAAACACAATCTCGCATTCGTCACAATGAAATTTGTCAGTTATCTCTGGTGCGTTGGAATGAATAAGCCGATGTTTTTTAAGTTTAGAATACGCATTATGATTACGGCCACAAATGTCACAAGAAAATAATGAGGCAACTGTAGCGTTTTGATGATGGTTATCCAAATGTAAAGACAAATTGTTATAACTCGAAGTTATTCTGCAACAAATTCCACAAACAAACGCAGCTTGAGGACGATGAGCTCGAATCAAATGCTGCCAAAAGTGTTTTAAACTTAACCATTCTTTCCTACATATTGTACAAATAGTCTTTTTGCCTTTTGGTAGTGCAGGTGCATCTCTACTGCGCTCAGTTTCCTCTTCCACATAATTATCATCAATAATTGAATGTTCTTCTCTTCTGTGATCGAATAAGTCGGTTTCAAATCGAAAACTTTTGTAACAAACTGTACACGAGTGGAGTTTTCTCAGTCTCTTTGTGTTAATATCTGAAGTAACATCATCTATATCTCTTTTAAGACTCTCTTGTTGCTCCTCACTGAATCCAAGTTCCGCTAGTTCCTTTGGAAGACCATAAAGCTTTGGTGCCTTAGGCTTAGGGTCAATTACTTTTTTAACCGGAGTAGCTTTAGGAGAGTCTTCTTTTGCAGGATGATTTTCTACATGGTCTTTCAGAACATCTAAATCATTAAATACTTTCCAACAAATTTTACAAGGCTTCAAGTTTTTTCCATGTATTTTGTCGATATGTTCACCAACTTTGCTGGCCACAGAGAAAATCTTACCACAAATTTGACATGTATTTGGTTTTGTGAATGTTTGTGGATGGGATTCGCGTAAGTGTTTCGTAAGACCATCACTGTCAACACACACTTCCATACAAACACCACACAAATACTGAGTGTTTCCTTTGTGACGTTGCCGTAAATGTTTTCTGTAAGTTTTTTTATTTGAATGCATATCGCCACAGAATTCACAGACGTATGAAAACACTCGGCGAACATGGTCACGTTTATGTTTTTGACAATCTGCTTTCGTTCTCATCACTTTGTTACAGCCATCGATATCACAAGTCAATTCTGGATTGTTTCCGTGTTTTTGCCTAATGTGATCCAGCAACAACATTTTACTGTCAAAATGTTCACCAGTTTTGTCTTCGGAACACAATTCACAATATTGGACTAAATGGCTGTGTCGAAGATGTCTGTTCAAATATGCTTGATATTCAAATGTCTTACTACATTTGGAACAAGGATAATCGCCTTTCTCTTTAGGTATCATTGAATCTCGCTTGCCTTTACAATATTTTAGATGTTTTTTCAATAAACTTCTAATCCTAAACACTTTATCACATCTAATACACTGATGTATAATACTTGCTACGGCACAATTACTATTATTAGACTTGTCGATGAGCTGATCAACAGGGTCCGAATGATATTTCATCATATGTCTTTTGAGATGGACTCTTGAAGCTGACGTACGAGCACATAAACTGCAAGTAACATCTGGATGACCTTTGTGTTGCCTACTTACATGTTTCCATAAATGGTTGTTGCCACTATAATATTTTGAACAGAGATCACACACGTGTAACTGGTGATCGTTTTTACGGTGTTCTGAAATTTCTTCGACAGTTTTAAATTCTGTATCTGGACATAACGTGCACTTTAAGTTTACCTCGGTCAATTGATCAGTGACAAAATGAGATACTTGGTCTTCAACATTATGAATTGCTCGGTGTCGCATCATTTTCGACCATTTTGTATACGTCCGTCCACAAATGTCACAATATATAGCATTTTCTTTTGAAACTAAAGGTTCGTGTTTTTCTTTGATGTGTTCTCTAAGTTTGGGTACGTCTAAGTGTACTTTTAAACACAAACCACACAACAGAGGCATCACTTCGGCGTGTACAGCCATTATGTGTTTGTAAAAATCATTTCGGTTCGGCCACAAACGTCCACACACCTCACAAGTATTAGGGCAATCGCCTTGTGTTTCGTGATGTGATTGGTGTTCGATTTGCAATGCTGGCGAGACAAACAGTTTTTTACAATTTGGCTTAGGGCATATAAGGGTTTCATTAGAACCATGTTCTTTGAGGACGTGCCACCATTTTTCAGTCCGAGAACCACACGAATCACCACACAACTCGCAACGATTAAGAAAACTACTTTGAGAAGTATTAGCAGATGCTGTGCCAGACGTCGTGGTTATCATGTCGTCACAGCCAGTCATCAGATGAACGGAAGACATGTGTCTAAGCAATTTCTCTTCACTAGGGAATACTTTGTGACACACTTGACAGCTAATAGTATAATGTTCATAATTTGTAGCTTTGGTAGGATGAAAATTATTGTTGATTATGATCAATTTTTCAGGATCAATTATTTGACCTTCATTGTCATACACTGTATGGATGACGACGTGTCTCATCATTTTCTTTTTAGTATCATGTTGCCGAGCACAAACTTGACATCTATATCTACGTTGTACAGAATCAGCAGTGTCGCTAGATTTTGGATGTTCGGTGTTGACGTGCTCCATTAGAGACTTGCTGTCGTTGCAAATTTTCATACAAACTCCACATGTAACTGCAGCTTCTTGTTTATGACCTCTGACCATATGCAACCATAAACTAGCTTTGTCTTGAAACTCTCTTGTACACACTTCACAAAAGAACACAAGTTCCGCTTCCATCATACTTTCGGCCAGTTCTTCGTCTTCGCCGCCAATGTTTCCATTTAACTGATGTAAATCCGAAGGCTCGATTCCATGCACCTCTGATATATGTTGACTTAAATCAAATTTGTTGGTAAAATTCCGTTCACATAACAAGCAAGACTGTCGAAGATTTTCTGGTTTAATTGGAGATATGACGGCATTATCACTGGGTCCTGGCGTTTCAAGTTCATTTTCTCGTGCTACTTTTCTTGGATTGGCGTTTTTTCGGCGGCTACTAGAATCCGGTTGGGGTGCACTTTTTCCCTAAAAAAATGTTTTTGTGTAAATTATTCAAAACATATATAAAAACTAAGACCACCAGCTTATAGAGATTGATAACAAAAAAACCATTTTAATGGTTTAAGAAAAAAAGACTAAAAGTTATAAAAGCTAGTTATAAAAGCTTTAAATCAATGTTTTTTTTATTGTTGAAATTCAAAAGAAAAATAATATATAAATACATTTTTTTGTTATCATTTTTTTACAATTTCTTATTCCGTTGGTTAAAAAAAGAACCATAATTATAAAACTATAGTTAACATTAAAAACAGACACATAACCAGAATGCGGACGTTTCATGGTCTGCATAATCATCCTTTTTTTTTTTTTAATTGTGTAATAATGGCTTTTACACATATTTTTTCTATCCAAAACAAATAGTAATTTATTTAAAATGTTTTACAAATAAATAAATGTTCTGTTTAAGTGTCTGATGTGTAATTGTTTAATAACTTTATAATTATTTTACCTCTACTTTTTTAGGTCTATTATCTTTTGCAATATTATTAATAACACCAGTACCGGCATGCACTCCAATCTAAAAACAAAAAATCATTCATAATTGTTAATATTGAAGTATAATTAAGGTCTGAAAATTAGACTGAGAATAGATCTAGAATGGGACTATAAAATATAAAATTTTCTCAAAAACCTGCAATCAATAATTTTTTATTGAGGAAAAGAAAAAAAAAGGGGGGGATTACACTTAGATTCTAGTAAATTGAGAATAAAGCAACAGAAACAATAGATAACAAATTATTATTACTGGCATACATTGAACCTTAATAGTACGCACCCTAATTCTAAAAATACAATTTTAAACACATTATTTAATTATTGTTATTACAATGCTTTTATCAATATTTGTACTGCTACTATCTGCAGATTTGCATCGAAAATTATTTTATCATTTTCAATTATAAGAATTACTGTAAATCTGATTCCTGAGACCCTCCCCATCTAAATATGATCTCTCTATCCCCACTGTACTGGCTTTTATTAATTAAATGGATAATTTACACAACAAAAATGTTGGAGATACAATTGTTGTTGCAATTTATAATATATAAAATAATAGTTTATACATTTTCATAAGAACATTTTCCTAAGACAAATTGCAAAATTGTACAATTCAAACTCTACTTGATCAATAAACATCAAATGTAACCAAAAAATGGGTAGACACAGTATGATATAGTATTGGGCTAACAATCATTATTCTCTTTTGAACAATAGCATACACAATTTTTCTTAATAAAACAGTGCACTTTTGTTTAACCTCAAGAGAGTAAATAGCCATAACAATGGAACACTTGAAAACTTGTTATTATGCAGCAGCCACTAAAATGTATTAATTTCAATTTTTCGCTTAGAGCAGGGGTTTAAAGGTGTGTTTTTTTAAGGTAAAAATGAAATGAACTATTTTTCTTAAAATAGTATGTTATATAATTCTAGAATGTTATATATTTACCTCAAGAAAATCCAGTGGATTTGGCGAATGTTCGCGGTGGCTATTATTGTTGGAAATCATACGTTGTTGCATGAGTTTCTGATGCATTTGTTGTTGTTGTTTTTGATACTCTGTGCGGCTATCGTTTGCAAAATATTGCATTTTATTCAATGGTGGAGGTAGTCTTTGTGTAGGCTGTTTGTGATTTTGACGTTGAGATTTTAAAAACTGTTGCAATTGCATGGACGCAACAGGTTTGCATCCAACTGGTTTGGTTGGCCATGTTGCAGGTTTCAGAGGCGGAGGATCGCTTTTGATTTTCTTTGGTTTGTTAGCTGGAGGATTAGGTGAAACTGCAAAGATCGAAACCTAAGGAAAAATAAATAACTTGGTCGTTTATTTTGTATAATGCATGTAAAAGCAATATGTATATATCAGACATAAACATTTTTTTTTCTAAATATGGGACCAACATGAGTCGTTAGTGTATGACACTTAAAAAGAAAAATTAAAAAATTAATTAGTTGCCTATTTTGCGCATGCTCAGAGTAAAAATATTGAGTATATTGATACATTTCATTTTATAGGAATAATTAATTGTGTCTTGCTTGAAAATGATAATTCTATCTATAGATATATATTTTCTTTAAGTATTTTAATTTTAGCCTTATTTAAAGAAACCATACTTCAGGTTGGATGTGATGTAGTCGAGACATTCTGTTATTTTGCATAGATTGATTAGGTTCCTGTAAAACAAAATATTGATTATTATAAATTACAAATTGAATGAATATAATAAATTTATAAATAATTATGTTTTTAAATTACCATAGTTACACTAAAGTTAAGAGTAATATTTCTCCAACACACATGTTAAATGAATAGTTGAATTTCCAATACTTTCTATAAAGAAAAAAAAAAGTTAAATTAGAAAGATATTATAATTCTTTTTATTTTGTCTAACTTTTGTTATTTCTAGGAATTAATTCCTAGAGAGAAGTACTTTAACTTATTATAAAAAAAAAATAATATCAATTATTAAAATAACTTTTATTTTTATGCTGATTACAAAATGGAAGTCAGAATTCCATGGAGACTTCTTGTTCAAAAGTAATAGATCCTTGAACTTTGGGAATTAATATTGCGCAAGAATGTGAGTGTAGGTACTGTGCGAGATATAACAGCGGGGCCCTCTAGTTAAAACATGCATTGTTGGATATAGATCCAATTTTTTACAAAACATAATGAACATGACATGTTTTTTCGATTTGTGGTAGTTTTTCAATACATATTTCACTTTAAACACTTTTATTTTTATAATAATAATATAAATCAATAAATAATTCTATTAAATAAATACAAATTATTATTACGAAAATTATAATTTTCAAATTTCGTTTAAATTTAAGTAGCTTATATTTTTTAACTAGTAACTAGTAGTTTGTACATTTTGGATTTTATATTTGTGATCAACATAAAAAACATTCTAATTTGATAACAAAACAGGATGTCTGATTAAGCAAATTTGTTTCTTATATGAATTATATATTTTAGTTTATAAACACAAAAGTTAATTTATTTTTACTTTGATATTGTAAGATTAAGAGTTTGTATATTTTTTTAATTAATCACTTATTATCTTACGAAAATGTATATACATTTTTTTGTTTTATTAGACTTCCTACTGAGTGTAAACTAACATACGAAATATGTTAACCAAAATATTATTATGATATAGAGTTGTTAAAAATGATAATACACAAATCATTGGCAATTAGTTACGGCAGAATAATAATAATTCAAATATGTAATTTCCCTCTAAAACGACTTCGGGCGAGATAAAAATGAAAATTCAAATTTTGGTAAGCCTAGATGTTATCTTATCATCGGAACAAAAATGATAACAAAAGAAAATGATTTTTTAGAAATATTACATCTATATCAATAAATTTGCACGCGAACACGAAATAATAGTTTCGACGAAAATGCGACGGATGACCAGGTCGTCAAGGTGCCCACGTTCGTTCCGTGCACGTCCGCTATGCGAAACTGGCCAAGCCCCCTACACCAAAAGCCCGATGCCGACGACAGGTGCATGGTAATTCCTCACGCGTATAATTATTAGTGTCCGCAGCAACACGAACTCAACGCGTATCTATAAACCGAAATTGCCGACCGCATACCGACGGCCGTCGTCCATATTGCCAAACCACACTCCTCCAACCGCCACTGGTGGCCGCCAACGCCGTGCCACTTGTACCGTTTACGCCACATCTCGACCGCGACGATTTAGGTCACCTTCAGGCGGATTTGAAAAACACACTCGTCACGTCCATCAATGCCGTCTCCTTGCACTTAAGACTTATAGAAAAGACCCACGGGAAAAACTACCCTGGACTACCCAATCGCGATAACCGAATAAAAAAAAAACAATAGGTCTTACCTTGGCAAGCGCGTGCATAGGTCCGTTCTGGGCGATGTCGCTGCGAGGTGTCCAAAGTCGCAGCCGTGAGTGACGGAGCAATGCGGCACAGAGACGGGCGCGGGCGGGAAGGTGGCGCAGTGTCGTCACTATCGGGGCCCCTTACATAACTGGCCCACGTCCAAAGTCGGCCATTTGCACGACCGTGTGGATATCCGGCTATGGCGTCGTCGGCCACCGAGATGGTGGACAGGGACAGCGGATTAACGTAGTCGGCAAAAAGGGGCAATCGCAGAAGTACACCCGCGGCAAGTGGATATCCGGCGCGCGACTATGACTGGCTGCGGCCAAGGCGCTCCGACGGCAGGAGCGTACGTCCACGGTTCAGGGCGCAATCCGACGGCACTTAAGTCGGCGTCAACTATTCGGCGCGAATCACCGAAAATTCGATCCAAAAAAAGTTCGAGAAGTTGCGAAACCAAATGACATTGGCATATTACTAGTGTCCACTACCGTTTTCCCCCATTCACATTTCGTTATAATACTGTAAACGAAACCACGATTCTACGATACGGTCGGCAGGGCAGACGAGAACCATTGGTGTTCATACCAACCAAAGCACATACCTCGCTCCGCGGGACGTGATCGCATGGCGGCGAGGCGCTACTGGCCGTTTCCAGAGTAGCCAACCGCTTTACCACTTTTGTTTGAATTGCACTACATGAAACAAAAAATGTATTTTCACGATTCATAGTCCCCCACAAAAAAGAAGCACAAATCTGTCACTTGTTTTGTATGTATAGTTACTATAGTTTATGTAGTATACTCATTACTCTTTGGTAAAACATTTAAAATTTTAGGACGCTTGTCCGCATAGGTAAATCTAAATCTATAATATTATATTCTCAAGTTCAAAGAAACAGCAAAATATCTATGTCAGCATACAGAAAATATAATTGTGTCCTCCCAAAATACTAATCAGATTAAAATGTATATATTTTCCTTGTATCGATATAATAACATAATTTATACGATTACTTTAGCTAACCGATTTGTGTCGTCTATCAATCAAACAAAAATGAATTCTCTTATTTTAAAATGTTGTTTTCTGTTTATTAGGTTTATGATTCGTCGAAAATTCAGTTAACGTACAATTTGAGAATGTTTGGAAGAACAATATTGTACAAAACTTGTTTTGCACTGAAAAACAAATTATTTATTTATCCGTAATCGGTCTCAGTCTGTTGTTAGCGCTGAAGATGACAACATCGTTGTCGTAACACGTGTACGCAAGAAGTGTATAATTTTTATGGTTTAGGGTTCAAGTAGATTTTATATCTTTACTATTTATTTATGTTTGTCTTAATATTATATTTAAGGCTATTATTAAAAGAAATATCTTTCATTGCCTATTTACTTTTGAAATAATTATTAAAGCAATCATATTTAATTAGGTACATGCTGCATGCGGGTACTTAATATTTATTTCAGTGAAATAAATATGTACCTTATTGGGGCAAAATTCAATACATAAAAAAATATTTTTTTTTATTTTTAATTTACAAGTATAATTTTTGGATTTTTGTAATACGCGTGACAATTATAGTGAACGATTTTTTCATTTATCTGTTTAAAATTTAAATGTTTATTTATTTAGACATTTAGTTATTGAAATTTAGTATTTTTACAAAACATTAGCAAAAGTATGAAGTAATATCATGTGCCTAATAAAAAATATTACAAAAGTACGTTTTGTGCATATCGACATTTATGTTTTTATGGTGTATATAAATGTTAAGGATGGACCAAATATATCGATAAATTCAAATATCGATATTTACAACTGGTAGATACTATCGATGTATCGTAGGCCGTGTTTGGGGCAGTTCTTCCAAAAAATGATAAGAGTTCTTCCAAAAGATAACACAATTTTTATTTTATCAGCGTGACCAACCCAGAAACACCAAAATATAAAATAACTAAAATATAACTAACGTTTATCAGAGTTAACTGTTATCTCTAGAACTAAACGGCAATAATTCAAATGATAAAAAAAAATAACCGTGTTAAAATATATTATATTTTCTTAAATAGTACACATTTTTACGATACATTTATAATGACAAAAAACCAACTAGTTCATATGACGACAACGATAATTATTGGTAAATAAAATTTACTTTCGTTTCTTATTAATATTAAATGAATATTTTTATTAGAATTCTTTTTTAATTCATAATTCAAAACTCTTGTTTTCACATAATATAAACTTGCAATATTTAATATGAATAACATAATATATTTATCAATTATAGTACCTAGCGACAAAGTTCAGACATACACTATATTGTACTAATTTGTGTGACAATATTATTACATTCTATTTAAATAAAACTATGAATACAAGTAAATTATGTTTTACAGTATGATGGTAGTTGTCTGAAGTCATAAAAAGCTTATCGGTATGCTTATTCATTAGAGCGGTTCGATTCCTGAAACTATCTCTAGTCTGATTAAGTGTGGTAACAGGTATGGAGTTATTTTTTGTAAAATTGTTTTAATTGATTTAATCTCTATTATTTTAATAATTAACATTTCAACTTTTAACTTGTTTATTAATAATATATCTTTCAGTTATAAGATGAGTCAAAGATGATGGTTGAACAGTTCTCCATTGACACTAACTGGAAGAAAAGATTGTTTTATTATTTGTCTAAATAGACTAGGTAAGAAAAACTCTAAATTTGTAGTATTTATAAAAATATTGATACAATAGTAGTTTAATATCAATCTAAAATACCCTAATATAGGGTATTTAAAAAAAAAGAAATCAAATGTAAATTATCATTCTTTTTAATAATTTAATTTACTATTTTCTAACATTGTTAGTTTTTGTACAAGAAAAATTGCATTTACTTGTAGATCTTACACTTTCATTGGTATGAGATAACAAACTAGGTCCACTTGATGTATACCGGTCTCAAATATAGTCTATTCATGAAATCACTCTTCTAAGTGTTACTGATAGATAATTTGAGTTAAATGGTATAAACAAATGTCATTATCAATTTTCATTATATTTAATTTTAACTTCACAATTAACAAACGATAACATTAGTAAATCATTTAAAATTGGTTTTATATTATAATTATTATTATTATTATTTAACCATTTTTTGTTTTTTCAGCTAGAATGTGACCAGAGGAAGATTAAATGGACATATCATATATTTCTCCATAGACACTGTAGTAATCCATAGACTGACTTTTGACACTATATTTGAATATTTGTTGTTGACGTTAATTGGATTTTGTGCAAAACCCCTGGAAGAATATTCTGTATCAGACTAACAGTATAAACGCCACCCAGTAATTCTGTTTACCTGCTGTTAGACATTGTAGTATCATCTCCAATCTCTTTATATATTGTTTAATTTTATTTAAAAAAGTCTTATTATAATTTATTATTAATCAAGTGTAATTCAGTTGATTATTTATTGAATAACTTATTATCCTGTCTTCAATGTCCATATAAACTGTACTGTATTTATGACCACTACACTGATATCTCATTTGGCTAAATATTTTTAATTTTCAACTACATTAAAACAAAATTAAGATTGTTTAAATTTTTTTTTTGAATACTTGTATTATTGTTTGAATATTTTTACACTAGTGTCAATACTAGTATCTTATAATATTCTAGATTTAAAACTGTATTAGTTTAAAGATACTAACAGTATATTACTATTACAATTTTGACAAACATAATTATTAGCCTACCAAACTAATTATAAATATAGTTTCTGTATTTACTTATTTATTAATATTTACTTACCTTAATAACATTAAAATATTAATTTATTGTAAAAATATCTTGACCTAACTGAAAGATTGAAAATTTGTAAACTGTTGTGAAATTATGTCGATGTTGTTAGGAAAAAATTTTGAATACCTAGATAAAAAAAAAACGGTACAATTTTTTTTGCTAAAACAAGTAATTATACATTTGTAAATTTTGATGTTTAGTTTATAAAATATACTTTTTTTAATTAAAAAATATCTTTACTTAAGTATCATAAAAAATTGTTTTATTTTAATCAATGTCAATTCACTGATTAATATATTATGTATTAAACAATTGAATATTTCTACATATGTTATACTATTTACCAGATTATTTTATGTGTCTTAAACTATTACATTTATTATTTCTATTATTACTATTTATTGTTTATTTAAAATGACTTATCAAACTTTATAAATTATAAAATTGGTCTGAAATGTATACTGTGTTATTATAGGTAGCCTGTTAGACAGGAAGTCTATATTGTTTTTTAGAAATAAAAGTTGTTTTTTCTTGGTTAGCTTAATTATACAGTGTGATTCACTAATTTTCTCTCATAATAATTTCAATAAGGTAAAATTATTTTTCAAAACATTTTTGTTTGTGTTATTTTACAACTGAAAACATGTTTTATTAACCACTTACTTTTTTGATAATTTTATATTAAATAATATTTAATTATGATAAAAGATTCAAAGCTTATTTAGTATATTATACATATTTTTTTATAATTTTATTATATAGAAATGCATTTGTTTTTAAATGTAGTTTTTGACACAATAAAGTAAAAGTAAACCAAATGTATTTTTTTCTAAAACTGTTCTCATAGACACGTTTACTCTCGATAGCGAGTGATTTGTATGTGTGTACTGTATTAAGTGATTTTATATAATGCGTTCAAATGAAGGATGTTTAACATATTGAATACTCTCTTTGTTTGAGTATACAATGATGTGTTCGATATAAATTGTGTTATAAAGTCCAGTCCGTTATCTTTATTTATATGCAGAGTATAATACAGTTAATAATTATAGATTCTACAAATAAATAATAAATTAGCCTTAGTAAGTTTAACCCTTCACTGCATACATTTTTTTATTAACCATATGCTATAAATGTACTTAATACTACATTAAAAAATTAAAACATTTTTTTTTTGAGTTTTGGTTTCATGGAAAACGCTAATTAAAAAATTTGGAATATTATGGAACATTGTGCATACAAAGATGTATAGCATAAGCAGATATAAACAATAAATACAATTATTGTTCCATATATGGAACATTATGCAGTGAAGGGTTAACAATACCTGCTATTGTCTAATAACTATAAATATATTTAAATAATGTCTTGATAATAATTGAATAGTTTTATAACATATTCAATATTTTTGATATTTTCATTTAAGTCGTCAGTTATCAATGAATCAAGGTATATAACTATTTTCTTTTTAATAGTAACGCAGTTATATCTTATATGAATCATAATTCATGAAACACATGATATCCAACCTTTTAATTTCTGATTTGATAATTTTATTATATACATATTAGTGGAATTGGAAATAGCCTCATTAATTTTCCCATTAAATATGTCCATAGCTACGTCTATATCATTTAAATTTTCACAACTTGACCAATCTTAAGTATATATTAACATACTTAAATCAGTCATATTATAATTTATTAAACTTTTTTGTATTAAACTTTAATAGCAGATTTCGATGAGAACGAGATAAGAGATAAATAAATATGATGAGATGCTGAAACTTGCAATTGTATCTATTTATTTTATAATATGTATTATTTCTATTTTTAATTTTTATAATATAAGAAAAGTATACATTTCTTAATAAATGGAATGTAAACAGTTTTTGTGTGGTATTAAAACTTTAAGTTCATCGTAGAGACTTGGTTATCGCTAAGTAAATGGCCATTTTAATGAAAAAGTACATAGATTAATAAAATATGGGCTATGCAATCTTCTAACAAATATGGATATTTTCAAATCAAGAGATAATTGTAAATTTGCAAATTTATATTGACCAAAAATTGAATCATATTTTTAAATCATAAGAATAACTTTTACTGAAAAAATTCATATTGTTTAGTTTGGTTTCTTTAATAAAAATATATACCCAGAGTAGCTCAATATAAACTAATTTCTGTAAAATATGAAGTGAATGATAATTATTTTAAAAACCTACTAATAGATTATAAATAACATTCAGTCCTGCAAGGTATTTTAATACAGACATTTAAAATACGTTATTTGGTATTGAATACTATTTTTGATAATTCGTTATTAATTATTTAATTATTAAAAATATATAATTTGTATGGTACGGGATACTATTTAGTTAATTTTCCTTTTTTTTTTAAATTCAGTAAAATAATCAGTCTGATTTGATAATCTCACCAACATAAAAGAAAGATTGCATTAAATTACATTATATATTTATTAAGTATGACGTTTATACGATTATGACCCTTGTTTGATCATTTTTATTATCATAACAGAATTGTTTAATCTAGTTTACAATAGTTTTATATTATGCAATATTTTTATTATCTACCTATTATCCCATGCAAAAGGGCCGTACAACAATTTTTTTTCTCATCACAAGTCTTTATCCGGCAATAGGTTCACTTTGGACTATAAGTTTATAATGTATATATTGATTTGTGTAGAAACTTGAAATTAAATATGTGTTTTATTCTAGTTATTTGTGTGAGGTATTTAAACTACAAGTGTCATATGTTCCGTTTTCCTTGCTTTAATAAATCCTTTAGGTACCAAATTTTGTTAATAGTATATCTTCTAAAAGACAAGATTGAAGACAAAGCTCATAAGCTCCTACCTGTATTCTTTAACTACAGAATACATATGTAAGATGTGGTAAAACTAATTTATACTTGACAGCCAAATTTTGAAATCTTCAACTAATTTAGGTAAAAAGTAAAAATAATGTTTTATTTAAATAGTAATATAAACAATTTGTGGGAAATTTCAATAAAATTATTATTATTTTTTACCAAATAATATTAAATTATAACACATACTTATAAGTTATGTATATACACTTATAAAATGTAATTTTTTATGAATTTTACATTATATAATTTTACGTGTATAGTGAATACGATTAATTAGAGAATTGATAAATATCTAACTACAATTTGCAATAAAGATAAGAACCTAACTAAAGGCAATGTTTTTGATATTAAAATACGAAATTTATCTTGGCGGGTTTTTGGTAAAATCGATGTTGGTATTATCTGTAGTATTACACATTTTATAGGTTATGTAACATTTATTTCTTATCACGCGTTATCATTTTTTGGAAGAACTACCCCTAACTCTCGTAGGCCCACCCCTAAGTGTATATTCCACGAGGTAGCGCTAGCTGCATGTAGTCCATTAATTTGGATCATTATCTTATCATTATTGCCAATAATTTATTGGTCTTAGATAATTTTTTTCATAGAAGGCTAGTTAAAGTTTATTTTTTTACATTATTATTGAATATAATATTATAAATAGGTACGTCCTTCAGACTCAGGAATCAGGGGATCACCTTGAATACGTTGACGCAGGTTGTAAAATATTGAAATTATTATCCTAATAAAAATTATTTTAGTGTTCAAAATATTTTTAGCCTTGAAAGTGATATAATATGAAATATAATTTGCCCATATTATGCATATTATAGATGTTTACATAATGTGATAAACTAGGATCGACGGAATAGAAGAAGTGTAAACATTTCCATAATCAAATCAGTAAGTGAAATATTGGTTCATTAGGTATGATTACAGATCAAATCTAAAATAATTTTATTTATGTTCGTTTATAGTAATGGCGTTGATCGAGGGATTTGGTGACGAAGTAATACAGTTTTTTGCCATTTTATCAATCGTCTTACTTATTGTATTACTATGGATGTCTACACAAGTTGCCGAAATGCAGTTGTTCCGAGGTGCTGTTTTTATATTAGAACGACGTACTAGAAGGAGACACCACGACCAGATAACCAGAACTATTCCTCTAAATCCTCCTCAACTACCCGGTTTGTATTTATACTTTTTCTGTAATATAAATATGATAATTTAGTCAATGTGTGTGCGGCATGGAGATATAAAGTGTTAAATCTTAGGTAATAGAGGAAGTATATTTGATATCTGTGGTGCTGCCAAATAGACGTCCATCTATGCTTATATATGTAAGCTTTGCCACTTTGGAAAATTATAAAAAAAACAGATCACTAATTTTAAAAATGAAAAAAACCTAACCTAACCTAACAGAAATTTTGTGATGCCAGTTGAACCTTTTTGACATTAATTACTTAACACGGCTGAAAATGTTTAGTAGAATGAAAAAGGTGGCAATACAACTTTTTCAAACAAACATAAAACTTTAATAACTCAGATTTTGGCCAAAATAATTAATAATTTGTAACATGGTTTGTAAATTATTATTACTTAATTTCATATTGAAAAAAAAAAATGTATGTTTATTATATATATAGAGATTGTATATAATATGTTTGGAGTTGTGTACAATGTTTGTATATATTATATTATGTTTTAACAAGTTATCTTTTAAAAATCTCTTAAAATAAACCGGAAAATCAATTTTTGTTGTTTCAAAAAAATTTAAAAAATTGTTGAACCAAAAAAATAAATATACATCTATTTCAATATATTAGTGTCAGGCACGTATTAACAAAAATTCATGCCAGGGTCAACTTTATGATTTTATATCAATCACCCCCCCCAAAAATAAAAAATTGGCTATTGAGAGTACACAATTGAAATGCTTATTAGATCAAGGGTCGAATTAAAAATATTGGGTTTTTTGGGAGACAAAATACTTTTTTCTAGGTATATTTTTTTTTAATAAAAACTATAATTTTGCATAAATTATTACCATTTAATGGGTTGATTTAATTTATAAAATATTAATTTTTAATGTTACTTTATCTTAGGTTATTTTTAAAAATTTTAAAAATTGGGCCAATCAATACTTTTAAAATTGAAAGTTTATATCTATTTAATAAAAAAACTTCGCACTAAACTGAAATTGATTGTATGCTTAAACCATAAGCCACATGCAAACAACATACTATTTTTGGTCACTTTTTTTCTAACGTTTTGACACATATAGGTAAACTATAGTTATAACAAGTTAAATAAGGAGAACACTGTAATTTTTCACTTTCTGTCTACCCTACAAGTATTAAAAATTTAATTTTAAATTTGGGCGATAAAAATAATATATCTTATTTTAGAAACTAGCACAATATATTAAGTATATTAAGAAGTATTATTTTAGTATTCTTAAATAGTAACTGATATAGGGCTTGATGAAGTTCAAATCACACTTTATGTACAATAGGCATAGCTAGTATTTAGTTTAGAAAAGCGGTTTACAGGTGTTATTCGGAGAAGTTCATTAAATATAAAAAAAACAATAAAAAATTATTTAGATGTGAAAAAATACTTAGAGGGAGTTAAACTCTTAAAACCACTCTAAATACATTGTAAATAAATATATTATTTTATAAATTGCTCATTACTATTACTATTACTCATTAGGTAAAATGAGCTACTAATATATTTAATGTATTAATGCCACTAGGGGCAACTGCTTCTCCAAGCCTCCCTTCCCGCCTGGTTAGCGTGTTTTCTTATTGATGTCATTATATAATTCATTATAATTTGTAGATTAATTTTCATAGTCACAGGTGAGCCAACAACAACTGAAACCGTATCCTCCGATTCCAATCTTTTAGTAAACTCAACAGACGACAGTGATAGCTCTGAAAACAAAAACGAGACTGCTACGGCCGACGTGTGTGATGTGACAACTAATGATTTTTCATCACAACCCAATAACTCAAGTCAAAACAATTGCGATGACATTTCAGATTTATCAGAGCCATGCCAAGATTCAATAAGAATACGTCTTAAGTATTTAAATGACAATTGCCGCCTTGTTGAAGGCAGACCACAGGAGAATATTGGTGTATTTAAAAGGTATACTGTTTTGACCGATACATATACTCTATTCAGAATAAGAACAGGCTTCGACGGTCAACCAGTTTTCGTCGGGCGGCGGTCAGGCACCGCCCATTTGACATTTCGTCTGTAGCCCCACTGGCGGCAGTGTTCAAGGTCCGTTGCTCGTAGTAAAGCCATGCCCATGCGCACAATTCGGCCGCCGAAGCCTGTTCTTATTCTGAGTAGAGTAAAGTTGATACTTGAATTTAATAGACCATTACTGTTAATACAATATTTAGTTTTTTTTTTTTTTAGGAGACATTTTAATTCTGAGTTATCGTCTAACAAAATAGTTCGTTTGATATTTCAAGGAAAAGTATTGCATGATGATGAGGCGTCTTTAATTAGTTGCGGCCTACACGATAATTGTGTAGTACATTGTTTAATACATCAACCCAGACCTTCGCCAAATGCTCAGCAGTCACCCGATCTTGTTGACCATGATACCACTGAACTACATCAGACCAACATGGGACGCCAGGGTCAACGCCAAAATGGGCCTGTCCGAGAATGGAATTTGGCCACTTTGTTATCGGCACTAATCACAATTATCATAACGTTATTATGGTACGCTAGGCTGCAATTCTATACTCTTTTTTCATACACTTCTACTGGTACCCTAGGTATTTTGACTGCTATATTTTTATTCACCGCTTTCCTAACATATTTGGTAGACAACGAGGAACAACAGCAACAAAGACAACCGGCTGTACATTAAAAAGTTGTTGATGAAAAAAACAGATTATTTTAAAATTCAATTATTATGTATTTTTCAATTATAATTTAATCACGTCGATATTATAATCTTGTATTGCTTACATAGGACATTTATAAAATAAATTATACCACAAATAAAAGGTGTCTACATTATTATTATTATTATTTTTTTTTTTTTAATGAGTAGAAAGGATAGTGTTGACGTGCTTATGAAATAATTAATAGAAATTAATTATGTAATATTAATGTATTTACTTCTAGAGATATAAATAAGATCTCTTTATTTAAACTCAAAATTAGTTCCGTTTGATTTTATTAATGTCATGTTAACTTAAGATATTTTGCTGTAAATAATAATGAACTACTAATATCATTCGGGAAGTTAGTTTTAGTTGGTATAATTTATTGAATCGATACTATCTATGTTATGTTATTCGTTATTTCAAGTCAAATATAACTATGTCAAGTTGTATTTATGTATAAATTATTATTTACTAATCATTTACATTTTTTTAATTATTATTTCTGTTTGTTAAAATTAATATTTGTTAGGTATATGTTAATAATTAAAAACTCGCTTTTGTGTTAGTATTAAGCACAAGGGCCGATCCAGGAGGGGAGGCCACTGGGGAGTGGGGGCAAGCTCCATCCCCGTTATCAAAAAAGTACAATTTTTTAAATTATAATTATCTATAAAAAAAAAAATTTGGTTGGTTTTAGTATTGTTTATTTTTAGCATTACATAAGATGGTCTATAGATAGAGTGTATACACCATGAACTTTGTATACACAAAACGTATTGACTTTTTAAGCTTTACATACACTTAAAAATTAATATATATATTAATAGTATATCTTTTCACACTACATCTTAAATAGTGATAAACATAAATGTAAATATGGGGTTATTCATAAAGGATGAGTTAGATAAAGTTACTGAAAATATAAAAAAGATAAATAGTTGGTAGTTTTGATGTATGAATAAAAATATTTTCAAAAAAATAAAATTACAAAATTGTAACCATTTTCTAGGAAAACGAAAGTCTTATCCTTAATCCCCCAGTATAATTAATATACAAGTGTTATAATTATAAGTAAGATAAATAGTCGTTTAAGACAATTAATACTTCTTAGTTATTGCGTTTTTGTTCTAAATTTAAAAAAAATATGATATTTTTTTTTTGTATCCGAGTCTACACTTATGAACTTAAATAGCTTTATTTGTATCTTTTATTTAATTTTTTATAGTTTTTTAAAAAGGTATTAAAAATATTCGGGAATTAATTAAATCAATTTTCAAATGATATACTCTCTAAAATTGTGGTCTTAATTCATATAGAATTAAACACCACTGCGATTACAATTTACAATTAGTAATAAAATAAAATTGTATAACAGCACATAAATTCTTTAATAATGTATTTTAGTTTAGATAAGAAAAACGAATGCTCTCGACCTTAAAAAGAAAATAGTTTTGTGCAAGCGGAGAATATTAGCAAAAATAATATAATTCTTTATATTTTAATAATAATGTTTTTTAAAAAAGTTATATATTTTTTATTATTCCGCTTGTACAAATATTATAATATAATATAATATCAAGTAGGCAAAATATAAATTAAAAAAATCTTTGAGGAGTCCATACCGTTGTCCACATTAATGATTGGTTACGCGAGTATTAAACTGACGGATGTCCTCCGAGCAAATTAGCTTGGTTGAAAATAACTTGCTTAATTTTGGTTTTAGAGTATAAGCTCCCACTATAAAACTAAAAGAGAACAATATTTCATTAGAGGGCACCACAATTCATTTTTTGAAAAATTACAGTTATTTCAAAATGTTAACATAGTCGTTATTTCTAAACGATGTATTGAGCGTTATACCTACTTGGAATAATAATAAAAACGCATCGTGGTGCCCTCCGGAATATTGTTCTCTTTTAATTTTATAATGGGTGCTTTTACTCTAAAACCAAAGTTAAGCGAGTTATTTTCAGTCTGCTTAAACATGTAGAGATGAAAAAACATTTTTAAATCACTTTCAAGGATGCTTTGGTAGCCCGAAAAATAAATTAACTACCAAAATAGAGTCCTAGTTATTGAACTAATAATTACACATCACAGTTTAACCTTTTTTTAAAGATTTTGTAAAAATTTGTCTATACTTTACTCCTTAAAAATGGGCGGTGCGACGGAATTAAGAGATTCTACACTAGCATTTATTACGGCGCATTGTATAGGCAATTTTCCCCTAATACTTAACTTTAAATGTACATATTACCACTGGAAAAAAGAATCTTTTTTCATTTTTTTTTTCAACTTTTATAACGCATATAGAATCTATTTTTGTACAAAAACATATGTTTCTATTTCGAACAGAACTTACATAAAAATACTCAGATTTAAGTTTTAAAGTTATTTTTAGTTAATTAATTATTTTAATGTAAAAAACTGCGATTTTTAACTTTTTTAAACTGAAATAATAAACTAACAAAAAATAATTTAAAAATTATGCAACGATCGATGTCAACAGAGTGCAAACCGTTTGAGGTGTACAAAAATTTACTAAAAAAAAAATAGTTTTCACAGTTTTTACACATGAAAAATAGTGTCATTTGTGTCTATAAAACCAAAACCGATCAATACGTTCATGTACTCGAGAACAAAATATACATTTTTCTACCGTGGTCAAAAGAATATAAACATTTTCAAAAAAATACATAATACAGTTCAAAATACCATTTGTTTTCGATAAACAGCAAACCATGTAGTTCTTAGGATGTTAACACTTAAAATTTTATTGTCAACGAGTTATCGTGAATTGAAAAAGCTAAAAATATGTATACTTAATCAATTATTATTTAAGTTTCAAAAGCTGATAAAGCTCGAGAAAATATTAAAACATATAAGAATTTAAATATTGTCCCATATAGTAATATAACATAAACAAAATAAGAAGCGTAGCTTTAAAAATATTTTCTAAAAAAAAAACTACTAAATTTCAATTACCTATTTTAAGAGTAAACTAGTGTAGGGCTTAAAAAGAATCACCCGATATATATATATATATATATATACTTTTTTAAATGTATGGTCCAATTTAGTACTTTTCGGGTAAAATTTCTGATCTATTAACTTAGTTGTTACTCGAAGGAATCTGTTCAAAGAAAACCACACAAAATTAAAAACAAAATTCCATTGTTGTAAAAATAATGCATTTTAATCGGAGCTAAAATTGTTACCTACTGCGCTGCTATTATGTCGGTCAATAATTATGTAATTATAGGTGATTGCTCATTATTGGTACAGATTTTTTAAAAACATTATATGGAAACGGAATATGTAAATATTATGCATATTGTATTGGCTAAAGCCTAATATGGTTTTGTTGTAGTTTGCCGCGTACTTAAAAAAAAAAAAATTCTAAATTATTTATTACCGTTGGTGTTTGGCCGACCTTGGCGTTGCCGTTTCCGCCTGTATAAGGCTTGTTGTTATTTGTTTTTTACCTGTGTTAACAATAATGCTGAAGTCCGTACAATAATACTTTATTATTATTCAACCCACCCGACGGTTGTTGGTTTGTTCAAAACGCTTCAAAACAAAAGAGTCGAAACAAATTATGTGAATTAATTTGGCGTTTGACGCAACGGTTGCAAGTACATCATACATGTATCAATATTATAATTATTATATATGTATACTATATGCGTAAACAGGTGCAGGAAAAACAGTGACTTAAATTCGATGTATAATCGTCAAAGCGTGTCACTGAATTGAATTTATCATTTTTATTTTTATTTTGAACGCATGTTATACATTTTTAAGTATATATATATATATATACATACATACAATCATTATTACCGGATCCATATATTTTTTTAGATTATTCGTGCAGAATTTATAATCGTCCGTGCGTGTGAACAATTTGTATTTTTTTATCCAATAACAATCGGGCAAGTGAAGTTCGCGCCAAAATACAAACTATAAGAGCGGTTCTGTAACACCGACCAACGTACAAAGCACGGTAACGCGGTCGGCGAACCGATCGAGTTTTGCTGCATAGACTCCAAAAATAAAAATAAAAGCAGCTATGTTAAGAATAACCGTCATCGCGGTAGCCACGTGTATAGTGAGTAAAATATTTACATTTATTAACACCCTAAAAATAAGTCATTTACAGAAAAAATCTGCATAACTTTTTCTGACCCATATATTATTATTATAGCTATTAATAATCCTAAAATTCATTTAAATAAGCTAGAATCTTGGTTCAACCAATAGAAAAATAAAGTAAATGAAAAGAAAATTATCACATATTACCTTCACATTAGGCCTTAAAGTTAGTCATCCAATAACACTTAACAATAATATGATTCCAATAGAAAAGTTCGTTAAATACTTAGGCATTCATCTTCATAAACGATTAACCTGGGCTACTCACATTAAAACTAAAAAAACATCTCCTAAATTAAAACTCCATAGCTTAAGACATCTTCTACGTTCTGTAATGGCATACGGCATCCAAATTTGGGAATTAACAAATACCTCAAATCTAAATTTATTTCAATCCTTCCAATTAATTAACCTCTGTGTTTTAATTAACTCTCCGACCTCCGTGGTATGTAAGTAATCGTACACTTCACCATGACCTCAATATTCCTACTATATTCATATTCCTGCTTCCAATCACTACAAAAAATTCCACTCAAATACGATAAATCACCCGAACCCACAGATAGCCAAATGTTTTCTCTAACTCTTCCAAACGATCCTCCTCGTCGAATTAACGAAATTGGTCACGCGACCTAAGTAATAACTAATAACATAAACAGTAATTGAATCTAGTTGAAGCAGTGTCACTGGACGCCCCTTTCTTCCACATCATCCTGGCACTGAAAAATGTTCAAATTTACTCATTATTTTTAGTATTGCAGATTGTAAATATATTTTTAATAAAAAAAAACTTTTTTAAAACCTGTATCATAAAGGTCAATGTGTATGGAAAATTCTTAAGAATTAAGATAATATAGTGTTATTAACAGAGTTGTGCATTATTTCAGTAAGATGTTATCTAAAAAAAATGTTATCATCTAGATAACACTTTATTCAAGAATTAAATAATTATAAGACTTAAATTTCAAGTAATAGTTTTTCGAATATTCTTTAAACATATTATTTAAATAATTTTAAAAGGGCTTTTTCAAGTAGTTATATTTAAAACATTATTTCGTACAAGTATAATATAATACAGGGTGACCACAAAAACACTTCACATTTTCAAAAAGGTAAAATAGTATTAATTTTTCAAAAAAATGTTTTATTTACTTATGTTACATGTTTGTAGATGTATGCCATTTATTTTACGGCAATTTTTTGAAAAAAAAAAAAAATTTATTTAACTTATATTTATGTAATATTATGTTTGTGGGTGTAAGCCACAAACAGTTCTTTGGATGGTTTGAAAGCGGCAATTCGTATAGATGTGGCATTAATCACATGAATAGACACTTGAACAAGTGTGGAATAACATCCTCGAAAGAAAATTACTTCATGAAAGACGGACATCACCGTCCTGACCTCTTTTTTGCTACTTGAAGTTCAATAAATTTTTTTTCTTTGAAAATTGCCGTAAAATAAATGGCATACACCCACAAACATGGTACATAAGTTTAAAAAAAAAATTTTGAAAAATTAATATTATTTTGCCTTTTTGAAAACGTAAAGTGTTTTCGTGGTCACCCTGTACTATATTCACAAAATATATATAAAACCAGTATATACTGAGTGTAGTATTATTTTTATCTGCACGAATTTCCCAATCGTATTTCCCCTCCCATCATAAGTTTTAAACTCTTTTAACTTTTAAAATAGTTGTTCAAAACTGATTATCGACCGGTCAACATTTTTAGTACAACATTCTCAATTTAAAAAGTTAATGAAATGTATGCGTTACCATTTAAGTTTCAAAAGTTGCTATCAAAAAAACTATGTAAGGAAGGGAGTAAAAACAAAAAAAATGTTCTGACATTCTAATTTCTGAACCGAGATCACATTGTATAAAAACATAATGGAAAAAAAATTAAATTGTTATGAATTAAACCCAGTGAGTTAATGAGTGGTTCACGATAAGTTTATTATCTTGTATTATATTTGTTATATTCATGTGCCAGTTTTACGATTTTGAGGTTTTGGTATACCTGGATACAGAAAAAAATAAGCTATCATATGAAATCTCCAACGTGCTATCTCCATTATAGAATAAATGAAAAATAAAACCTATTATATATTACCTACTATAAATAATTTTACACGTTTTAGTGTCTCCTGAACAATTAGGTTTTAGCACATGGGAGGTGTTTTCGCGACAACGACGATATAATATATAGGAAAACAATTTTTTATTCCAATACATTTTATAAAAATTATTCGCATAATTTAAAAAATAATTATTCAAATAATTTATTTATTCAAATAAATTGTAGAGGAATTATTCGAATAATTTTTTCTTCGAGTTACTTGTGAAATAATTATTTAAATTAATTTTTATCCGAATAAGAATTTGCACAATTCTGGTTATCAATAGGTTATAACTAGTTGATATGACACGTTGACAACTAAAAAAAAATATATCTATATATATCAAGAGTTTTCCCTCCGAAGGGATAATAACATGTCTGTCTTAATAAGTCGCTTTATTACGTGTAGTTTTACAAAGCTTGAAATTTGAAAATTACGTGTACGACATGTATGATTTTTTTAAAAAAAATTAGTAGTCAAAGTGTATTTATATTAAAGAAAAACCAAACAAAAAAGGAAAAATTCACACACTGATCATATTGAATTTCCAAGTTGCTATGTGCGAATGTATTATACAAATTTGAAACCATTTCGACTATTTTTAATAAGTTATAGCGCCGTATTTATATAAGTTCAAACAAAAATATGTACATTTTTAGGTTGGTTTTCTCAACTTTTAAGGGGAAGTGGTGAACATTTTGAATTTTTGATCCGATAAAGTATCTTTTGGGTGGGATTTCCGATCTATAGATTTACTACATAAAGAACGGTTTAGCGGCTTAGTAACTATCATGGGTCTAAGAACAAAAAATAAAAACTCTTCATTGTAAAAACAAAAGCTAAAATAGTTAAAGTAAACACAGTGACACGTGTCAAGCGAAGAGAATTAATTTGTTTCTTTCTAATTTGACGTTAGTTATGATTTTGTTTTCTGACCTGTTGTACTTTGAGCTCAGTTAGTTTTATCCCTAACCCTTGTTAAGCCATCTACCTTTCTCCCTAGTGAACTTTGTAAGCAAAAAAAAAAAATTTTAAAGGGTAAAAGTAGTAATAGGTATATAATAGGTATATTGTAGTCAAGATCAACTACAAAAACTCTAAAAAATTGCATGCACATTTGCCCCATTTATTTATGTAATCATTGAGTTAACATGTCAACTGACTAATTATAATAATATCAGACAAGCGGTGCCCAAAGTCAACAGATAAAATTTTCAAATATAAAATATAACAAACAGTCAATACATTTAAACGACCTCGTTTTAAGTACTATTAAAGCCGTTTAAAACGTAAACGTTGAATTTATATTAATTCCTATGATATAATTTTGATTCACCTGTATAAATATTGAAAAAACAAATATTAAAGTAATTCAGTACCTAAATTATAATTATCCAAATAAATTAACTTATTGACAAGTAATCACGAAATGTGGTATCTTGTTTTATTTTAGAAATTAAAACTGATTTAATTACTATTAATAGCTCATAAAGAGACTTAATATATTATAATATTGCCGCTTTTTAGAATGCTTAAAAAAATAAAAGGTTAAATCTTGCTATATATGCAAAATGTAAAAAGTAGTGTCTTAATTGTTGTGAAAACATTATTTACCATAGTTATAATTTTAAAAACCCTTTAATTTAAGGCATTCAAGTATCAAAGGTATTCAACACATTTTATTTATAAGTTTTGATGAATTTATCACATATTTAGTAGAATCGGTCAAAAAATTGCTGTGGTAAAAACCAAACCAAACAATGTATGAATTTTATGGATAAATATTAATGATTTATTTTAATAGATTATAAACAAATATCTTTTATAAAAAAATTATAATTCGAGGATATTTCTTTTTAGAAACTTAAGGTTTGAATTTCGATATAATCGAACATGTAGGTTAGGTTATGCACATTAAGTATACCTAAGTGTATCTTAAATATACCTACCTTACATACGAAGTACTGTAAATAAAACTGTTAATTATTTTCATGGTAGATGAAACTATTTTTTTTCAGTTATCATGGCCGTCGGTGCAGGCAATCATGTACCCAAAGGACTACGCACCCGAGTTGGAGTACGGTCAGAGCAACGTGCAATTCGACTTCATCGTGGTGGGCGCGGGAAGTGCCGGCGCTACGGTGGCCGCCAGAATCAGCGAAGTGGCCGAATGGAACGTGCTGCTTCTGGAAGCCGGCGGCGACCCGCCAGATGGGTCGGAAGTGCCGCTTCAATGGGCGTCGATGGTGCGAACCAAAGCCGACTGGAACTACTTGACGGAACAGGACGATAAACTGTTCAAGGGTTTGGTCGATGGACGGTCGTACTTGCCTAGGGGCTGCATGGTGGGCGGTAGCTCGTCGATGAACGTAATGATATACCTGCGAGGCACTAAATTCGATTTTGAAAGATGGGTGCAAGCCGGTTGCGACGGCTGGGACTACCCCACGGTGTTGAAGTACTTCAAGAAATCCGAGAACTTTGTCGATAATTTGCGGTTCAACACAACCATTCACTCTCGGGGTGGTCCGCTGACCGTGACGCCGTACGTGTCCCCTGACCCAGCCATTAAAGTGTTCTCGGCCGGTGCGAAGGAGCTGGGCATGAACCCAGTGACGGACTTTAATCAGATAGATCCAGTTTTAGGCTATGGCATGGCCGACAGCACTACCAGAGACGGTTTGCGGTGCAGCACGCTAAAGGCGTTCCTGTTGCCGGCCAGTGAGCGACCCAACTTGTACGTGGCCAAAAATACGAGGGCCACCAAAATCGTGTTCGACGAAAACCGCAAAGCCACTGGCGTGGAGATCTTATTGCCAGGTGGCACCAAGAAGGTGATCAACTGCAATTTGGAGGTGATCGTCAGCGCCGGAGTGATAGCCAGCCCGCAGTTGTTGATGTTGTCGGGAGTGGGACCGGCGGCACACCTACGGGAGATGGGAATCGATTTGGTGGCCGACCTACAAGTCGGAGCGAACTTGCAGGACCACGTCGCTTTCTTGGGTCTGGTGTTCAGCGAGAGAAATAACAGATCCGAAGAAGAGATACTGGCCAATAGCACAAATATAATCAATGAACATATGGCGCTAATCAAGGAGGGCAAAAGCACCATGGGCCTAACGGGACTCATAAGCTTCATAAACACAAAAAAACAGCAAACGTACCCGGACGTGGAAATCATGAAGATCAGATTCCCGTACAAGGCGTTGGACAAGAGCCCAAATGGCAAGAACCGGCTGACCAACATGTTCGGGCTGTCGGACGAAGTGGCCGCTTTGTACAACGCTCTGAACAAGCTGAGCGACACGTTGATGGTAGTACCTATCAGCAACAATATAATTAGCACCGGTTACGTGCAGCTCAGAAGCACCGACCCGTTGGAACACCCGAAAATTGTGGCCAATTTTTTAAAGAACCAGGAGGAAATTGAAACATTAATGCGAGGTATCGAGTTCGTGGTGGATCTGTCAAAAACCGAAGCCGTGATGAACGCCGGTTTAGTGTTGGAAAACTTGAAGTTCCCCAATTGCGACGGTTACGAATGGGCAACACGCGATTATTGGCTGTGCAGCATCGAGCAAGTGGCCACATCATTGTACCACGTGGCCGGCACCAACAAAATGGGCCCGGTCGATGACCCACACACGGTGATCGACCCTAAGATGAAGGTGAAAAACGTGCAGAGTCTGAGGGTGATCGACGGTTCTGGCATGCCGTATTTGGTAGCGTACAACCCGAATGCGGCCATTGTAATGATGGCGGAAAGAGGAGCAGACTTCATAAAAAAAGCTTACGGAAAAAACACATAGCGTGTATTTTATTATCCACTATAACCTTATATTAAGTTTTTTTTACTGTAATACAACTATTATAAAAACTTCTTATTACGATACCATGCCCGGAAATCGCTTTTTGATCAGGTCGAAAATATATTTCATTAATACTGTCATTGCCAGTACAGAACATAAATGTCTAAAAGTATTATATATGTAAATCTTTTATTTATATACAGGGTGATTTATTTGTCTTGGACCAGTTAAAATCTCAGTGGGTTTAGTTTAAAATGTTTTTATTTTATGTGCTTATAGTTTTCCACAAATTTGTATGTTCCATTTCCACTCCTAAACTATATTTTTATGTACATTTTTGAAATTCAATAGTAACTTTTAAAATTACGAATATTTTACTAAATATTTTGATTAGTTGATAACTAGTTTTGAACTACTATTAGTTATACGATTTTAAAAGATAGGACCGGGAGGGGAAGTAAAGGTGAACCTTTCGGTTGGAATAAAAGTAATACTACACTTCACCTCCTACCCTAAACTTTAAACTTCAATAACTTCAAAAATAGTTATCCAAAACAGGTTATTGATTAAGTTTCAAAAGTTGATTTATAAATAATTAGTTCGGGAGGGGGTTAAAAACATAAAAATATGTTAGATATTGAGATCGCATTGTTTAAAAGCACTATGCAAAAGAAAAATGCAATTACTAATTAAACCCTATAAGATATATTAAGTGGCTCACGATAAAAAAATCACCCTGTATATTTTCAGTCTAATTTTCAGATCTTAGGAGGACGTCATACCCTCTGTTTATTAAGGAGTTAGGTATAGGCATTGGTTTTTTGCGAAATTCTAATCAAAAAGTTAAACTGTGATGTGTAATTATTAAAATTAAATTATTAGTTCATTAATTAGGACTCTTTTTTTGATAGTTAATTTCAGAAACACCAATAATAAAAAAGATAGAGGATAAGATTTCCGAGAGTACCTCATATGTATTTGAATTATCTACAATTCATAGGTCAATATGATAAATGCAAAAGTACATTTTTTTTAACTTCTTTAAATCTTCGTAACTTTTTTTCTGATTGAACACATATAAGGTTCGCTACTAGGACTACTTCAATGGATGTAGAACTCCACACGTGTTTTGTATACGTATATATATATTTTACTCGTACGTATGTATTAATACTCCTTTGATTTATATTTATAACGATTTTGTAATCATTTAAATAAAAATGCCCTTAGGCAATAAAAAAAAAAAGTTCCCTCGGAAATCATGTCTTTTCTCATTTTCATTGCAAGTGTTTTATCTCCTAAAAATCACTTTGAAACGTTCTTTTATCAGTTCTTTCTAAACATATTTTTATCATTAAAAATCATCGATGAGACGTCCTTGTAAGTCCTAAGATTATACCTAAGAAAGAGGAATAACGGAAAAGTTGTTTTATTGTTGTTTGTTGCATCGATTTTTGTGGTTTACACTGCGGAGATATCAATAGTTATAACCAAGTATAATCTTATACTCTGTGGTTTCGATATTAAATTCTGGTCTATTTACATATTTTATTTTTGATGTAAGAACTATAAGGGGTACGTTATTTTTGAGCTTCAAAACTTATGCAATAGAATCATTTCATCATGAGGTATTTTTTTTTTTTATAAAATAAGTAATTTAAATAAAATGATCCTGCCATATTATATTTTACAATCGTATATCGGTTTGTATATAATTCTAATTAAAAAATTAAAACATTTTTCATTTTAGATTTATATTTCGAAATGGTATCCATTATTTTAATTTAAAAGTTCAACATAATATACTTGAATTTTTAGAATGAAAACAACAGTCAAAAAATTTAAAATAGATATGAAACATAATTATACATAAAATTTATTCATTTTTAAATATACCGCAAACCATTTTTTTAAAACATCTAATTTGCTTTGGAATAAGAAACCAAGAATATGTTGCTTCTTGTTTGTTCCAAGTAGACTTTTCTTTCTTTAAAATATTTTAACAGGATTTTACGAATTATAGGGACTACTGCAACATTGATGTGGATATTATTATACTTTGTTCCACCGAAAATCAGATGTTAATACAAGTGTCTTTTTTAAAATTGGAGTTTTTTTTATCAGACGATATTTTTATTTCACACATTTGTGTAAATAAAGAAAACTGTAAAAATACAATGTATAATGAACAATATGTAAGTAATTTATTTATTAGCTATGGTTTTTGATGCGGAGCCGAAAATTGAAAAGTTATTGTTTTTACAGTGATATTTTTATTTTACTTTATTTATTTTGTTGTGCAGCAATGCTATAGATTAGAAACCATTTCTTTTAAGATTAACACTAACATTGGATTATTCGTCGTGTGTTGTATTACAGTTTTATTAAACTTACTGCAATAGTACAAAGCATTATTTTTGTCTACTATTTAGTACAAAACATAAAGACTCGTTTTAATTAATATTTAATCGCTTGATTTTTTTTCAATAATATTATCTGCTTTAACATTAGCATTGGATTTTCGAGAACGCATTTTTTTTAATTGTCTGTTTGTTTTATCGAGTGTGCTCCGCAGATGTTCCACCAAATCTAAAGCTGTCATAAGATTCTTAAACTGTTCAAGTTGTATATTGCCTAAAACCAAAACAGGTGCATTTTAATTTTACAGCTGAATGTATACTTACATTTTTAACATTCAGATAACAGGTGTACTCGAAAAAAAAATTTAAATAGACACGATACAAAATTATAGAAAAACAATTTTTTTATAAGAAAAAAACACTACCCAATTGTAATAAATTCCCTTTTAAATTATTTTTTTTTATTTTATCAAGAAAAAAAAAATTTGGACTACTCGAATACTACAACAATGATCTAAATATTCTAATACTTAGTTCCAAAGAGAATTGAGTGTTAAAATGTTTTTTGGTAGTGTTTACAATTCGATTTTTTTCAATTAGGTTAGGTTTCTTTATTTTGATTTTTTTAGGAAAATTTTGCATTTAAGGTCTGCAATTAGATTGGATGTAAATCTAGAGTGGAGCTATAACATGTGCGATTTTCTTAAATATCACTTCTCAAACGATATTTTTATAAAGGAAAAACAAAAAACAAAAAAAAATATGGCAAAAATTTCACTTTGACAGCGAATTTCCACTGGTAAATTTCCAGGTTGCTATATCACTGGTAAGTAAATCACCAGTTAACAACTATAACTGTATAATTTAATAAAATACAAAATGTTTTGAACACGTTAACATTTTTAACATGAAAAGAAAAAATTTAGTTTTCTGATTTATATTGTCTTATTTTTATTAAACAATAATGTGTTTGTTAGTATTTTTATTAATATTGAAGTAAGGATCGTACACAAATGTTGTAATTAATAATGACGATTTTTAATCCTAAATTTAAAAAAAATTTAGACAGTAAAAACCATAATTGAATTATTATTTTTTAAATAGTTATATATATATATATAACAAACTATAACAACTAATAGTTACTTCGTTCTTCTTGTGAAGTAGAATTTGTATCAAAATAATTTTGTATAAGTTGTAAGTTATCAGGACCCAAACATGTTCCCAAGTTTGACTCTGTAAGACCATTTCCCTCAGAAACCTTACAATATGATTTATACAGCGTGAAAACTCTTTTTAGAACCTGCAAAAACGTATTTTTACTAAACAATAATAAAAAAAAAAAATCGGACAATTATTTTATATATCTTATAAAGTTTAAAACAAACTTTTTTAATTATACTATGTAAAAAATAATGTTTTGGAAAAAGTCAAATTTAAAAAAATTATTCTTATGGTTTTTCAAATTATTAAAAAAATAGTATTAAAAATTACTTCTTCATTGCTTAGTCTCGGTGCGGTAACGGCATCTAGGGTAAACGATAGTAATAAAATAGAAAACTTAAAGTACATTGTAACTGAAGTTTATCAAAGAGCGAATTGAACAATTTTTCGCTCTGCCAGTTGCCAATAACACAAAAAAACTAAAACATTTAATAAGTGTATCAAAAGATATGTTTGCTAATAAATTTCCAAGCTGTGGCATTATTTTAAATGCCTGTTTAAACAATTATATATATACAGGGTGAACAATTTAACGTAAGACACTTATTTTCACGGAAAGTCGTAACAAATTTATAGTTTTTCTTTTTAAAACACTTTTATTTGTGTTATTTTACAATATTATAAAATAACTAAATATTTACCTATTTTGGTATTTTTCATAGATCCATCAACTTTTGAAATTTTAATGGTAACGTATTTACTTAACTTACTTTTTAAATTAATAATCATTTGCTGAAAATTATGACTGGTCGATAATCGCAGTTTTTGATACATAACTACTTTTAAAATTATTAGAGTTAAAATTTAGAGTGCGGTTGAGTAATGCGCGTAGATAAATATAATACTTCACTACACCTTTCTTCCTATCTCAAACTTAAATTAAATTAAGAGTGAAAACGCAATAACAAAAAGGAAGGATGTCGTCAAACCTATCTTAGATTAAACACTGTGATGTCGAAGCTTTATAATGTCTAGTAATTTTAAATATCATTTTGTATTTAAAAATAAATACGTACATAAAACTAGGGCTAAAACCGATAAGTACTTTTAAAATTACAGCTATTACAATATTAAATTATACAAGCATATTATGAGCATAAAGAACAACAATAATTTAAACAAGTAATTTAAAGGAAAAGTAAGAGCGTTATTCAAAGTAATTTTTAACTATGTTTTCGTTATCATTTAATAAATTATTGCTCAATTTTTTTAGTACCTATAAAGATAACCCAACAAGTAAAATTATGGATTTATTTATTTATAATTTCAATTGTTATTTTTAAACAATTTTTTCCTGGTAAGTCGTAAGAACATAACATACGACGTTGCCTGGGAACGGACAGCGATGACACTGAACGGGCTGCTTAAGGTGTTTTCGTGGGTACATGAAAAAAGTATGGCTAGGTATAATGAAAAAACGATTATTTTTAATGAGAGTACTAATTTGAATTTGTATTTCATTAAATTAATAATATTGTATTTACATTCGAATTTCGTATACAATTTATTATTTAATCAATTTAATATATCAATCAATCAATTTAATATTATTCAATCAGTGAACAATTTAACACATTCTAACGGAATACCCAAAAAGTTGGTTATATTATTAACAACTTTAATTTACTTGGTATTCATTAAAAATTGTCTACTTTTATCAAGTATCGTTCTAAAATATGTAGATTAAAATTAAAAATAGCAAAAACCCTTTTTAATGTATGTATATACAATGTATAGTTTAAATTTATTGACCGATTTCTTCGAGTAACACATTTTTTGATAACGTAATCACTAATTGTCAGTACTTTTAAGAGATCGGAAGTTTAAAAAAATTGTCTTCTTACTCTTAAAATCAAAAAAAAAAATTCACTTTTTTCAACTTTCAACTTTGATACTCATTAACCATGTATCTAACAATAGCCTGAAATCCAAAATTCAACAAATCCCCAGTACCACCTAGAAGAGGGGTGGTATTTGGTCTTATATATTATAGCTGCAGTTTAGGAACTTAAAAGCTGGAAATTGTTTTCAGAAGATTGATCTTACGTATATATTAAAACATAAAAAAAAAAAATCATGAGGATAAACTTTATTTATTGCGGAAAGACTATTTATTTAACTAAAACTGTGTAAGGCTTAAAATTAACATTGGATTATTATCGTATAGTATTACAGTTGTATTAAACTTACTCTTATATAACGAGACATAATTTGTTTTAAGTATAGTTTTAAGTATAGTATATAACATGACGAAACATTTTTTTAATTACTCAAACGCTTACATTTTTTAAAGTAATATGATCTTAACATTAACATTGAATTATTATTGTAAACACATATTTTATCCCCTCATTTCATAGAGTGAATTCCTTAACGGTTCCACCAAATTTAAAGCTGATATAATAAACTCAAACAATGGAAGTTGTATGTCGTCTAAAAATTAAACAGATGTATTTTAATTTTAAAATTCAATTATTACTTAAACTTTTATAGTAGAGACAGCAGATGTACATTAGGAAATAAAAATAAAATATATATGATTCAAGATTATACAGAAAACAATTTTTTTTAAAAGTACATCTGCGTCGAAGCTAAAATGTTAAGACATTTAAATTTGCTTAGAATAATAGGTATATAAGATAATATGTTGCTTCTTCTTAATTATAATTAGAAATATCTCTATTTCTCACTTTTAATATTCAAACTAATTATTTGTTATTTTGAACTAAAAGTACCATTCTTAGGTCATACCCGAATGCTGCAACATTAATGCTAATATTATACTTGTTCCAAAGAAAATTAAGTGTTTAAAATAAATTTTAGTTTTGGTAGATATGACATTAGGATTTTTTCAATCAGATAATAGTTATATTTCACACAATTTTCATAATATTCTAAATAGTTCACCTGGTTCAATTCGAAATTGAGTAAAAAATCTAAAAATATAATTCATGTTTAAAACTAAACTTACTGCGCGCTATAACTTTTTTTAAAAAATAATCTAATTAGTTCCAAATTTGTATGGAATATTCTCTAGATCAAGTAAAATTTTTAAGCGGAATTTTAAGAATTCAGGATATAGGAAAAAAATTGTTTTCTAATTTAGATTTTTTAAATTTCTTTACTCAAATTTTGTTTTAAGTTTTATATAATAGTTACTAAAACTCATCATTAGATTATGGATTGTTAAGATGATTAGTACATATTAAATACCTAAACAAACACTTGTGACCACTTTTAGCGTTGATGCCGAAATCATTGAAACAGTTTGTCATTTTTGTGCTAATATTTTTTTTTTTTAATAAATGTTTTAATTGTGCAACTAATATGTATAATAAAGATTTCTTTAAAAATGATTAGCTATATATAATAGTTCTCTTTAAAAAAATTACTGTAACATAAAATTTCGATCATTCTGCCAAAACAGCATACAAAAATGTAAGTTTCCATGGGAGGTTAGGTTAGGTTAGGTTGGGAACTGGGAACTGGGAACATGGGAACTGGGAACTTATATTTTTCTTTTTGTGTTGTTTACTTGGATGTATTTAGTATACAGCATGATGATTATTGTTTATCGAAAAATATAAATTACCATATTATAGAAAAATTAAATAAATTTAAGAATAATTGTTCAATGCCATAAATCGATCAGTAAAAACTATCATCAAATTATTCATATTTTAAAAAGTTATTTATATAAAAATGTATAACGTCTAATAGTTACTTCGTTTTTGTATTGAATAGCTGTGTTCATTAAAAAAATCGTGTACTTTTTGTGAATGCGAGGGACCCACAAAAGCCACCAAATTTGCTTCTGAAAGGCCTTTGCCCTCAGCAACGTGGAACGATTCTTTTGCTTTTTCGAATCCTAGTTTTAGAACCTGTAACAATTATTTTTATTAAAAAACATTTAAAAAAAATTGTCATTGCAGATATTATGCCAACTACACATAGTAAATATACGTTTAAATGTTTTACAAAAACATTAACATTACAACTTTTTTATGGTAACCGAAACTAAAAATCGTACAAAATTAATCTAAACATGTGTTTTAATGTGTGTTACATTACTCAAAAAACCTTAATCCATTGTCAAACACTAAGACAAAGTTTATGTAAAATTATGCCCAATCGGTTAAAATATTTCCATAGAAAAAAATTACTGTAAACCATAACTTGATCATGAGTAATCTAGTGAATGGTTGACAAAATACTGTAGTTTCCGAATAATAATAGTCTAAAAATATTATTAAAAATTACTTGGTCTTTAGTTAGATGCTGAGCGGTATTAGCAGTTAGAATAAAAGAAATTAACAAAATAAACAATTTGAAGTACATTGTGATTTGTAACCCGCCAGTTTCTAATTGTACAAGAGAACTGAAAACAAAAATCGGAAATATTCAATAAGTGTATCTTTTAAGAATAGATTTATTAAGACATTTTCAATCTGTGGCATATTTCAAATGCATATTTAAACAGTTATATAAATAAATGTATATTATAGTATTTATTTTATGTGAATTATACAAACATATAAACGGCAAAACGCACATATTATGCCTAGTGACGTGTTTTTTTCTCACACCATTTTAACCACCATGAAGAAACTGTTTAAAGGACCTCTATAATAGCGTTTATTAACGCGTATTGTATAAGCAATTTTTCTCTAATACTCAATATTAAGCTAAAATTGTTTAACGTACCTAACGTATATTCCCATAGGCGAAAAGGATCTATTTAGATATTTACAATTTTTTTCCTAACTTTTATAACCTATGTAGGATCTTTTTTTGTACAAAAACATATGTTTCTACTTTGAACAGAACTTACCTAAAAATACTCAGATTTAAGTTTTAAAACTATTTTTACTTATTTAATTATTTTAATGTAAAAAATGCAATTTTTAACTTTTTTAAACTGATATAATTAAAGAACAAAACAAAAAAATTTAATTATGCCACGATCGATGCCTTGCAAATGTTATGAAGAATTCAAATATTTGTTCAAAACTTAAATCGGAGTATACTTAGGAACAAGTAGAATGAGTTGTTTTTGACCAAAAATACGCATGTGTAGAGGCCCCTAATTAAAAACTGTTTGATATAATTCATTTCGAATCTACCCAAAATTCAAATCAGCCCCATAGCATGTTAAATTACAATAATTAATTAAATATTTTGCTATTACATTTGATATTACTACTAGAAATGCGTGATTTACAGGCAATAAGTAACATCAAAGTATAAGTTCAGAATTCAAACAACAAATGTAATTATTTTTACAATTCCTTAATTGATGTATATTTCGTCTAAAGTTTCAATTAAAGGCATAAAACAATTAATGGCATACACAATAGCTTAGGTAAATATAATGTTTGTCAACTCAAATGTATCTATTTTAGTTTTTTTTTTATAGTTGGCTGGCAGTAATTGTTTCTTGTGACGAAAAGAGTTTAAACATTTGAAACCAATTTTAAAAGTACCAAACTCCGTTTTCATAGAGACTATTTAATTTTACAAGTTTATACTAGTTTTTATTATTAAAATATATTTTTCAGTCTTCAGTATTATTTAATTAAAAAAAAAAAAACAACATCAGTTATACCTAAGTAATTTAGTTTATTTTATTATTCATAGTTATTTTAATCGCTGGCACAAGACTGTAAATAAAATAATTCAACTATATAAAACACCTGTATTTGCTTTTTTTGTAAATAATATAAACATAAACATTTTTTATACTGGTTTTACATACATATTATATATATTAATTATTAAGTATTATACATATTATAATTTACAGATATGATCTATATCACATTCACTTATATATATAAAACTATTTGTATATTCTCGGGGCTTAGAATTATTATAAAATGTAAAAAAATACTGCCTTTAACGTATTTTTTAAATGCGAATTAATTTTCTAAGATCCTCTATGAGAACGACGGGTAAATTAAAGTATTTTTCTTTTTCGTAGAAAAGCAAAAAATCAGTTTTGCATACTAATTATAAATGAATACTTTGTTGATTGTATTATACTGTTTTGAATACTACTTCAACTCTAAATAGCACCTCGTTATGCCACACAATATATTTGTTACCTCTTGCTGTCTCATACCCAACCACACTTTTAGCATAGCAAAAAAAAAGTAAATTAATAACCTCAAAATGTTGTCATAGCGTTAATTAATACATTAAAAAATCAAGTTTTGAGATTAGATTTTTAAAAAATAATTTTTAAATAAATGTTAAAAACGTATTAAAAGGTGAAAAAAATAATTAAAAAATATAGTTAAGTTATAAAATGAAATTTAAACTAAATAAAATTTAGTTATATTTAGACAAAAAAAAAAAAAATACACAGTTAGTTAACAAATTATTTCCCTATGACATGAAAGAATTTCCTAAAAACATTTGGAAGTAACTCGACATTATTTTAGCGTGCATTAAATTTAAATTTGAAATTATTTATATTATTTGTGTTTCTTGATTTTTCAACCAACCTTAGGAACATTTAAGTGCTATTACTGATCTATTATACAACTATCTACCTACTGATATATTACTGACTGGCTATACAAGAATAATTCGGTTCAACGGTCGATGGTAGGTGAAAGCTCTTAGAAATGCTTAGATCTAAATAAGGGCATTTAATGTTTAATATTTTTTTTGTCATATATTTAAATAATACAATTATGATTTAAGGTTTTGTATAAACATAGTTATAAACCCGTTTTAGCTACGATGCGTAACTTAGAAAAGATGCGTAAGTATTATTTTTACAATAATGAGTTTTTATTATGTATCTATAATTTATTTATTTTTGTGTCTAGACCCAAAGGTGTCTCCTCAACCACTGACCTGATTTCTTCGTGTAGCAAGTGTCTGTAGTCGTACATATTATTTACAATGTAAATAATTAATTAACTGTTTAAATAAAGAATAACTTGCTGAACATTTTGTCTTGTCGATAAACAGGCTTGGATAATTATTTTTTAAGTTATTAGAGTTTAAAACATAAGACGGGAGGTAGGGTGCAGTGTAGTAACAATTTTATCAGCGTGTTTTAGTCTAACACACTCCACCTCGTATCCAAGTTTTAAACTATAATAACTTTAAAAGTAACTTTCAAAAAGGTAATTGGTCAGTCAAAATGTTCAGCATATTATTCTTAAATAAAACATTTGATTAGTTATGTACGTTACCGATTAAGTTTGAAAAAAATATAAAACTCTGGAAAATACTAAAAATGTAGTAATTTAGCGTAATTTTCTAATATAGCAAAATAAAACAATCAAAATTGTTTTCAAAAAGAAAAACTATGAAATTGCAATTATTTTAAGAAAATTAGAATGTCTAACTCTTAAAGATTCACCCGTACACGGATGGCAACAAATTATCATAGACAGACGATCAACCCTATAATCGCGTCAATCATAATACAGTTCATAAAAAACTAATTTAAAACACTTTATCGCCATTAAAATTTTTTTTGTTGTGTCTAAAGACACGATAACTTTTTTCCTGTGGACCGATTTACTTGTAGATCTCACTCTATAGATCCGAAATCGTATTCGAATTGTTGTAGGTTTAACGTTTAAAAAAAATTGCAATTCTTTCACTCCCAAAACCGGGAACACTCGAAAAAAATTTTTAACGGTTTTTCAACCTTCAACATTGATATACTATAACTTAGCGAAAAACTTCGGATCAAGTGGAATTTTTTATAGAATATTTATTAGGTATACTTCTATTCACGAATTACCTCAAACCTAATTTTTTTACCACCCTTTGGAAGACTTAAAGTTTTTTAAATTTATTTTAGCAAAATTTTAGAGGATTTAAGAGTTAAAAATTAGTTTAATCTAGTCTAAAATTGTATGTTAGACCTTTATATAAAATGGAAAACTGATATATTAGATTACAGAAAAATCACAGATTTAATAATTGCTTTGGCCCAAGTTTGCTTACTCATTCTGTACAATACTGTATTGATTGGTTTAGACTTTGCTAGCTTACACTGCACTGGTATTTTTATATCTAATTATCCAGGCACTCGAGAAATCTGGATTTCGCTGTCCCGTTCCCAATTTTTATCCATACCAATATACTATAAAGAGGGTGTTTCACTTAATACTTCTAGGTGTGATCTAGGTGGTTTTTTGCCAAATGGTGACATTGACCTTTATTTATACTCTAAGTACAGACAATATATGCGTAATCAGGTGTCGGGTCAACTTGTACATAAAAAAAAACCGAAAGCGTGCCGGTGAATTGATCCGTTTTCGTCGCATGTTACCTACTCATTCCGCGGTTCAAAAATTATCTGGATCAATGATCTATTGTAAAATATTTAGGTTATTCGTGCAAATGTCGTTTAAACACTTATACGTGTCCCAATTTTTATTCATTCAAAGACGATAATAACCCACACGAATGTGCCAAAACATATAAAAGCCGTTTGAAAACATCAGCGCCGTGCAAATTGCGCGAACGCTTTTGCCGATCTACAAGTGTCTTTTGTTAATCCCAACAAAACAACAGGTATCGACAGCCATGATCAAGATAACTGCCGTTATCCTGGCCTTGGTGAGTAATATATCTTATGTATCATCTATAGAAGTAGTTTAAGTACCAATTATAATTAATGTGAAGTAACGGTAATTTAGATTTTAGACCGCAAACATTCTGATAAAAGCCCGATAGACCAATATCACTAATATTAACATTATATAAATTATTATTAAATGCGTTGTTTTGAATACTTGAACCAAATATTAGTTTTTTTGAACTAGAACGGGGGAGCCTCGTTTGTAAATAATACGCCATTTCAATTCTGAATTGTTTCTTCTGTCCCTTTCTACCTTAATGGTTGAGAGGAAGTGCCTTTGATAAGGTGTTAAATCAGTAGAAATCCACATATCTTTCCGTAGTGGATTATTAAACAATATTTTTTTAGATTTTAAGATTGAAAAGACTGAATTTGGAGATTCGAAGACAATACGAATAGATCTTGGCCTGTCGCCTATTTTACCAAGGCGGTCAACGGAGGTAACTGGTAAATTAGACTTCAACGATTTCAGCATATTGTCCACCAAAGCCCTAATGTCATTAGTATACTCTCTAACATTAAAAATCAATATATTCCGAGACTTGGTATCGCGATCTTGCATTTCACGCGCCAAATCAAAACCAACCGACCGTGAAAAGGTGTCATAAATAGGCTTATTATTAGTAGAATTAGATTTAAGGAAATCTAACTCCTTTTTCAGTTCAGCATTCTCATTTTTTAGTAATAAAATAGATTCAGCAAGTTGATCCATTCTGGATAAAATTGCATCAGATGTATTTTCTTGAGTGGTTAGTTTTGTTTTTATTACTTGAATATCCTTATGTAAGGGTGTTCAAAATATCGGCATTAGAACATTAGTCTAAATTGGATTTAGATTTTCCACTCACAGAAAAGGCCGATTTTATAGGAGTTTTGTTTGACATATTTAAGCGTACACAAAACTATTATGGTTGGCGTTTAGATATAAACTAATTGAGTACCTTGGATAAACGACAACAAAATGGTTTTAGATCTTGACTGCGGTAGCATGAACTACGAAGAGAACAACCTTGATCGAAATCGCAACAAAACCCGACGTTTTACTATGCACTTGTATTATTAAAAATCATTAAATTTAATTGAATTAATAACAGATTTAACGAGATAAACTTGTAGTTAAGCTACAGATATTATTGACAAAAACTCTGAAGATGAATTCACTTGTAAAAATAATTTATAAAAACAATAAGTTGATGTTTCAACTACAAAATAAGAGCAGCAATACACAAAGTGTGTGTACTGGTCGAACGCTAGTACTGTACTTGTAATCAGTATTTTACAACTTTGTGTTTGATTTTTTTTTTGTTTTAAGCAAAAAATAATCTTCATATTTTACAACAAATTTTTAAAAATAGTATGGCCAGGTGTCAATATGGCTAGCAGGATGTAATTAATTTAAAAAAAACAGTATATTCAATCTTTATGTGTAAAACTAATCAATATTTCTGTTGTTATAGGTGTTTGCTTTTTATTTAAGCGAGCCTCTACTTCGGAAATATGTAAGTACCTACCTAGTTATATTTTTTTTATTAGGATTAATTTATTATAGAAATACTATAATACGACTCAACCATAGTTTAATATATATTATCAACAATTCACATGATTAACAATAACTAATAAATAATTAGGTAATGTAAATGTTTTTTTTTTTTTTTTTAGTAGCCATTATTAAAAAATAGAATGACTGAAAATGCCAACGTATATATTAACTAGTAGTATTACTACTGAAAACATATACTAACAATGTTTGTTCGTTGCAGTAGGTTTGACTTCATCATCCATAACTCTCCAATTCATTTTGGTTTCGACAACTTGGGGTGGTACAGTGTTTCCACAAAATACCCGCATTACCCCCCTCCCCCCTCAGCCGTCATTGTTTATTATTTGTGAAAATATGTGTACAGCTTAATTTAAATTTCAATTGATATAATGTAGAGGCTCTATCCTCTATAAGTTACTTTTAGCATACACTATAAGTAAGGTTTAGCCTTAGTTCTGATTGTGGTCTTGGACTTGTTTGCCGGCCCCTTCTTTAAGATATTGTGTATGTATTCATCGATCGATACTTCTGAACTTAGCATCAGCTCGTTCATGGTTTTCGGCTCTAAGTTTTCCCCAAAATGCAACGAATAAGTCGTCTACCCAGTGGCACAATTAGCCCTTTTATTAAGGATCGGTCAAACAGAAAGCGGACTGTCCGCGCGGACAGGTCGCCGGTCCGCCGCGGACTCTGTACTCTATTTAAATGCATCATTCAGCAACATTAAACAGACAGCAACCTACAAACGGACAAACGGATGGTTGTATTTTTTCACAAAGTTCGCGGCGGACTGGAATAATTTTGTAAAATAAAAAATATTTACTATAGACAATACACTGGATTTTCCACACGTATTAGCACTTCTAGAATATTATTATTATATAATTATCGAACATAATATATACAAACAATATTGATGACAATATATTGTACTTAACTTTAAAATTTTTTTCATTTTAAAATTGTGCACTGAAAATGATCGATGAAACGGAACGATTGATTGATCTAGTTGGAGAATGCGTTTATTTGTATGATACGCGGCATCCACTGAAAAATGGACAGATTCGGCAAAAGACTGGTATCAACACTTCACAAAAATGTAAAATTTAATAAAATTTTTCAGCCGAGTCTGCAACCACGAAAGAGCATTTTCATGTCTCGTTGAAGTACCAAATTAATTTATAGTAGTGGTGGAATTATAGATAATCATAGATAGATAATGGTGTAGTATATTAACAAGCAGTAACAAGCTAATATCTAAGGTGGCTAGTATATTAAAACATCAAGTTTCTGGCTAATATTTTAGTGTTTAACATCTGGCTTAAAACAATTCATAAAAATATTGAATTATTAAATTATTGAATTCAATTCAATTCAGTTCAGTTCTAGTTTGAACGTTGAGAATACAGCATAGTCGGTGAAACTCCCCAAATTATTTTCTTTTTTGATTTAGTTCATGTATCCATTTTCTTTTTTTTCGTCTTGCTTGACTCAAGGCAAGCAGAAGAAGCAATTCTTCTTTGTCAGAAGAACTGCTAGACATTTTGTAAAATAAAATGAAAACAGAAAACGTGAGATAAAAAAGTGAAAAATAAAAAACAACCAGCAGTACACTCTTGGTTGTGGCAATTTTCACACTGGTTCGCTCAAACTTGTCCGCATTCTGTTTGACCGATCCTTAAGAGGACGCCGCATTTACTATTTCAGTCTAACTAATTAGCAACGTAACAAAATTACGTTACTTAGAGTTTAAATTGTGGGGTTTAGGTTAAATAAAAAAATAAAATTTTTAAGAGGAGAGCATTGTCGAAGTCATCTTATTAATTTTTCAATCAAACAAAGAAGTTACAGCTATTTAAAAATGCAAAAACTAACATGAATGTATCTTAAATTTTTATTTAAAACTATTTGTTTAAGTTTATGATTTACCTTCTAAATAATATATACTATTATGCTATTATGGTTATTTAGCATGACCATTTCAACACCAAAACTGCTTCTATGTAATTAATAAAGATACAATTGATAAAAAGTTCATGCTCTCAATCTGCGCCTAAATATTTTTACTCCTATATAATTACAAATATTTTTTTACAAACTGTACTTTTTTAATATAAATCTGTCTAAGAAAGGTATTCATGATATTAATAAAAAAATGCATATAACACAATCACTTATAGGTAGGTACTATAATCACTACTAGGTATATACCTATTACCTAATATGACTTATGATTTTGAAGAAGTAATGTGAAAGCAATTATTTCACTATGTTATAAATTTCAGGGAGCAAAGACTGAGGGCATCATAATATTTAGTTATGCACTAGGGCACCAGTACATCTAGTTACGTTGACCTAGCCTAACTTACCCGTTGAAATTCTTACAGTTGCCTTGGCCGATGTCCCGGGCAATCGTGTACCCAAAGGACTACGCACCCGAGTTGGAGTACGGTCAGAGCAACGTGCAATTCGACTTCATCGTGGTGGGTGCGGGAAGTGCCGGCGCTACGTTGGCCGCCAGACTCAGCGAAGTGGCCGAATGGAACGTGTTGCTTCTGGAAGCCGGCGGCGATCCACCAGAAACAGAAGAGGTCCCTCTTTTGTGGGAGACGATGCTACGGACCGACGTTGACTGGAACTACTCGACGGAACCGGACGAAAAGATGTTCAAGGGTATGGAAAACGGACGCGTTTATGTGCCTAGGGCCCGCATGGTGGGAGGTAGTTCATCGTTGAACGTCATGATATACTTAAGGGGCACTAAACGTGATTTCGAAAGATGGGTGCAAGCCGGTTGCGACGGATGGGATTACGATACGGTAATGAAGCATTTCAAGAAATCAGAGGACTTTGTCGACAACATGCGTTTCAACAAAACCATTCACTCTCGGGGCGGTCCGCTGACCGTATCGCCTTACGTACCCTCCGACCCGGCCATCGCAGTGTTCTCAGCCGGTGCGACGGAGCTGGGAATGAACCACGTGGCGGACTTTAATCAGATAGATCCAGTTTTAGGCTACGGCATGGCCGACAGCACTACCAGAGACGGTTTGCGGTGCAGCACGCTAAAGGCATTCCTGTTGCCGGCCAGTGAGCGACCCAACTTGTACGTGGCCAAAAATACGAGGGCCACCAAAATATTGTTCGACGAAAACCGCAGGGCCACTGGCGTGGAGATCTTGATGCCAGGCGGCACCAAAAAGGTGGTCAACAGTAGGCTGGAGGTGATCGTCAGCGCCGGAGTGATAGGCAGCCCGCAATTGTTGATGTTGTCGGGAGTGGGGCCCGCAGAGCACCTACGAGAAATAGGCATCGATTTGGTGGCCGACCTAGGGGTCGGAGCAAACTTCCACGACCACGTCGTGTTTTTAGGTCTAGTGTTTACCGACAGGAAGAACCGTCCTAAAGAAGAGATACAGGCCGAGAGCACAAAGCGAGCAGCAGAACATATGGCACTGACCGCACAAGGCAAAAGCACCCTTGGGCTATCGGGAATGCTCACTTTCATTAACACGAAAATGGAGCAAACGTACCCCGACGTGGAAATGATGAAGATGCGATTATCGTATAACATGTTAGACAAGAGCATGAACGGCAAGAACATGCTGAGCAACATGTTCGGGCTGTCGGACGAAGTGGCCGCTCTGTACAAAGATCTGAACAAGCAGAGCGACTTAGTGTTGATGATGCCAATCTGCAACAATATTATTAGCACCGGTTACGTGCAGCTCAAAAGCACCGACCCGTTGGAACACCCGAAAATCGTGGCCAATTTCTTGAAGCACGAGGAAGAACTAGAAACAGTATTGGGAGCCATCGATTTCGTAATTCAACTATCGAAAACCGAAGCCGTGATGAACGCCGGTTTAGTGTTGGAACACTTGAAGTTCCCCAATTGCGCCGGTCACGAATGGGCCACACGCGATTATTGGTTGTGCAGCATCGAGCAAGTGGCCACTTCATTGTATCACGTGGCCGGCACAAACAAAATGGGAGCGGTCGAAGACACAACAACAGTAATCGATCCTCAAATGAGAGTGAAAAACGTCACAAGCCTGAGGGTTATCGACGGTTCTGCCATACCGCATTTGGTAGCGTACAACCCAAATGCGGTCACTATAATGATGGCGGAAAAAGGAGCTGACCTCATAAAATCCAGTTACGGTAAAAACGTATGAACGATGTAAAACACAAATTTTTTTATTTGTCTTTTTTTTAAACTATTATATTTTTATACTATTTATATATAACGTTGCCAAACCTGACCCACTGCAAGGTACTTACTGACATTTGTTTGGAAATGTATTTAAATAATATATTCTTTACCTATTTTTAAGTTCCCATACCATTTTCATCTTATATCGTACAAGAAATTAAATTTACACAGCAAATTATAAGTTATGTGCCAATAATAAATACTAATATAAAATTATTATGTAAATGAATAATTAACTTTTCAAGTGCACAATATGTTATTATATTGTTAATATTAAAAATGTGATAAATCTAATTTAATGAAAATTGTTGGACACTATTTGTTTTCTGATTACTATGCATAACAAATGTTGATTGTAACTGGAAGATGGACATGTTTTCTTTCAAAAATAAGTTTATTCGTAAAAAATAAGTTTGCATATTGTCACAAGTCACAGGTACCCTATACGTTTTCACATTAATGAACACACATACTTAAAAAAAAAATTACTTAAGTTTTAAATGTGCTTTCCAGCAGTAAAAATAATTGTTAACAATGAGCACTATAATCTCCGGTTAAAGGTGACCGGTTTGGGCGTCTTAATAATAATATTTAAACAGATTCTGTTCTCCTTCAAATTTATTTTTATTTTGTTCAAAACGGTTTTAAGTATGTGATCGTATTACATTGATTCCCCGTACAAACTGCATTGCAAAAATCAAGTCGTAAAAAACAGGTGTCCATTGTGAGAAGTGAGAAGCTTTGAGACCAATGTATCTCATTCATGTACATTGATCCCTGATTAACTAAGCCCCTGAACAAGTATATACTTGGACGAAGGTAGCCTCGAGACAATTCCTCCTTTGTCTTTTTTAATTGCCTGCGTTTATAAGTCTCTTTTTGTTGTTTTTAATAAAATCATAATAATAATTAGTGTCACATGAATAATTTTCGGATATATCCGCGTCAATGGTTGTTAACCATGGTGGGTTAACACCGTCACCATTGACGCGGATATATCGGAAAATTATTCATGTGATATTTCAATCCGCGAAAGCTTCAACACATTAATAATTAGTGTATTAAAATGTTATCGATCTGAACCTCAACCGATATCACTCAACCCATACAACTCTGTTATACTATAATATTTTCTCAGATTAGAAAACATTAGGTAAAAAGTTTAAGAGAAGCCCTTGCCCCTTTATACTCAGACAATAAAAAATTATGGCTATGAGGATTGCATGCGGTCTATTTTTAAGGAATTTTGTATAGACAATATTTAAGAAAAAAACGATTTTAATACATTTCGACCATGTTAATTAATTTACCGGTTAATTTGTATAAGCTTCAAGGTATTTTTTTAAATTTAAATAATTTTTTCTATGAGTAACAGCCATTTTTGTTTATTTTAGACCAAAAAGCTAGAAAACATTTCTACTACATAAGATGGTCTGATTTCAATTCTATAAAGAAATTCGAGTTCTTTGGCTACTTTATAGAAGAGCTTACATGTCCTACTATTAAAACTAGATACTTTGATTCCTATTCTCATAGGTAGCTAAAAAATCCATTTAATCATTTAAAAATACTTGCCATATCTCTGAATATAATAGTTTGTAGTATAAAAAAAAAATTGTGATTTATAGTATCATTTATAGTTAAACCTTAATAGTATTATTCAGCATAGATATACATAAAATTGTTTTAATAATTTGATACATTTTTTTAAGATTTTAGGGTTTTTTCTGTTAAAATGTACGCAATCTGCGAAAACACAGTTTTCCGGAAATTAAAGGAAAACTGTAGAGCCGAATTTTTTTTCCGTTTAATATGTTATGATTACATATGAGTTTTAACTACTGGCAAATTTTCAACCCAAAGGTCTTAAAATTACGGCTAAAAACCCCAAAAAACAAAAAAACTTGTACCCCCTAGGGGGAGTGTGAAATGGGTATAATTTAAATTTGATACAACTGACGTGTGCGGGCATACCAAATTAATATTCCTAACAAATTTCAAATTTCGACCGTGAAGAAGTAAACTTTTTCAACCTTTACCCCCCCCCCCCCCAAGTACCAACTAGATGAAATTTGTGATTTATAGAGTTGCTACTCGAAGGAATTGGTCCAGTATTAAAAAAGTTAGTGTATACAGATAAAAAAAAGCCCACATCAGAGTAAAACCTTCGGCACTTTCCATCGAAGCTAAAAATTGTGAAAAATTAAGATCACATTATATAAAAACAATATAAAAAAAAAAATTTAATTTCCTATTAAACCCTATGAGATATTGAACGGCCAATGATAAAATAATCACCCTGTATACATATCTTTACATCTGTATACATATATCTTTATATATAAATTTCTTCTGTCTGTGTGTAAGTATGCAAACTCCTCCTAAACGGCTGGACAGATATTTATGAAATTTTGTGTGCGCGATTAAGTTGATTCGAGAAAGGTTTAGTTTCACAATTTGATCTGATAGAACATGTTTTTAATTTTTAATTAATTAAAAAGAATAAAAAAAAATTTATTTAATTTCGAGTGGACTTATTGACCGGGATTATAGCTAACGTGGTCCTCACCGGTCGGCCTAGTGGTGTGATTTGCCACTAAAAACCCGGGTGGTCACCCATCCGGGATCAAGCGGTACCAGTCGCAGCTTAACCGCAGGCGCCTTGCAGCAGCTGCGGTATCCACTGCGCCACATCGTACCGGTAAAAAAAAGATTATTATGATTATGAATAGTATCGATAGTTATTAATCACATCTCTATGGTTTTTCATACCACAGGGATACAGTGATCCGATCAGCTGATTGTGTGTCTATTCTAATACACGGGCAACGCCGGGTCGGTACAGCTTGTATATATATATATATATATCTACGGTTACGCACTGAAGCTTTTATTTAAAAGTGATTTTACTTCTTTTAGTTTAAGTAATACCTATAGACCTATGACCTCCCGTATGTACTCAGTATACACTATGCCCCAATTGCACTCTACTGGCTTTTTTCTATTTTTATTATACTTAAAAATAGTAACAATTTAACAAATGTATAAATCATAAAAATCTCCAGAACGTATGTTTTATTTATAAAGCGTATGTTTGAAATATCATAAAATACTTAAAATATAAAAACTGGTAATAACAATTAAAAAACGTTTCTTTAATTAAAAAAAAGTTACATATATTTCTTAATTTTGTACCTAACATATCATAGTACTTCTCTATCAATTAAAATAATAAAAAAATAACAACAACAAATTAAAAATAGGTAAAAATAAATTGTTAAGTACCCAATACGTCTAAATTACTCTAAAAATACCCAACTTGAAGGACTGTTGGCATGTTGGAAAACAATTATTGAAGAACTTTTTTTCAGAAAAATATAACTAATTTGTTTTTTTTAAACATAATAACTGTAAAAACTATTTTAAAGTAGATCTTATTCAATAGTCATTATAGTTACTATATATAGTCAAAATATGTGCCACAAAATCACCAACAGCTAATTTAGACGTATTGTTACTTAAGAATCTTATTTGGCTTATAAGCCAAAAAATTACTGAGTTTCCAAATACGCAACTAAAAATACCTGAAATATTTTCATTAAATTTAAAATAGTAGGCATATGTAATGCGTTCCTATTATCGGTAGTTTTGTGCCATTCTTTTGGAAATGGATTTGGAATGATATGCAAAATTTCGATACCTGCCATTAAAAACACAAAAGTAACTTTTATATTATTTCTTCCAAAAACAATGTATTAATGATTAATATCATTGATAAATTAGCTTTTGGTACAAAAAAATAATCATTATCAAAATGTTCAAAAATACTTTAACTTTATTACTTCATTACGAAGTTTTTTACAAGCATGCTTGAATTATTAATTTTGAACTGTAAATTTCTTTGATTACCATTTATACAAACAATTTTTTGTGCTACTTTTTTGCAAAGCTAAATTAATCATTTAAACCCATTATTCATATTTAATTAAACTTGTAACCAAAATTAATTTTATATAATCGAGTTATTTAATTGTAATAATTCTTTATTTATTAACTTAACGTTATACCTTTTTCATAAAATGGTATATGATCATCATCAATTCTGACATTAGCCGACATTGGAAGGAAATAATTTTTAGTATAATCGGTAAAACAATTGGTTTCATTTAATACTTTTTCAGCTGTAAGCATAGAACGATAAAGGTCAACAGTTTCGATAAAGTAATTATAAAAGGTTGGATTCTTTGTTCCCAATAAATCCAACAACATTAAAAATTCCTGAAAAATATTATAATAATTAATATCTAATTTAATTAAAAGATAATGTGCCATTATAAACCAACTATTCTATGTAACTGATTCAATTGACGTCCATTGTGCACAAATCTAAGGTTTTCCATTTTTGAAGCTAAATGTCTCGAACCATACAACGAATCGGACTCGTTCCATTCTACAAATGCTTCTTCTCCATCAAAAAACATCATCATCAAACTCAAAGGCTAAATAACATAAACAATACAAGTAAAATATTTAACACTCACATTAAATAATTAAAATTTAATAATCGATCAAGGAGATTTGTAGATGTTCAATTTTTGTAAGGAAAGATAATATTAAATACTTACAGTAGTTTTGAACATTTCAAGTCGTTGTTGTAATGTTTTAGCCATATATATCATCATTGCACAAGGTACTGCAGAATCGGTAGCACCCTCAAAATAGAAGTCCATTTTTTTAGAATCGTAATGACATGCGACAACTAAGTATCTATCGGCCAAAGGATTCAAAGTTGCTATCACATTAGTCATATTATGAACACCTAATGGCGTTCTAGCATTGAAGGAATCTAATTCAACTGACCATCCGACACTTTTCATTTCTTCTGCTATAAACTATAAATAATAAATAAAAATAACTAATATATAGTAAAACAATGTTAATATCTCTCTCTCACTAATAATTATGTGTTTATTTATATTTTAAATTTAAATAATGTAAAGTTAGTATACTAATGTTTGAAAAAACATAAATAAATACCATTTTAACAAACTCATGTTTGCTGGTTCCAACTACTCTTTCTATTAAGATTTCATCTAATATTGGCTTGAAGTCATTTTCAAATCCCAAATGACATAATTTTAAAATAGTGTCTTGTGAGATTCCAGCACCCTAAAGTGTATAAGTCAAATAAATAAATAAATACTGACTAAAGTTCCAACTAAAAAAATTTGAATATAAATTATAAATGGCTATGTTATGGTTCATTGTTTAAAGGCAAAGATCCAGGGCTTCGGCTAAGTAATAAAGTTAGGCAACATTTTATCATCTTTCGATTTCATATTAGGTGTTTTTGTTCTAAAACTACCATGGACTAAGTAAAACGTAATCTACTTAGCTCTGTTTTAATTAAAAAATGAAAAATGCCATTAACGGTAGCTGTGAATAAAAACATGAGCTAGTAATAAAAGATCGTTATTACTGTACTAATAAATTTACACAATAATTTTAGAATTTACATGAGAACTTTCGATAAATTACCTATTTTGAATTCCTTTATAAACTTTGTGTGTAATGTCATATTAATGGTCATTTAGGTAGATTCATTAAATATGTATAACTCACTTATTAAAATATTAAATAATATTCTATAAAAATCTTATATAACATTATTAAAAAATCCATAAAATGTGTTATAAGTTATTATACAAAATTTTAAAGTAAAATATGATTATTTAGTGATTCTACCTAGGTATGTTTCTGGGGTTTACACTGGTTCACATAAAAACAACATATATTTTCTTCAATGTAATTTTTTTTTCTCTAACTTGTTCATTCCTAATAGTTCAATTGATTAATTTAAATTTATTTTTAAAATCTATTTTTTAACAGGAATGTCATCTAAATATCATCATAGCATATATATTAATAAATATGACTTAGTTTAGCTGTATTCATTAATAATATCTAAATTCAAGCATGATATTTTACTAAACAACAATGTCATCAAGACAGTTAAAATGTCTACAACTCACCTTTGGCATCACACCTGGAAATTATCTACAAACCAAAAATATATTAGGTGAAAATTATTGACATCAACAAAATTAAATGTACATGTAATCTGTAGAACATAACATATGTTTGTTGGGTATAATAAAAATAAAAAAATTATAAATTTAAATACCAAACTAGATTTTAAGTTTTTTTACAGTGTTGTAATATTTATAAATTTACATTTTATAACTTTCATATGCCACACACAAAATACATATTACGGCACAGTTATATAAATAATAAAATATTTAATATGTGCATGTTATTCAACACATGTAAATCAAAGATTAAAAACAACAGGTTTTTTTTAGAAAGTTAGGCAGGCAGATACATCTTACCTACAACACATTATACGAATAATAATATAATGTATCTTAAATTTTCTTATATTCAGTTCCTAAAAAAATACTTTGTTGTTTGTACGTTATAATATAGTTCTTAAATTTAGCTTTGAAACCTATATTGTTATGAAATTTAATTTAATACTTCCAAAAAAGTATCTACTATATTCAATACTGGCCTCTTTAAAACATTCTTGACAAATTTGAAAATAACTCAAAAGTATATATTTTATGTAACTAATATTATTTATGATCAAATTAAAACTTTAATAAAAAAAAAAATTCAAGATTTCACTATAATATGAAACACCAGATAAACTGAAAATCTTAAGCGATGAAGTAGGATAAGTTTTTTTTTTAAATCTAATACTTTTTGGTTGTAGAGAATATGAACGATTTTAAAACTACTAACAAATTTCATATGTTTAATACCTAATTGAAGTATAACAATTAAATGATATATAATATGTATGTATTTTCCAGAAGATAATTTTATTTACTTTTATAATTATACTTTACTAAGAAATATCTAAGAACATGTACCTTTAATCTTTTTTTTTTTATATGTAGCCTATTAATAAAAAATATTTGGCTCAACAATTAAACATACTTTTAATCTTAATACTATAAGTTTGATTGAATCTTTTATTTTTCAAAAGATCAAATACATTAAAATTCCCTAATGATAAGCTATGCAAGATATTAAAATTCATTTAGGGTGGATTAGTATAACAATTTGGGCAGAAAATAGAGAGTACCAAGCTCTTTTAAATCCAATTTACAAACTTATTTTTTAGTCTATACCTAGATTATTGCAGTTCCCAGTTTACAGTTACAAATTAGGAATAGGCACCTATTTAAATTTAAAATTGTAAAAAAAATGTATTTATTTGTGCAAAATTCTTACCTGCTTATTTCTCGAACTTATTAATTGTGAGGCTGTGAACGTGGTCATCAATACTACCATGGAAAAATTAATTAATATTGCCATTTTGACAAAATAAAAATATTAAACCTGACGTTACATCCACTAACGCAATGGACAACGTTTATACTGACGAAAATGACATAACAACATAAGAGCTAACCGAACTGCTGTAACGACAATTTGCATATGATTTTGCTGTTAATATAGTTTTTGACTGGCTTCAATGCATTGAAATGGCTTCAGTGGCATTAGCGTGCCACCGTGGACTGTGTGCTATATTTGCATAGACTTCCGACTTTATATTATACTTCACGTAGTATAATGTATATACATTTGTTTACTAGTTGTTATCAATTTATTTTTTAATTCTTATCAGTAATGTTTACGGATCAGCTGGTTACATTCTTGCACCTTGCAAGACGTTCTAACCACAGAATACATTTAACGTTGATTAAATACAAATAGATAGCCAACGTCGTGTTTACAGTCAGCCGCTCATAAATGGGAGGCAGAAATTTCAGTAGGAACTAGTGTGGGAGCCAAACCGTAAATGGGTGCTCTGGCCTCTGAACACATGACATTCCGGCTCAAACCTGGGCGGCCAATGCATTTTTTTTTCGCAACGTTTTCCTTTCTTTTTTTCTTTTTATTTACATTTAATTAAAGTACAACTGTTATAATAAAAATAAAATACTTTTTTTCGTATAAAATATCATTTAATACATTTTTTAATAAAGCATAAACACAATATTAAGCATAGGTCATGTACTAATAAATGTGTATGCACATGACTACCGATTTAAATTGTAATCCTCAAATTTACATAAATTAATGTTATATATATGGGAAGACTATAGAGGCCGGGTGGGATTATTATCTGTTTAAAAATAAGTTCTCAACAGGAATCGAACTCAAAATCGTTGAATGTGAAATTTTCACCATACAAAATGTTTGAAATATATAAGTATGGATGGAGTGGGCTATATCTCCCTCCCCCTGATTTTACCTATGTCAACCAGCCCCCAACAGGTTGACTTTTATTTAAAAATTACATATACGTAGGTATACATAACAATAATAATAATAGCAATAGGAAAATAATACACAAATTCTTAACGTTAAAAACGAAGATGAAGTCAGATTTTGGTGGTCGAACTTTCTTTTAAAGTTATAAGCCAAAACTTAATTAAGGTCATTCATTTTTTTGAAAAAGACGTCAATGCTCATAATTTTAAAAGTAAATCGTTCAAGCTTCGTTAACATAATTTCTTTTTTTGTAACATGCTTAATAATAGTTCTATTTAAAATAATCGACTTGTTAAATACATACTTGAATTTCATATATTGTACATTTAAATTTGAATCGCTAAATTTAGTTTTAATTAAATCTCATTATTCCATGTCTTTTCAATTTTTATTCAACGCGATCCCCAACCTTTCTATTCTTCTCTTTCTATCGATATTAACCCCGTGGTGGTATAGGGGAGGGGGTATGTAGGAAGTACAGACCATTTTTTCAAGTCGTTTTATAAGTAGGAGATCATCAGAAACAATCGTAAATGGTGGGGATCACTCGGAACAGAGTTAATGAAAAGTCAATTACCATCGGCGCAGCCGCCAGTCTTTCTGGTTCATCTCATTTTCCTATACGACTTGCAATATGGTTTTTCTGTAGACTGTAGCAAGCCATATACAAATGAGATGCAATCCAATTAGTGTCAGATATTGTACTTTAAATCGAGCTTTTTTTCTTTCTTAATAAACAGGATAAAGTAACACAATAAAAGTATAAAAAAAAATACTACAACATTTTAGTTTAAGTTGTATTGTAATTATTTTTAATTAGTTTTTGTAAAACTATTTATGAAATAATTTATAAATAAATAAATAAAAAATACAACACGACCAATAACTTCAGAATACTGCTATAATAAGTAAGTGAAAATTTTACTACCATATCAATACAAATTAAAAATATCTATTTAAAAGGAAATTCGAATTTGATGTAATAAATATTACATTACCTGCGCATAGTTACTACTGACCAATTTAAAATACATTTTATCAAAATTAACAATTTACCTTTCCCCACTTAGGTTTTATTTTATAAACAAATATATCGGGTAGTGTTTTTGATTAAAGGAGTACTAATATTTGTTGGTACATATTTTACTGTATTTATCAATACGCTGAAAATTTTTTACCATCATTCCTTATACGTAAAACAAGTATGGATCTCGTTTTTTTTTTAATGGGGAACATATGAATTTAATTCCATTAATATGTAAAAAAAAATGTTTTAAAAATCTGCTAGCGTTCGACGTTTTAATTTTCATCTATTTGTTCGTATGCCTTTGCATATTACATTTCCTTTTATGATTATCATAGGTAATATGACTTCGGTTTTCCAAATTCCAGTAGCCCATAAAATTCAAATCCATGTTCGCATTGTTCGATAGGCGAGACACCAATAACCAGACACAATGAGATGTTTTGGGGTAATGATAGATAACCGGACCTTATCTACCTATACCTATTCAAACACAGTAACGGTGACAGGGTTATCGACGGGGCAAAGGCGCAACTAGGGGGGTACTAAGGGGACTTTAGCACCCCCAGACTCAAAATTAGCACTCCTAAAAAAGCTCCAATCCTTGATTTGTACGCATACAACTTTTATAATGTTTATACTCTGTTGAAATTTGTTATTATAGATTTTTTTTTGTTTTCAAATGTTTTATAAGAAAATGTTAATAGTGTCTATAGTATTGTAAAATAAAATAAACTAAAACTACTACAAAGTTGTAATTATTTTAAGAGAAAATTAATGTCTATTGTCCACTCTGTACACGCGTGTGACAGCCGACAGGATAATACAATTTTTGGCTTACGTCGACTGTTTTTGTGGGTTCAGACACTCATGGCCGGTCATTTGACCAGTTCTCGGTAAACATTTATTTATGATAAGAAATTAAAAAAAAATATATATATATACGTATAAACATTACATTGTATTATGGTATTAAAATCAACAATTTGTAATATTAACAAACCATTATGTGAATCAGTGAAATGTAAAATATAATATTGTATTAGTAGTAGTTATCCTAATTTTTAAAAAACCACCAAGTGATCGCCGTTAATATTTTTACAATAGAGATTTTGTTTTGCCCGTACAAATATACTTTGCCGAAAAATGTAAAAAGTTTACCCATTTTCCTTTAAAATCGAGGAAAACGCCCAAAACATTTACATATTAATCAACTTATACACCTAATGTATCGTGTTAAGGCTTGCTAAAATTAGCTTAGGTTTGCACAAATAGCCGATTTCTCCTTGAATATTAATAATATTTTATGTACAACCTAAATGGGTTTCTCTCTACTTTGTATGTAACCAAAAGGTTAACAACACTATAAATGTAAATTATAAATTCAGTTTATTTATACAAATACTAAGAAACCGTATACTTTGTACAACTGGAGATTGCGAAAATGCGCAAAAACACATTAAATATTGTATAAATTATATGTATCCGACAATGTTCCGCGAATTACAGTGGACAGCTTGCCAAATCATCTTCGAACCGGACTCCACGGATTGAAGATTGCACAATGCCAAAAGGTCACTCAATGCGGGGATGCCAATGACTCCTTCCATTTCACCCGGATGGCAATTTTGCGTAAATACCAGCCGATCTGCAGGGCAGAGGCAGAAGTGTCCTGGCTGTGTTATGCTCAACATACCTGCAACAAGACACTCGTTATACTGTTTGTGTATTGAATTTATGCTTGTGAAAATACATAGCTTACCATATCTTTGTTATTGAAAGTATTCTTTTATTTTAAAACATCCAAATTCCATCTTCAACCTTTGTGTTCAAAGTCTTCAAAGGCCATAGACTTTACAATCGTCTACTATATTACCTATCGATTATTATTGTATGTTACAGATTTAACAGTGTAATGGATTACTGTAATTAGCTAAGCTTTACGACAAACCGATTTCTCCTTGAATATTAATAACATTTAATGCACGACCTAAATGGGTTTTTTCTCTACTTTGTACGTAACCAAAAGGTAAACAACGTCATAAATTGTAAAATCCAATTATAAATTGTAAAAACCAATTTATTTATGCAACTATAAGAAATCATATACTTTGTACAACTAGAGATTGTGAAAACACGTAAATAAACACATTAAATATTGTATAAATCATCTATCCGACAATGTTCCGCAATTAACAGTAGACAGCTTAGCCATTCACCAACAACCCAGACTCAAGGATTAGCGGTTGCACAACTGGAAAAAGGTCATCGATGCGGGGATGCGAAAGACTCCTTCCACTCGACCCGGATGGCCATTTTGCGTAAATACGAGCTGCTCCGCCATAGTAATTCAGAAGTGTTCTGGCTGCGTATTATCTATGATATACCTGAAACAAAACACTCATTTTTACTGTTTGTGTACTAACTTTATGCTTGTTATAATACATATCTTACTTTATTTTTGTGATTGAAAGTATTCATTTTATTTAAAAACTTCCAACTTCCTTCTTGAACTTTTGTGTTCTAAGTCTCCAAAGGCCACAGACTTAAGCAGACATTACAACAGAATAAAAAAATTAAATTTAGGCACAACTCCGAAAATGGAACAATTTGTCGAGGAATATCCTACGCTTTTCCCGTTTGTCCAAGTGACTGAAAAAAATTGGTTTTACAACGTGTTGAGAACAATTTTTTACAGAAACGAGTCGACGCTCAGGCGCATCGATCGTTTCTTGTCCAAGCGTAGTTACCGCGACGCCGACGGACAGACGAGATTCCGTTCGGTCAATCCGGACACGGCCGAGGCCATTTGGTCGTGGACTTACCGGACACCGCTGGACAAGCTAAAAGTAGTGGTCGTCAGACAAGACCCGTACGTGACCAATCACCCGAACGGATCGGTGGCCGACGGGTTGGCTTTCTCAACCAAATGGGGTTATTTGACGCCCAGTCTGTCGCGCATATTCGACGCCGTGCGCCAACAGTGCGGGCGCCACGTCAACTTGGGCCATACCAATTTGGACAACTGGGCCAGACAGGGCATACTGCTCTTGGACACCGCCATGACGAGCGGGACGAGGCCCAAGTCGCACCGGCATCTGGGCTGGACCGCACTGACCGAAGCCATCATCCGGTCAGCGTGCGGATATGCTTTGAACGTGTTGCAACGGCCCCTGATATTTCTCCTGTGGGGATACCATGCCGCGTCCCTGGCCAGACACCTGTATGCTCACGACGGCTCGGTTACCAGGTATCCGGTAATAAATAGTAGGCTCCACACAGTACTTATATCTCGACATCCGTCTCCCGTGGCCGATCGTTATTTTAGAAATACTTTTTCCGAAGCAAACGACGGCCATTTTTTAAAGGTCAACCGAATATTAAATATGTGGAACGTCAGCAAAATCGATTGGGCGACGAAAAAAAAAAGTTATTGTTTTCAGTATTAAAAAGTGTAAATGTACGTTGATTCAGTGGCGCACATAATACGAGTAGGTACGAGCAGGTATGTGGTATGTATTCATGGAGGGGTTCTCCCTCTATGTCCTGGTGTAAAAATAGTTTTGGAATTTGGAACTTAACCTAACCTAACATTGATTTGGATGAGTTAACCGTTTGATTATTTTATATATCTTTAAACTTCATTAATTTCTTGTGTATTATGCATGCAGTTCAAATCAATTGCACACAAAGAAGATGCTGTCATGCATAAAGGAACTTTACTTACAACACCTTGCGATTGAATTTCAGTTTGACCTAACCTAACCATCGTTAATAAGTCGATCAACAAATGGGCCAACATCAGAACTACTTCAGCCATTTTCTTTGGTAGAGCATTTCAAGCTTATAAATTGGTTTTCCGTCTGCCATGATTTCATAATTTGATCACTACTTTTGGCAGTTTTTAGATAGAATTTTTAATACCTTTAAAAAATGTGGTTTGGCTGTTTGAAAAATACTTTTAAAAAAGCTACATTTGGCCTTTCATTAAATTAATTTCTAGCACTGCTTAGTGTTAAGTATATGTAAACCGTGAACTTAGTAATAGTTCAATAGTGCATTTTGTTATAGAATATGTTTGTGTTACATACGGTGAGAACACCATTAGTATTGTATTTTAACTAAAAATTTAAATTATATTTAATTTAGGTACTGTGAGAAATATATTTTTTTTAAATTTCCTATTAATTTTATCGTAATTTATTTATTAAGTAATTAGTAATGTACTCGTATTATAGTTAAGCATATTATATTGTGTAGTTTCTTAAGTGTGCCAATTAATTTGTTTTAACGACTCGTTTCCATACAACCAAAGACTGTAAAATGACTATTTTATTATTTTATTTTTACCTACTACTACTTTATGTGTGTACTAGTTTTATCATTATACAATAAAAAATTGATAAAAACGGCTTCATTTTTAAACTTTTTATTGTAACCGCCCATTTTACCAATGGTAACCATAATACAGACGTATTTTAAAATCTCATTTTTTTTGCTATGGCACCACACTAATATCATGACCCTTATTTTTATTGTTATAATAAAATTAAAAATAATTATAATACGATTGAATAAAAGATTTATTTTTTATTTTACATTACATTCGAGAAAAATAATCCGATAAAAACGTGTTCTTAATAAAACATAAGGCATAAATTGTTTATATAAAGCACTAACAAATAACAAAGTCATAATATTACATACATTTTTTTCATTCCGAGAAAATATGAGCGTAGAATACATATTATTATCATTGGGTGTCGTCGCACCATACAATATAAAATGACCGATAAAATATTTTTTCGGATCAATCGTAATTTTACCCAATTTTCAAATTTAAACGTCACTTCAACATAACATGAGGGGAATTTTGTTTTTAAATCTATTAACTGGGGCAGAAAAAAAAAGGAAAATATTATCGAAAAATAACCAACCACGAAAATAATAAATACATTTGGAATTTGAAGTTAAAAACAATAAATCATGATTCTTTTAACTGGTCAAAATTTTTTTTAAATATAATTTTTTTTTTTTATAGAGTATTTTCTTTTGTGTAAATTTTATATAACAAACTAAAAATTCAAACAAATCCAAAATGTTTAGTCTTTATGGCAATTAATAGCTTGTGTCGGAGTATGGAACGACTGCTGTAAAGTGGTATGTACAATCTGGATATGCAAGTGTTGGCCGTCGGTAAATGTGAATCATCGGCAGGGCGCATTGTGACACTGGGCATCGGTTGGAAGCCTTCTTCAGAAGCAGGCAGTGCAGGCGAACCAGTCCAGAAATAAACCTGGAAAAATAAAAAAATAAATTCACTTTTTAATTCTTTAAAAAGGCACAAGGCAATTTTTTTTAAGCTTACCAAATCTTGACGTTCCGAAGGGGTCATCTTGTCGACTATGGACCAAAGCCAACGTTTAAATTTTATCTGTCTGTCGCTGGTGGCAAGACCGGACTCGTCATTGAAGCTCGTATAAGAGATCAATAGTGGAACGTTTATATCACCGACGCCATTCAACAACAATCGTAAATCTTCTGCAGTCAAGCCATCCAACGAACTCTCCGGAATCACATCAAACACACCAGATCTTAAGGCCTGCAAAACCGTTACAAAATAATTTGTTGATACTTCATGATAAAAAAAAAAAATTGAGTAAATTTGTCAACATACGAGGAATGCTTTGTCTTGAGTTTTAAACATCCTAAACTCAGCGTATCTTCGAACGTAGTCATAAACATTGTTGGGTGTTACTTCAATGTCCACGCCACAATTTACTAATTCTACACTACCACCTCCTTCTTCTTGACTAAGATCAATACTGAAAAAATGTATGATTAAATTATAATTTGTTCGTAGCAAGTGTAGTTAAGTATTCTCCCCTTACCTAAAGTTTAAATCCAATGCCGAGAACAAAGACTCTTTGTCTTTAGACTCTGCGTCCAATACGAGTTGCCTCAGGCTTTCGTACATAACAGGATCGAAGAACGCCAAGTCGTGGAATCTAATAGTTCTACCCAAAATCACTTTGAGAACGTGCCGATTGAAGTACATTGGGCATAATTCGTTTTGTAGAAGACAAAGTCCAATCAACCTGCAAAACGAAATCAAGGTTAAAATAATCTACTACTATTATTCAGGGCTAAACATTTATTTTGGTTGAGGTTATATTATGTAATCTTATTAGTAAGCGTTTCGTTCTTTATTAGATAGTATATTCCATAACCCATCTTCTTCATAACTATGAAATACCCTCTGAAAATGCACATACACTTTTTTCAACTTATGTATAATTAACACATTTATATGTGTAAACAAATTATTTATATTTAATAGTTTTCTATGTTTTATCACAATAAGTTATAACAACTCTACAACCTCACTAGACAGCCATTTGTATTTTGTATAGCATAGATGATTATTAAGCTTACCTTCCGGTGTTTCTAAAAGCATTCAAGCGCTCATATGACGCTTTTCCTTGGCGCGGCGAATAGAATCCTTGTTTTCCGGGGCAATAAAACAATGGCATATTGTCATCTAACGTTTCTTCAGCAGTATTTTCTTCTGTTACATTTTCTTTTGCGGGCGTTGCAGTTTTCGAGCCATGTTGTTCAGATAAACTTAGGAACAAGTCAACATCTTCTACAATAGAATATAATATACATAAGATAAAAAGACAAATTATTGTATTTAAAAAGAATATTTAAACTAACTACCAAGTAAACTATCAGCCGGTGGTAGAGGATGAGGAATATCTACTAGTGATGGAATCTCAACAGTTTGCATAAGTAACGAAATAGCTTCGTTTACACGTATTCTTAGAGTTTCTTCCGATGCCAACAAAGTTAACAGTTGGGCAGGCGATAACTCCAAAAGCATTCCAGTGATTTTACTTGCCAAGCTCGGTCTAATTTGAACAACCTAAAATTATTTCCATCAATAAAACATGTTGTTATTACTTAATACAATTATGTTTATTATGAGTTTTAAGTGAAAGCATTGACATCACACCTTGGGATAAAGTCGTTCCCCAAGTTGTTGTTGATGAGGAGTAAGGTGGGCATTAGGATTTACATCCGATGTGCCGGAATTAGGAACAAATGAACGAGCGTCCACTGACAGCGTTCGGCGTTGTTCACGATCGCTGCGTTCAGAACGTCTGGATGGTACTCGAGGTGATAGCGGGGCATGTCTAATCCGTGGGGACTCTGTACGTTCACGATTCCTAAGACGCTGAAGGACGGTGTATTGAGAATATCGACCGCCAACTTGTACCGATTCAAGATTTGGTAATTTTTCACTTGATAAAAGAGCCTACAATCATGATTAAATATAATTATATATTTCAATATTAAGCTTTTTATATATATTTTACTTCAGCCAATGCAGTGTAAAATGATCTAGCAACGCCGGAGCCTTCCCCAGGCTCGTCCTTGAATGTTACTTTTACTCTATTTACGGCTAGACATGGTTGAGTACTAGATGTTCTACGATGGTACGAATTATACTGATTGTTCAATTCTTTGAAAGTCATTAAAATCAATTGACTGCGATCACGTTCTAACTGAAAGATTTTAAAATGTTTGATAAGTTTTAATTTGTATTTTAGTTAAGATTTTAAATATAACATAGAAGAAAAAAATTTAATAAATTTACTTTTGACAATGTTAAATCTCGGTTTTGTTGATTCCTTAATTTTTCCATGTCCCTACGAAATTTAGCTTCTTTAACAGGAAAACCTCCGAGTTCCGACACAACTGATCCGGGTTCCAAGCCGACATCTTCCATGAATACACGACCGAATAAATCCAAAGTTAACCGCCAACGACCCAACAACAGATCATGTGACACACTTTCACCTAAACGACTTCCCCTTTAATGCAAAAAAAAAAAAAAAGTTACATTAAAATATAAAATAGCAAAACATATCAAACATTTAAGTGTTAAACTTTACTTGTTCAATATTGGTTTTATATTTTCGGTATTGGAGTTACGACTGTCTTCGTTCATTTCAGAAGAAGGTTTTGCTTGTGATGTACCCTGAATAACAATATATTAATGTATTATTTTTAATTATTTTCGTTCATAAAGTAGCAATGATTATTTTGAACAATTATATCTTACCGAAGTAGATGGAGTACTGCCTGAAGGAGCACGTACAATGACACTTTTAAGTACAGGCGATACGGTGTCCATTGGATAGGCAGTAGTCGGAACTATAATTACATCTCGACTTCGTTTTATTTCAGCTGCTATACAAAATACGATTAAATAAGTATGTACACAAAAATAAAATTACAATTTCATCTTACAATCAGGAATTGGTTGAGAGCTTTCAGAGTCATCGCCACTACCATACACAGAAGCAATTTCATTTAACTGCTCAACTATTTTTGGTCTTACCGAAAGATCTTCTGGCTCAGTATCATATCCTAAAATAATTTTATTTGTGGTTAAGTAATTTGCAATATATAATTTAGCACACAGCACGCTCTAATGATCGTAAGACACAATAAATTATACAGGTAGTAAAAATCAGGCAATAACGAAGATCGTCACAGATGTCACAACACTCATCAGAATCTTCTCATTCATAACAAAACTACCAAAAAACTCTATGAAACCAGACTTAACAAAAATCATAAATAATAAAAGACAACCAAAATTAACACACAAATAAAATATATTTACTGCATTAAAAACAGACAAGAAAAAGCACGCTTATTACTTTGGAAACTAATACAAAATTTAAATAATTTTTCTAATTAGATTTATAAAGTGTACCAAGAATCTATTATAATTAAAACAATTTTAGATATTTGATCGAATGTAAATTATTATTCGACTAAAAACAAAAGCAATTCATGTAATAAATTCTATATCAATATACATACTTTTTCTTTCACGTTCTTTAGGCAATTGTTCACTTCCATTATCGCTACGACCAGACAAACTAAGCCTTGACGGCAGACCGCCTTCTGACGAACCATCTAACGGTGCTACAAAATCAATTAGTTTAGTAACACCAAAATGATATAAATTTTAATAATCCAAAATTACAATTCCTATTTAGTGTACTTTTTAAGTATTATGACCATTGATGTTTGACGTAGGCATAACAGATGTGAAATTATTTATAATATAAATCTAAGCTAATCATTTTCCCCTCCACTATTTTTCTTTCTTACAATTGTTTATTTATTATATTTTATTTGTTGGTTTTACCTGTTAATTTTGGAGAACCGAACATGTCTTCTTTTCTAGCGTTTGGCTGTAATAATTGTGGTTGATCCGCTAGAGGCATTGCTTGAGTCATAGGCGTTTCAAAAGGGTCTGGTGGAGGACATCCCAAACATAACGTTGAATCTGATCTTTGGAAAAAGGCATGTCGCCGACCTCTAACTCCTGAATCCAAATCAACAAACCTCAGATTAGACGACTGATTCATATTAGTCACAGAACTGTTAATTTCTTCATCATTTTCTTCGTTGTCATTTTCATCCTGAAACATTATTTGTCCAATAAAAATTATAAAGCATTAATGTTTGGTTATGATCAAATACGTCAATCATAAATAAAAAAAAATGTATTTACCGGGTCTATATTCCATCCCTCGGCTTCAATAACTTCGGAAAGTATTGATGGAGTTATCGCTTGACAATTAACAGCAGCTGTATCGGCCCGCATGTAATATACAAGAGCATCCAGAACATAAGCAACATGTTTCAAAGACGAAACATCAAGCACGGGTAACGAATCTCCATGTTCATTACTATGAGCTCGCATGAGTGACAAACAATAAGATATAAACTCACGACGAGGTTCTATCGCAGGATTATTGCTATTGCTTGTACCTAAAATTTTTAATTCAATATTATTAAAAAAAAAACATTAACTATACTCTGTTCGGAATAAGAACAGAGTATATTTCAAGCTTGGACATTATCTAAAAACAATTGACAAATAAACTTGATTTTTGAAAAAAAGAATTTTCCACCAGATTATGAAATATTAGAAATACATATAAAAGTAAAGAAAAAAATTACCTATGCCTGAAGAAGCTGGAGGAGATAATGGAGTATTGGCAATAGTAGACGGATGTAACGGGTGTCTGGGATGTTGTGGATCAGATGTTTGAGTAAGCGAAGCACCAAATCTAAGTTGAGCTTCGGTTGAATCCATAATTGCCATTAACCAATCCCAAGTTGGTTTCAAAGATTTTTCAATTATTGTCTAAAAAAAACACGAACAAATTTTATAATAAAAATTATTTCTAAAAAAAAAATTATAACATTACCTGCAAGTTGTATGTATCTTGAGCCGAGATACGTACAGGTATTGGCAAAGCTGGTGGGTCGTTAATAGATGTTACTAATAAGTCTGCGATTTGTCTAATAACTACAGCAAACGCTCTAGCTAAACTTGAAGCGGTAGTCGCCATTGTGATTGAATCGTTAAGACCAGCTGCAGCAGAAGCAACTGCGGCAGCAGCTGCAGCTGCTGCGTTATTGCTTCCACTGCCAGAATTATTTGCACTATTACTAACTGCAGCAACAGCTGAACGTCTCAACGATGATGGATCAATGAATACTAGTGAATTCCCTGAAGCAACTCTAAAGCCTAAAAATTTAATTAAGATTAAAGACCAATTATATTCAAACAAATATTTATCAGTGTTTGAAAAAACGCATTCTATTTTTGTCAACAATTCGACTCTGAGTGCATAAATGTTTGAATTAAAAAATTGTATTTTTAGTTTCACCCCTAAGCAAATAAATTAGTATGACGACAACTATATTGATAAATAATTAATAGCAAAATAACTCCTGCTTTCTCGAGTAAAATGTCTTACTAAAAAAGTAGCAGCCATATTGTGAATATTGTCAATTAAATGAATGCTTTGGAAGAATGACATCACTTTTTGAGCGAACATTTCTAAACACTGATTTTTATTAACTTTTTATCATCCAGTTACAATTTGTTTGGATATAAACAAATATTTAGAATTAACTGAATTTAAAAATTAGTACTATAATGTTTACCAGTTGCGGTTCGTGTAGCTGGATCTCGGTTTCTGATAGCCCATTGCATCGACTGAGGAGCTAAATTAGTTCTATGTCCTTGAGTTGTAGTAGTGCTGTAAATGCAAATTAATTAACGATTATAAACATAACATGAATAAGTAATCTAGATACACTTACGCTCTTCTTTCTAACTGATCTTCCGACACTAAAAATTCTTCTGTGTCCAGTTCATCTGTTTCACCAGCTTCAGATTCTTCGCCGTCTTCTTGTTGAGTGGACTCTCCAGATTCGTCATCGGTATCTGATCCAGCAGTAGCTCCAGTCTGAACACTTCTTTGACCACCTCCGTCTTGGTTACTTTGATCAGAGTCTGAATCTGTTTCAACTAGCATATCTTCTGTATCAGATTCTGGATCAACTGCGCCTTGTTGATTTGAATCTGGGATACTATTTGGTCCTAAATCGCCGCGATTGTCAAGACCGTTACCCATAACGTCTTCTGCATCACTTCCATCGCCGTCATTATCTAATAAATTATTCACAATATAATATAATTAATGTATTAACTATTTAAAATCCCACTCTACTAAAACTATAATAAACTTCTAAGTACTTACTATCAGCCATTTCGTCTTCCAATTCTATATCAATTTGAGGTTGATCATTTTGAGATTGTCCACGATCGCTAGCATTTTCTATTTGGTCAGATGCATTTATAGTGTTTGGTGCCATTGGTTCAACAAAAAATATTTCTTCGTAAGACTAAAAAGAAGAAAAAAATTATCAAATTAGTAAATAATAACTGAAGTGCTATAAAATGTCTGCATTACTGATTGGTCTGGATTTGAATTGGATAAAGTAAATGGAGCGGTAGGTCTGGCTACACCAAGACGAACTGGTGCAATTAAGCTTTCGGCGGTTTCACAAAGTTCCTCCACCGAAAGTTTCATTAATGATTGGAATATCCGTCTAGCACGAGCAAACGGGGAAGACAAATTGCCGAGCCTAAAACAAAATATTCAAGTATTTAATTGATTTAATTGATAATAACGTTACAAATTATAATGAAAATTACACTTACATGCGTCGTTTGTTATTTTGGGGTGCCAGTTCAACGCTATAAACAACAAACACTCGTATTACAGACCTAATGAAACGTCTCGCTATCAAATTTACTTCAGCAGAACTAGACATTGGATTATGGAGCTCCTTAACAATTGTTGAAACTATAGCATCGACCATCTAAAACCAATACATAATACTATAATAACAAGTTCAACAATATATCAATTGAAAATAAATAAATTACCAAATTTGAGCTGGCCAATACTTCGGCATTGCATTTGAAAAGTAAACAGTGCATAAACTTATCTAAAAATGTAGTACCCGATTGATTTTTTAAATACTGTTGATCTGCTGGTTTGCATTCGACATCGTTTTTCACTCCAGACATTATCATAGCTTTAACCGCAGGCCAATCATTTAGTAATCTTTCTAATGCTTTTCGACTAAAACGTGGTGGCTCTAAATCATGATCAGGCATATCCATTTCTTTAAAAAGTTTTCAAAAAAAAAAAAAACAATGACATACAACTATCTAATTTAGACAAAATTGTAGTATAAACCATACCGATATCTGATGAAGGAGTTTTCCGCGAAGTAGCTCGCTGTCTTGACGATCTGTTATATTGACGTTGTTCGTTTGTCTGCCGTCCAACAGTTTGTACCAAGAACAACAAAATGCTTTCTCCTCTAAATAATTAGTAGGGTATGTAAAAAATATAGCTCATTTATAATAAACATATAAAATAATTTCTTCTTTTTTAAAGAAACCCATACCTTGAATTATAGTGAGTAACTAGATCGGTTTCATTTATTAATCTATTTAAAAGTTGAAATCTAGACACTTGATGACCTTGCACGAGTGCTTTGCAACGGCATTTTTCCCAACAGTCACAATATGCAGTTGGTGAAGTTCTTTTCAATTTGCAATCGTGGCCACGATGGCAAACTCTAGCACATTCTGTGCAACAACACAACGATCCTGTCAACCCACATGTACGGCATTCAAATATATCCTTAAACAAAATCACAAAACAATATATCATTGAATGATAATAAAATACACTTAATTGTAAAATAATATATTATAACATATATTAAAATACTGCATTATTGTTTTGTACCTGATTAATATGTTCTGCTCCAGTCCAGGTGAAACTACACGTGTCGTTACAACATAGTACATGTAATGGACAGTAATCGGGGTTCGATCCAGTTGGATATATCATTGAAGCTAAGACTTCTTTAGCTTTGATTATCTTTTCCTTATCGTTTTCGATGTACATGGATCTATCGGTGTACCACACGTGTGTCTTATAAAGAGACGTCAATGGAAGCGGTGGTGGCGGCGGCGGCGGAATGGTGAAAAATCCTGAAAAAATAATATAAAATACAAACGATTAAGAAATAATTTAAGTTTAGAATATGAAATGAGACAATAAATATTATGTTGTTTTAGCTTCAATGCAAAAACGAGAAGGTATTTTTTTTACAACCTTATTTTAATTTTTTTTTTGGGCCTAGACCCAGTGTTTTTTTAAGCGACAAGATAGTTTCTTCATGTAGCAAGTCAACAGATCAGAACTTGTACATAAAACAAGTTATACATATGTTGCTAATTTTAAAAATACATTTTTTATTCAGAAAACCCTCCAAAATACTAAATAACGCAGCTACTAACATACTTGACATCTAAAATCTGATTTTTATTTCATCTTTTTACTAACACAAAACTAATGACCTCACCATCCCAAAATACTGGGGCATTTTTTAAAATCTTTAGTTATTAAGATCACCTTTAGAAAAATCATTAGGTTGTTGTTGTTGTGAAAGTCCAGGAGATGACCATTGGTAAGTTGTTTCAGGATTGCTAGCTGAAGAGTTTTTAAATAAGGACACGGGTTGACTGACGTCAGTGGCGACTTTACTGTTTGTAGAACTTGGACTAGTTCCGGCGCTAGAAGATCTCCATGCATTCATTACATTTTTAATAGCGTGTTCTTGATCATTGACAGATGTACCTGGCATTTCAGGAGGTATAACCACTTTAGCAACAACACGGTGAATAGTATCAAGTAATATTAACGCAGCTGGATAAGCTCTGATTGTAATGGCTAACATAAATGGAGTTAATCCTTGAGCATCTCTGAAAAATTTAAAAAGAACAAATTTAATTACAACACATGTATTTAAAATTATCTAATCAAAGTGAACTAGAATATATCCAACATTAGTCGTTAGTAAGATTCAACTCACTTAGCCGTTAATAGATCTAATAGATATGGAGACAAAACATTGGATTCACATAGTAATCGTAATATGGCCAGAGCGTTATTGCGCCTTTCTGTTGTTGGATTAACAGCTGGAGTAGAGGGAATTGCGTCGTCCTCAATAGGTAAAGTGGTAGGTGGCTGGGTAGTTGCGTTTACTGGTTCTTGCCAAGGTTCTGGAGCTTCCCTTAAGGGTAACTGAGCATCTTCAGCCATTTCCATTGGTTCAGAATCTGATGAATTATTTGTAGTACCTGATGGTTAGTAAAAATAAATTTACAAAAAACTTGTCAGGGGAAAAAAATCACAAAGCATACTTGATCTAACAGCAGCTGATGCGCGTCGCATCATTTCTCTCAAGCTAAATGACGATCGGACACCAAATGCTTTTTGAATTACATTTAAAGTATCCACACTGGCATTCGATTGGTTGGATACATTTTCTCCTTCTAAGACAAAAATTTTAATAAAAAAATATATTCAAAATGAAACATTAAAATAAATAAATATACAAAAATATCAGGCCTTTGAACAGAAATAATTTGTCTTATGTTTATGGATTAAGTTTGATTTAGTTGTTGACAAGTACGAGTTTTGGGAGCTTAAATGTTTATACACAAATAAATTATATCGATGCCCGCCACAAAAAGGCATACATTTCCATTAAATTTTGCCTCCGAAATCGATTTTATATTTATTTATTTATTTATTATGATGAAGACGATATGATAATCACTCTTTTTCTTCAAAAAGGTCGTTATTACAATAAAATATTGAAAGTTGTGAATTTTTTTTTTAGAAAATTATCTTTAAGATCTTACCAAGAATGAAAAAATACTTTTCTCACAGGAACATTGTAATAAAAGGAATGAGAAAAAAAAATAGTTAAAACAAAGTACCACACTACAAGCGGATACATATGTCTTATGACCCGAGTAAATGTCAATTTAAGTATACCTACATTTCTATTTTTCTGATTTTTAAAAAAAAATGTTGTTGGCCAAAAGTCCGACACCACGGGAGACATTTTATCTCTAATCTCTCATTTTTAATACATTATCTCTAATTTGTTATCTTAAATACATTTCTCTATTTTATTTCTAATCTCTTATCTCTAATCTCCGCAGCCGCCGAGTGTGAGATCTATCATTACATTTCGGATAATTTTTAGTACCTTACCCCCAGCCATATAACATATATACACTTTAAAAAATGTAAAATTGTCTACCTAACTAAACTTGTTATCTTAAAATGTAGTACAAATCAAGCAATGCCCTTCTTCGTTGAGGGTGTCAATACTTAGATATTAAAAATATATATAATATAGTACTTTACCATTATCATGTTCTTTATTCGAGACGGGTGCACATACAGATACACATGCATGCAAAAGATTTCTATTACCGTCGCAACGTTCTGCCAAAATTTGGGATAACAGTTCTCCATTGTCTAGTAAAAAAAAACCAATACAAATCATATTTTTAAAAGTGTTCCCTTATTTTTTCACATAGTATAATTTGTTTTTACATACCATTTTCAACAGACAACTGTTGTACTAACAATTTAACGGATTCCAAGTTTGACTTTAATACTCGTGACATTAATATTTGTTGTTCAACATCTAAAACTATTATGGCGGTAGTAGTTTTAACGTATGGAGACATGACAGTATGGGATCCAATACCAATGCATCGCACTGGACCTAAATCTAGCCATTGGGGTTCTCGCATTGAATCAGTGCTGTCTTTTGCCAAGGGATAAATAGTTCGATTACCATCACGTAGTATACATATGTTATCTTTACTCTGAAAAAAAAAAACAAACAAATTTAAGTTAAAAAAAAAAATCCATTTATTATTTATTTACCAAATCAGCAAATTATATACCTCAGCAGTGCATAGTATCTGCATGTTGTCAGGGCTTAGTCCTATTAAAGCAGTAGAATCAACTGGGAACGGACTATCTTGTTCTATTTTGCCGCTAGTAACATTGAACTTAACGTAACTTATTTTAGGGCCGTTTTTAACAATCGCATGAATTCCTACAAACAAATGTTAATACCAATTTTTTAAAATACAATTTTTGATAAAAATTTTTTATATTACCTTGTCCGTCAATTGTCAATGTCAAAATTTGATTTCCATTGTCAGTTGGTATATTTATTCTTCTTGGGGTTCTTTGAAAACAATCAGGTACTTTACTAGCAACAGCTACTTTACATACCTAGACAAACCAATGTTTTATTAATAACAACATATAGTTTTAAGTAGTTAATTAGCACTGCATTTACTTGTAAATCGTCTTTCTTCATTAATCGAACTTCATGTTGGTCCAACATTTTAATTATATTTGTCACGACATCATCACTAGCCGGTGCTGCGCTATCTTTATCTTTTGGAAAGATTCCTGAAACAAGGTCTTTTGACGCACATGGGAATTTCACTGCGGCATATGAACCATCCACGTGAACAACCCGGCCTGCAACACAATTTATTTCACATTAAATGTCATATATATATATATAAATTCTCAAACTACATACCAATAGGTAAACTTTTTTGATCTTCAACAAACACAACATCTTTCAACGGCCAATCTTCTTCCAAATTTTTGTCATCTTCTGGACCCTTCATAGTCACTCTTTTAGTTCTCTCTACATAAAAAAAAAAAAATAAAAACAATATTTAGACATATTTAATGGTTTTTTTACTTCACAATTATGATATATAAACAAAGCATCTCTAAAAACTCACTAGAACTTTGAACAGTGCTCCCAGTATCACTGCATGTACTAGACGCTGGAGAGGGGGGTGGCGGCATGTCAATTCTGTCAGCAGTCTCTTTACTTTTATCAACTGGAGTGCTAGATTTAGAAGCATTACTGTTAATATTTTGTGCTTGGAAAATTTGTGGAGGAGTCAAAATTTGAAATCTGCAAACATCAGCATATGTCCAAGCCGAATTCAATAGTTGTCCGATTTTGGGTTCACCGCCGTATAATGTAATACCTATGTAAAGAATTTTTTTTTTTTTATTAAATAATGTCAATTCTTAAAATTAAGAACTCGGTACATCATTTTTAAACATACCTATAGCACCGGGTTGATAAAGAGGGCTATTTTTCATACAGACTTGACTGCCAACTATAATATCGGAATTTAAATTGCTTGTTTTTTGTTTTCTAGCTTTAGTTCGATATTTATCCCAAATTTTACGCCTCTGATTAAACGGCAACACTCCCCTAAAATTTTTTTTTATAAATACCAGTAAAAAATGTTATAAAATTATTTAACAAATTTGAAATTTTGATTTATTTTTTCAAATGTAACGTAAAGAGGTAAAATGATGTAAGTAATTAATTAGTTGTAAATTGTAAAATATACTGCAACATCATAAATCGGAACTTACCACCAATAAAGAGCTCCACTTTCTAAACGGGCCAATGTATAGAGTGGACAAGTGTGAATAGAAATTATATGGTCTACTACAAATTCCGAATACAATTGTGCGGGGTGTTCAAGTTTAGCAGCAGTAGCAGCGTGTGTAAGACTTTCGTCCATCCACGTAGCTACTTTGTTTGATTCTGTGACAACGGACACTCGTATAATAGTCCCGGAGAGAAGAACTATTTTTTCATTGTTCAGGCCAAGAGCGCATGTTTTCGGATGATGCACATTATTCTATAAGAACAGGATAAATTGATTAAAAATAATTAAATATAGTACTTTTTTAGTAAGTATTTTTTTTGAAAATTACATCTAATGTTTTATACGGGTCAGCATCATCCCATTTCCATTGATAAAGTTGTCCACTAGCTGAAAGTGCAATTAGTTCTGAATGAATAGCAGCGATTTGAACAAATTTAACAAACGGTTCAGGCCAATATTCTATTTCGTCAGATAGCCATAAAGGGTTTCCAATATTATTATCTTTCTTTTTGGAGTCTGCAGAAAATTCAAAAGCTCCAACGTTAGATTCTTTCTTTTTAGAGTCTATAAAGAAAAATTATTCAAATATATATTACAACAAAATACTCCTAATATTATTATCAAAATAAATTAAATACCTGTATCTTTGTCCCATGCCGAATCTCGTAATGCTCCTTCCAACCACTGATGTTGTCTCTGTCTGTGTTGTTGTTGTCCATAGCAATGACGATCCCTCCACCTTGTGAAACTGTCTCTATCATTCGGTCCCAAATTACGATCATTAGAAGTACTGTCACTAGCGCTGTTGTTAACACGATCACGATCACCTAACCGCCTAGCTCCACTCCTACGAAATGTATATACGGGTCTAAAACCAATGTAGATAGCCTATAAGCTGAATAAAAATGTAATACAAAATACTACATTTACCTTCTAGATGAAGAATACGAAAACATATCTTCTGAGAAAATTGCATCAGCATCAATTATAACAGAATGATCAGAATGAAAGCCGCCGCCATCCAACAGAGACATTAAGTCTTCTGGAACATAGGAATCTCCGCCTGGACCACCTACATCGTCACCACCTTCTCCGTCTCCTTCCTCGTCGTCGCGGGATAAAAGATTGTTAACAGCTAAATTTACATCCAAATTTGTTCGTTGCAATTCCCGTATTATCAAGTTACGACTTTTGCCTTGTAACACAACCTGTGCTTGTGCAACTAGCTCTTCTGGCACAAATTGCGCTGGCATAACTGGACGTCCACTTGATGAGCTGCTACTCATTATTACACCACTTCCGGAAGACCTATCAATTAATTAAATTGTTTTAGGTATAGTAAAATTATAATTTATAATTTTTTAATATTCACCTTGAAGTTCCACGAAATGTACCAGACCTCATGATTCGAGCTCGCCTAGTTAGGTGACGAGTTGCAGAACTCAAACTTCCACCTCCGCCCGTACCACCACCACCACCGCCACCACCTCCGCTGCTAGTTTTCGAGGGCAATTTGTTTGAATCTCCAGTGGCTCTGGACAAATCCAACCTATCTGCAAGTACAGAGAATGCAACACGTGCCACTCTGCCATCTTCAAACAATAAACCAATGTGGTGTGGTCCAACTACTATTTGTTTGATAGGAGACTTGATACTAGGTAGCCAAGAAGCGTTCCCCGAACTGTTTCGGTTAAGACGTTCAGAAATTTCTTTAAATCTGTAATAAAAAATAATAAAATTAGTCGTCTAAATATTTACGATTATTATTAAATTTTCAAGTGTAATTTGTTTTCCTAATCTAGTTGAATTATATAAAACATTGCTTTTTTTTGGTATCCTTTACTTTAAAAACAATAACTGGAATATTGATGTATCTTGTTGGAGCTGTTTTTTTCAATAACAGAATCAAACAACAAAGAGTTTAGTATAAAATGCATTTATTGTTTGATAAGGTTAGGTATCTTTAGATAGATATGAAATCTTTAACATAATTTCTTAGTTTAAAGTACATAGTACAAACTAGTTCCATATAAGACTTCCGCCACATTATCTGTTTTTTATCAAACCGTTAAAAATACATCCGGATCTTATAAACCATAATACATTAGGTGTTCGTTAAAGCGGCAAAAAATCAGACGACCACTTACTTTTAACTAGTTTCAATTTTACACCACACACGTTTTTTATTGAACCAATAATAATGAATAGTGTGATGGTTGGTCAGTACTACAAAAAAGTTCACCTAAACCTTCCATACATTTTTTTTAGAAAAATATGGACAGGAATATTAAACAGATCAGACATGGATAAAATAAAAATATTACTAGTATTAAGTAATATAATTTATAATTTATTTGAACTTATGCATAAAAAAAACATACGGTAGCAACATATGTTACTTTTTTCAGATGATCAATCTAAAAACAAAATACTAGCATCTACTTCAATTTACTCTCCTCAAATATACTCAAAATTGGTTCTCACAAGATAACCAATTTCTAGAGCAAGACAAGGTAGTTAAACACATTCACCTTTCCAATAGACCAATAAGGATGGACGTTAAGTTTTAACTTTTCAGATTTTAAGTTCAAATTTTTAATTAAGATAGGAACATATATACAAACTATAGCTAAAATAAGTAGAAATGTCTTTTATTTGGCTAAACAATTTTTTTTTGTTGAGAAAATTCAAATTTGAATGATTTTAACTCTACAGCCAGCATTTTACTTCTTTACACTGTTGGAACGAAAATAAAAGGATGTCATATTGATGTAATTAGATTTAAAATCTATAATAAAACATTGTCTAAAAACAACTAATTAACATATTACAATTAATATATTTATATATTTTTTTATTACTAAAAACCCACATTAATCATTTAGTTAGTTGCAATTATATATACATAAATATATATATACATGTTAAAATTTAATAATTTATTTAAAAATAAAATTGATCTATTTTATAGGTAATCTGGGTAATTATGGTTATAATTAAGTAATAGGTTATTAGACTTTTATTAGAAGTGCAAGTCTAGGATAAAGAATCAACAAAGTATTTTTCACAATACATCATACCACACCCAGGAAAATCTTCACACACAAGCATGTTGAATAAAACCACCCGTGGTCGTCGGGTGAGGACAGTGAAGTCGTTATTAATAATTTGATATGTTAACATTGTATCACACGGTAATCGACTGCTGCCTAAAGCCTATGTGCAGGACCAGATACAAGACTGAGAAGGGTGATATACGTGCCTGTCATTTAATTGATCGTCCGTTCCAGGAGCTGGATGCACAATAAACTGCAAGGACGACATTTGTTGTTATCCAGAAAACGATCTGGAGGTATTCATCAACACAAATGGTTGTTTGAACACCACGTTGCTTGCAAGTTTTCTTGACGTTAAAATATCACATAAAATAACTATCGGCAAACAAAAAATTATATTTACTGAAACATGCACAGCGCACACACGTTCAATGAACGAGATATGCTATCGCCATTTTTGATGATCACGACGAGGGGGGTGCCGACTATGAGACGGTGGTGGGAGAGACACCGACAACAACCATGCCGCTAGTAGAATATGGTCACCGGTGGTAGCCAGTGATTATATATATTTTATACCATGGTTACAAACATTTTTTTTTTTGATTAAACAAAATAAAGTACCGGATTATTAACCCTTTAACGGGCAACGCACGATGTAGAGAAGATATCTTCTCTACATCGTGGGGCAACGGCAGAAGTAAGAGAAGTTTGAAGTTTCCCACCTCTGTTCGTGTTTAGGGTTATGACTCGCTTATTTAAAAAATCATTAATTCGTACATCTGTCTATGCTGCATAGACTTTACATCAAATAAACGAGTCGACCGGACTACTTCTCGTCCGGCGATATTATATTTAAATCTATAATCTCCTTTTACGCATAAAAGCTTTATATAATTAGCCAATTTATTACCTCGGTAATTATAAAAATGTCAACTAAGATTTATATCTAATTTTTATAAAACAACTAAATCTCACCACTTAACCCTCAACTTGGTAACGGTCAATTTATAAATATCAAAAATAATTAAAATAATAGTACTATTTACTATTTAGATTGGTCATGGTAAGTTTTAAATAAAATGTAAGTATATTTTAAGTGCTTTTAACGAAAAAAATTATTTTCATCTTTATGGACAAAGGATTTGTTAGTTAAATTTAATGGTATATCCTAGGAATGACAGTAGCTAGATTTATACTTACCATTTTTTATTTCACATTAGGGCATCTCAAAGTTATAGTAACAATTAATAAGTTTATGGGTTTTTCTTAAGTTTGGGAAGGTTATGCATAAAGTTTAAATTATTTTCAACTTATCATTGACCAAAGAAACAACAAGCTTTATCAGGTTCATATGAAAGCTAAAGAATAATGGATGTAAAATAAATTATAAGAAATAATCGAATTATAATTTTTAATTAAACAAAAACACATGTTATGACAAAAAAAAAATAATAATGAGTAGTCATAAAATATAAAATGAAACATAATCAATGGTTAGGTATAAAATAAAAACAAAAATCTACTCTTCATCAGACGACCACCATACATTGAATTCGTCGTTTATTGAAAGTTGTTTTAATTTTTCCTCTAATTCTTGAGGTACTGGAAGATTTTTGGAATTTTCTTGAAATTTTCTTCTTCTAGAGTCACGAACCAATGAATGCATCGAACATCGACTATAATTACTTGCAAGAGAACTAGATGAACTATTCGTCGTTATATTGCTTAATTCTTTTTTTGATGTGTCTATATTGCTTATTGCTGATTCGATGCCAATAAAATTTGCTGAGCTTGATGCATTCCTATTGAGGTTATCAGAGCTATGGGGAGACTTCATTATTTGACTAGAACTAGAGCTAGTGCTTGAAACAGCACTTTGATGTTCTGTACTATTAGATGAATAATTTGATGAGGAATATACTTTTTGTTTAGCGATTGGTATCAAGTCGTCCGTTTCATGAAACTTTTCACTGTCATCTTTATAATTATATTCGTTTAAGAACTGTTTAGGTATTAAACGATTAAAGGATGAATTATCACTTAAATTAATATTATATATATCGAAATAACTGGAAACTAAATTTCCTTCGAAAACATCTGTTGTATTGTGATCTCTAGGAGCAAAAATAGGTACCTAAAAAATATAAATATCAGTATTATTATTATTTAATATGTATAGAGCTAGTATTTTACATTTATACATATATAATTTTGGATGTAATTTTATTTGGGACGCCTTTTAAATTTGTTCAGAATACATAAAAAAAAAGGACACCCAAATATTTATATATAAATTATAAAATAAGAAGAAACAAACCATATGTGCATACTGCATCGGATCAAAAATTTTTAGATTATCTAAAAAACACAACAGATAAATTAGTAGGATTATAAATTTATTTATTATTTACAGACTTAATACTAGAAACACAATATTGTTATAATCACCTTTAGAGTTTGACTTTGAGTAGAATGATTTATACATTTTTTTAAATGGTATAAACGATTTGTTATTTTCTTCGTAGACGAATAGTTCACCTTTATAAATATTGTCGTCAATACTATGTGGAACAAAACCGAAACTTATTTCACCATGTTGATTTTTATTGATTAACATGTTTATCATAGTCCTAATTCTGTCATTATTATTACATAAGTCTAGATCAATATAATAAGTGGGAAGTTTTAGTTGTAAAAACTTCGGATGGCATACTCTTAATTCGAGTTCTTCACGACAATCCGTTAATCTCTACATAATAAAAAAAATACAAAATAGTGAGACGTACGTAACATTTTTTAACTAATTTAAACTATCACATAGAAAATTAATAATACTCATTGAGATGTAATTGAAACCAACCGACTAAATGGTTCATTAAATGATCAGTGAGCCATAGTAAATTTTAAACACATGTGCCCCAGAAGGCGAATTGAATAAAATATAATTATTACCTGTGTGTCAATTAAATATAACTCGGGTCCATTCGGATTTGAAATAATGCTTCGCACCCATTTATTATGATTTTTTTTTTTGGAAATGATTGCCTGAAAATACATTCATCATATTATTATATATACATATTAATAATCATTTATTATGAATAAATTTAGCTGTGTGATTTAACCAACCTTCCCAGTTTCAATCTGAGGAAAGTTCATGTTCAAAAACCATTCATCGCAGTCTTCGTCGTTAAATGTTAACAGCTCTTTATGATACTGCATAAAATAAGGTGATGCATTATTACAAAATTTTTCTACAACTATGAAATATCCGTTTTTCAATTGACATAAAATATTAATTGTATATCTTTTTTCCAACTCCATTATTTTGTCACTGTAAAATACATTAGAACAACAAGTTAGGTAGGAAACATAAGAGGTATGACAAAGTTGATTATTGCTATATGTCCCCTTTTAGGTTATCTTGTAGACATATAAAATATGTTGAAAAACCAAAACCAAAAGATTGACAAAAGATAACACAATGACTTTTGTTATCGTCAGGGTAAAAATTGAGGGGAAGGGAGTTTACTGGGAGAGAAATCGTCTAGTGACGGACTAACAACTTATTTGGGAATAAACAAATTCATCATGTGTTAACCTCCTTCTCCAAATTGAATGCAGCAATAAAACGTTCTAAGAATCGAAATAAAACATTTAATTAGCTAAAAAACATAAAACTTTATTTAATAATAAAATGATCCCACCGTTTTTAAAAAGAAAAGATTAAATGGTGCCAAACTCTCGAGAATTTGACACACTAACCTAACACAAGTCCACTTCAAAAATGAAAATCCTCCAAGAAAATAACACAGCAACAATTTCTTGAGGGTTAAACAAATTCTATGTGAATGACCCAGACAGAAACAAACGAGGAAATTAATCAGAGAAGTCAACAATATTGCAAGAATACTTTCACCCGAGAACACATCCCGATTATTAACATTTTAAAATGACATTTGTTTATATAAACCAATTTAAGAAATACATTTAAATGTTTATATCAACTATATATATAATTGTAATTAACAAATATTAAATTTATGTATTTTAAACTTGAATTAGAAATTAAAAAATTATTATGATATACAATATTATTATGATACATTTCTAGCTATTCGATTTTTTTTACTTTATACAAAGGAGGACGTTTTTGCATAGTGTAGGGGAATCAAATTCTCTAGATACAAGTTTGATATCTTGGGTTAGGTTAGGTACACTTCATATGTTGACTAATAATACGTTAACATATTAGATGTAATATCAAATAATCAATTCTGTTACCTTGATTGAAGATTTTATTTTCAACCGTATTAGTATGTAAAAATCTAGAAAATTTCCCAAATTTGGTTATAATAATTTTGTGTCCTCCATTTTTGCAAGGGAGTAGGACAATATTACACAAGTCTAGAACAAAAATTCAACATGTTATATATTAATTATTGTGTTTTCATTTATAAGTCATCGATTGATTAGTGGATATTATAACATTCTATTCTACAATTAATACAAACACTTAGGCTAGATAATCAAATATTTTATAATTAATTAAAAATTCAAATAAATATTTTTATGTAAAAGAAAATTAACGAAAGAACAAAATAAGTAGAAAAATTAACTGGCTTACATCATAGATTATAAACTGTACATTAATTATTTACAATATATTTTGACTAGTGGCGGAACACCATACAATCGCATTTAGGTAAAACAAATCTATGATTAACTGATACAATAAATCAATAAGAGCAGTTTATTTATACAATCTAATTTATTATGAGGTTTTGTTAAATTTTTTTTTTTATTAAAAATAGTTTATAAAGTGTATGTTAGTAAATTATTACGCGGCTGTACTTAGAGAATTTTCCAGCCTACTACGAATAAAATCTTATACAATAATAATCTATACTTACTCATGCGGCCAATAGCAAGTAATTAATTTTCATAATAAATATTCAATAAAAGTACTGAATTTTGTGTTGACGTTTATACTTAAGGTACAAATTATGCTGACTAAAGCAAAATGTTAGGAATTAGTATGTTTTACTTTTTAGTTCAAATAAATAAATGATGATGATGATGTATTATTATTGTAAACATTAAATATTTTAAATGAAATTAACTACTAACAGATTCTGTCATTCTGACATATATTAACTTTATTCGTTATTTTTTTTCGACTGAATAGTGAATACAGAGCTGACTTGATTGTGTTACCACGACAATCATAGAAGAACTATATACTGATAAGAACGTTAAATTTCATGGCTTAGAATATTACTCTTCACGATCTAATGTCGAATTGTTGTTTTAATTTAAAACAACTTTATTTTTTTATATTCTTTCGTATATTCGGAACAGGTATTTAATTTTATATTTTGATAATTTTAGTGCAAACGTAGGGACACTATTTAATATTTTCTCTTTCCCTTCGAAGTACCTACCTAGTTGACTTTTTTATATATTTTAATTTTTGTGGGTAGTTTTTAGACTTTGGATGTGAAATTTGGACTCGTGGTATTTTTATACGTACCTATTTAAACATTAGTTATAATCAACATTGTGTAGTAAAATATTTTGTTATAGGGATGTAAAATCAAAGCATATTATAACAAATGTATGCAATTTGTATCCATTTACAAAATGTGCTGGTCATCAAAACATGATTGGTTAGATAAAAAGAATCATTAAAATTTTAATTTCTACAGATTTATTTTTTATAAATGTTTATTTATTTATTCGTATTTTTTTTTGGTTTCGCCCAAAACATTTACGTTGACGGCAATATACCTGTTTCTATTATATTGAAGATGGAAATTTTGTTTTTTTTTAACTTGTGGTGTAAAAAGTACCTACTCAAAAGTAGTGTCACAAAATAATAAGTAATTTGAAAAAAAATCTATAATACCTAGTAATAATATAATTAATATATAAAATGTATGGCAAATGACCCCAGAAGTCGAGGCCCTTATTATAATAAAAAAAATATATATTAATAATAAGAGTTGCATCAAAATCATTGTAATTTGTACCACTGGTTTTTTTTTAGGGAGAGGGAATTTAAGGTTATTTAGAGTAATTTTTATTATTAAATCATACTATTATTATTACACTATTATTTATACAAACCTTCAAATTTCGATTAAGCTATTTATCCGGATAAGTGAGAGTAAAGTATGTTTAAAAAACGACACAGCGGTGATGAATTTTTCTGAAAACTTGAGCGGTGATATCGAAAAAGACCTTTTCTAATGGTTTATAATATAGCTACATTTTTTACATGGACGATTTTTTATAGTTAAATATAATAATTGTAAACGTAAAACAATAAATTTGTTACTACCTCATGTCCATTGAACGACTATACACGTTTATTTGTAATACGCGTTGTCGATATTTCAGGATGACAGATTTGACATGTACCGCATGTTTGTGCGGTTGAAAAAAAAGTATACACGCTACCAAAATAATATTATAAACGTTTTAAGTCTACCTTTGTATTATTTACGTACATTTTCCTGCTACTGTCCCACACGACGGACGTCGGCCAAAAAATCACCAGGTGCGGCGGTCAGATGACTGCGACTTGATGAGATTCAGGTAAGTTCTTTTTAACAATTATTTTAAAACATAATATAACACTAATATGTAATTACTACTCAATCAGTCCATCGGTGAGTAATGTTTAAGACGAAATATAAATTTAAAGATTACACGGCGGCAGGGTTTAGGTATTGATGCCACGACGTCTTAGATATTTAAGTGAAGCAAAATCTAAAATATGAAATACTCGGAAATCGGACCATCCTAAGTAGTCAGCATTTTGAACGAAGCAGGTAAGAATAGACATACGTCAGTTCCTACCGGTATAATAGTGGTGTACAATCAATACTACCTATAAGTACGATATTTCATGTGTATATTGTCAAGAATTCATATGGATATTAAAATCGTTGAGGTTTATCGCTGAAGCATTTTACGAAGTCAGATACCGATATATTTTTTGAGTTATAATCAGAAAATTTTCATTTATAAATTTATTGATATTTTTCTGATTTTTTTGTAGGTTTTTGTCGTTATTATTTGTATGCAAGTGTTTGTTTAAAAAAGTTTAAAGAATTTCTATTAGTAAAGATATAAAATCTACTTGAACCCTAAACCATAAAAATTATACACTTCTTGCGTACACGTGCTACGACAACGATGTTGTCATCTTCAGCGCTAACAACAGACTGATTTTAGGGTTCAAGTAAATTTTATATCTTTACTATATATTTAACCATAAGTTTGCTTAACAGTTTTTTCTAGAATTTCTATTATTTTAAGTATGTATAATATGCGGATGTTGGTGGTAAAATTTGAATTAAAATCGTCTTGAAAACTTGTGCAAGCGTTTGTCGTATGAATGATGTTAGATTATGCATGAACCCATATTGTCGGTGGAATAACATTATCGTTCGATACATAATATATGTAATACTTATCTCATATTTTCCACGGTGTACAAATTCAGTATGTATATTATATCACCTGCTATACTCGTGTAGAAATTTGCCGTTTCCTATAATGTTGTCATGCTTTTTGTTCGAAATGGGGGAGGGGGGGACCAGACAACTTTCATTCCACTTGAATAGATCATCCTGGAGATATGCAATAGCCGTCAGCGGGGAGGGGTAGGTAATAATAATTTTCGGCGGGTTAGGGTTTTGTTTTGGGCGATTTCATAATATTATACGTGTGTAAAAGAAGGCCTAGTGGTCGGGGTAAGGGTGGAAAACGTCCCTGTTGCCACTAGTAGCGCGGGGTGGTCCGTTTTCACATCGCCGATGTGTGTTCAACCCCGGGAAACAGTAGTGTTGTCGACCACACTGAGAGTTGGCCGTACCGATTGTGCGGTGAGTTTTGCTGTGTATTTGTTGGATCTTCGGACTTCACGTTTGCCCAGCTCCAGTATAGGCGAACACCTGTAGATTCTGCGTTCAGTAATCGTTTTGTGTCGACAAACAGGTATTTAAAATATTCATTAGAAACCTTTTCGGCCATTTTTTAGCTTCAACGCGCAACCGAGAAGGTGTTGTTTACGCAATGATGTTTTTTTTTTAGATTAAATTTAATTGTTTTTTGTTGTTGTGTCTGGACCCGTGATATCTTTTAAAACACCGAACCGATTCCTTCCGTAGCAATACAGTTCTAAAGTATCACTTAATAATAATATGTTTTTCATTGTGCTAAAAAAAATTGTTTTCAACACTTTGACATGTTTAAAAATACCGATTATGTTCAGATAATAAGGAGTATATTGTTATTTAGTTTAGATTTTCGAATGCATATCAAAAAGCGATGACTATATTATTATTCGAGAAGAACCATTTCCAATGAAATTATTATTGAGAAATTCGCGAGACTCTTCACGGTTAGAAAGTTTAAAATTGGTTCCAAATTTGTATGGAATATTCTTTAGATAAAGTACTATCGACAAACCATCAAAATATTACTAACTTTTTCCCACAGAAGGAGTGGAAACTTCTTCTTTTTTTCACTTTTTCGAGCGTAGTGTTAGGAGTTAAAATTTGTGTGTAGGTAGATAGGTAGGTGGGTAGGTAGGTGTGTCTAATTTAGAGTGAGGTTATAACATATTCAGTTTTCTCAAAAATCTGCTGTCAAACTTTTTTTTATCAAGATAAGCATAAAAAAATAGCTAAACTACACTTTGACCGTAGTAAATTTCTAAATTGCTATGTGATAATCAACAGTCAATAGGTATCCAAAAAATATTTCAATCTAATGTTGACTTTGATAAATGGGTAACGCAACAAACTATTATAGATAGGCGGTCAACACTATCCACTGTAACCATCCTAATACTCAAAATAATATAACTTTAAGCACATTATAGCATTAACATTGCTTTTATAAGGTACTTCTTTTTTTTTTTTTTTTTAATCGTTGAGCCGTCATATTGCAAGCAAATAAAGGCTAATTAAAAAAAAAAATTATAATTATAAAAGATTATAATAATGTATTATCAAACAACTATCTATATTATAAATTACTATCTCAATAAAGTATTAAACACTACAACACAAAACAAATTAATTTTACATTCACAATTATATGTATAATGTACAAACAAGTTTTTTGAATAATGTGTTACAACGATAATAATTGTAATAGGTAATTCATTTAGATAATTTATCCTTTTCGATAATGTTTGACGTTTTTAATTTGTATTCATAATGAATATTATCAATCATACTTTAAAACTGGGCAAATGAATGAAAGTAAAATTAGATATCCAGGATAATGTTAATTATTCAATATCTGAAATATGATTCTAACATAAAGAGCTTATTTTAGCTGTGCAATTTACCAAAGTGTACCTTAACTAATCTAAATACATTTATAAAATGTACAATTTGTCAGGCAATCTCCATTATTTGTTTTGAGTATCATTACTATTAATTAAAACAAAATATGCATCATCATTTAAGCGTAGCAGGTAATGCAGTATTAAGGATATCTTTTGGGTAAACAACAGTATTTACTTTCCTCTTGGTCTTTGCAACTTAGGGTAAGTAACTGTGTTGGATTAAAAGACATTATTGTTAAAAGTGTTTTAACTTCGTATTTTACATTTCACTATTATATTACAATTGTATACAAATATTAATTATATTATTATACTCTACGTAATAGTTTTTGGACGTTTATCATACTAGCCCTCGTAGTTCAAAATATAATGTTAATAACCCTTCACAAAGGCAAAAATGTGTTGGTTTTTAAACATAATTTTAGCCTTTGTAAGCTTGTGTAAAAGCCATGGATAGTGGTAACAAAATTCGAAAAATAAAACACTTAGTTCATTATCGTTTGATTTTTAATTAAAAGTATTAGAAATCCTGAAAATATTTCTATTATATCTAAATAGGAAATTTGGAACCCAATTGTTTTTAAACGTTGATATAGTGAAATTGCCAAAAGAGGCGGTCGATTTGGCACGTTCTAACGAAAAATTAGTATCGGATTCCACATATTATATAATATATATATATATTTAAGTTCCTATAAAGTAATTGAAAATTTAATTAAGGTGTTTGGAACTACTGAACAAGTAAAATGCTGAAAATGTATTGATAAACTTAAAATTACTTCTTTTGATGTTTGAGAAAAGTATATTTTTCTAATTTATAGTGACATAATTTTTGA